CCTTCGGTGTAGACATCAATGCCGAATCGTGAATCCTAAAACTATACAGCTCTTAATTTTATGAATCCACCAAATTCTTAAATTTGTAGCGAAATCTGCCGAGAGCTATTCGTCGAAATTGGAAACAAACTTAAAAGAAAATTGCATTGTACAAATAAATGTTTTCATTTCAATTAATTTGTCTAACATTTCGTATTTAAATCAAATATAACCAACGTAAATTTAACTAAAAACACATTTTATTAAAAAAATATATTTTTTGTTGTAAAAACGAAATATTATTATTTTTGGACTTTTTTCTACCTTCCTGCTTTTAGGAAGAATTCTCCCAACAAATTTTTTTTATTACTTTTAATGTTTCGAAACAAAAAACCGCTTATACAGTTTATTAAATTGAGAGCCCATTATTATTTATTGTTTATTAATTTTTGAAGGATTATTCGCGAAATTGTAGCCTATTCGAAGACAATATCTACTTTAAAATCCTTTAATGTATTAAACTACTAGGGGGTTCTCCATTGGATTTAAATCTAGGTTTTTTGAAAAATGCGGTAATCCATGGAAAATGCTGACGTTTACCCTTCTTTGAAGAAAAACTTGATGCAAAACATTAAAATTTTGATTAAATAATGCACGATGCATTTAAAAAATAACTTATGCATATCAGATCCATTCAGATCCATTTTAGGGCTAAATATTGCGTCATAATCAACGTGTGGTTGACTTTATGTGGCAAAATTTTTTCTAGGGGGTGGCAACGGCCCCCTCCCCCCTACACCCTTGGTTGTATCAGTGAGATTGCTTAGGAAGGCAGAAAAGCTCAGGAGGAGGTGCTTCCCGCTTTCCTCCTCTATTTCATCTCTACAGCTTCTGCAAAAGTCATTTGATGGGAAGCCTAGTGTGGCTGCCTACTGGACAATGCCCCCATAAGTACCCCCACTAGAGTTAAATCAGTTTAGTTTTAGAAGTGTTGTGGCTCTTTTCATGTTTAGAGTCGACCAGATCGGCCTTGCTCGTACACACACGCTTGTACTTGTTTATTTATTTATTTATTTATTTAAATCAACAAGTGGATCTGTCGATTTATTCAATAACAATATATAAGTATTAACATTTTATATATGTATATATTAAGATTTAAAATTAAAAATTCAAATATGATTAATATAACATAGTCTCAACTTAAAAGATAAGAAAGCCTACGAAAAAGCTGTACAATAACGTCTATAAATGCCCCGGACACGTTGGGGGAATTTTATTTGCCAGTTGGCCAGCTATGCCCCGATTCATAGCCATATGTGGTTAGAGACATTATAGACCTAACAATCTAAACAAATAGTATGTACTTAGGAGCTAATTAGAAAAAGTAAGGAGTGGAAAGAGACAGAGGTAAAGAGGGAGAGAAAGGAAGAGGAAGAGAAAGGGGAAGAGAGAAACAGGGGAAGAGAAAGATGGAACAAGAAAGACAAAAGGAGAAAGAGGGAAATCTCCAACCCGGTGGGGGAAAGTTTTAAGCCAGTCCGGCCAGCGCTGCTGCGTCCTTGTCCTTGCGTGGTTGATTAAATACCTTCACTCTTTGAATTAATTACGTTTATATTAAAATTAAAAGTAAAGTGTACACATCTCATATTTACTTAAACACTCTGTGGTGGAAAATCGAGTATAACGGGTTAAGAATCTGTATACAAAATTTGACCCATTTTTAGAGGAATATATCAGTCGATCAAAAATAATGAACATTTATTTTAATTGCAAAGTTGTCTACTTCAACAAACATATTGCGAGCTATATCCGTACAATTAGTTTGCTGTCTGACTGTCTTCGATTCATTCCTGAAATTAAAAAAAAAGGTGTAAAATCATTTGAATTTTATTTTCCATGTATATAGATAAGTAAATAAATAAAAGTGTGCATACATACACATATTAAATTTTCATGTGGACAGGAGCAAGCTGACAGTCCAAGGTGCTGCCAAAATACGAAAAGTAAGTCGGATGATCTGTCAAAATAAGCTGCAATAGCAACAGAAGCCAAAGCCATGGCCAGCAGTCGATTCGAAATCGCTGTTAGATTGGAATTTCGACCCAATTAGGAAATTTTTCAATACGCGACAAGAAACTTTGGCTCTCTTTGGCGTTCTTGCTGTGGCTGTGGCTGTTGATGTTGTAGTTGTTGTTGTTGTTGCCCTTTTAAGTTCTGCGGAAAAATGCAAAACCTTCAATGGCCAAGAATACAAGAACGAGCAAGCGATACATAAAATATATTGTTATGTCTGCGGTGAGAAAACTAATTGACGATGACAGCAGCCGCAGTCGCAGCACCAACAACAACAACAACAACACCAACAGCAACAACAACACCAACAGCAGCAACAACAACAGCGGCTAAGGCAGCCAATAATCGACGATGAACGTTGTTGGTAGCACTTTTTCTGCAACAGACGGTCGACGGTCGACGGTTGCACGCTCATTTTGTACGTGAGTGTGTGTGTGTATGTGTGTGTGTGTGTACATTGAATGGCCTTCGTACTTTTCTATTTGAAGCAAAAAAAAGCAACAACAAATCGCTTAAATTTATTTATACGTTGCCAATGCTGTCGGATATAAAAGGCGCCGCCAATGCAATCATTTTGTATTGCATGAAATTATTGATTTGTTATTTGTTGAATTGTTTGGCGCAGCTTGTTAAAATGTCCAATAATTTTTTTCCGTTTTTTTTTTCAGCATTTCTACTATGTATGTATGTATGTATGTATGTATGTATGTATGTGACGGGCGGTACTGTGAACTTAATAATTGCATCTCAATTTCGATATTGCCAATTGCTTTCTGGTTAAGACATTATGACAGAATTCTTGAAAATTGTTGCGATTTGGTCAATAATTAGTTTTGAAAATTAATGTTAAACTGTAACTTATAACATTGTACAGTTATGTACATATTTTGAACACATACATATATTCCTATTATTAGAAATATTTTGATGGCAGGATTGTCTAACTGCGAGCTGCTTGCCATTAAATGTTAGAATTTAATTAACTATTTATATAGATTAAAATCAAATTCAATTTCAATTTTTTATTTTTATTCCTTCATTTAAAAAAGAATAAGACTTAGAATGTTACACTTAAAATAATAAAAGTTAATTCATTTATAAATATGCAAAGACAAGCAGATACAATGAATGGGGACTTACATATATACATATATATACACACATACATATATACATACATATATACATACACATATACATATGTACATACATACTTATATGAAATTAGTTTGTTATTCATATTACTTATTATATACCTACTTCTCACCGAATTAATGTTAATTTAATAATTTTTTTTGTGGTTTATTTATATATTTTACATTTATATAGCAATGAAAAATGCTTTCGACTTAAATTTGTTTCATCTCGACACTATTGAATGGCATTTCCGGTTTTAAGCTTCGCTACGTGCATTGCTTGCATCTGGTTGAGAACCTTGCTTTTGCTGGGACCATGCGTACACCAAGACAAAAGCTACTTGCCACATATGCGTCCTTGGTGCTAGAGCAAGAAGCTTTGATCTAACATATTTTCAGAAGCTTTTTGAATTGAGTTCTAACTAAAAGTTCCAGCTGAACTTTTCAGATAAGTGGGGGACACGAAAAACTTAGTCGGGAGCACTACAACAACATCCACAACAAAAACCAACGTGAGAGCATTCGATCAACGACACAAGCACGGCGTGTATTTTGTTTTCATACTCTGAACCCGTAGGGCAAAAAGGGTATATTATGTGCAATGTAGGTAACAGGCAGAATAAAGCATCTACGACCCCATAAAATATATACTTGTATGTATGTATGTAAATTTATTCTTAATCAGCATGACGAGAGCAATCGAGAAAGGACGAGCTTATGTTATTTTTTTGAATGTTCTCCCCCCTTTTCCCGCAACAAATGTTCGTCAATACTGTCCACATTTCAAAAGCTACAAAAATCAAAATTGTCACAAGCAGTTATCTACTTTTGTTTTAAATTCATTTAAATCGGTCAATTCTAAGAAAACATAGTAGCGTTTAGTAGGTTTTACTCCAGTACTACAAGTATGACCACAAACTGTATCCACATTTCTAAATCTACATAAACCACACTTGGTATGTTGACTCTCCTAATATCCAGATAACACGTGTTTATTTAATTTTTTGGATTTCATAACTTTACAAATTACGCACACTTTTGAAATAAAGATAGCTTAATCTAGTGATGTCATTGGCAACTATTGGTAAAAACTAAAGACAAAGCTGCAATTTTTTCACTTTTTGTACTCTGTTCATTAAATGTAGTAGAAGAGTATATTGCGCGAGCTGAAAATGTAACAGGCAGAAGGAGGCGTGGCAGACTCCACAAAGTATATACACAAGGGCGTAGGCAGGGGGGCCGTTCATTATTATGACGCACTATTTCGCCTTAAAATGGTTCTGAGTTGGATTTGTTGAAGTTTTTTCATTGATCATAAAAATAAGTTATTTTTTAAATGCTTCGTGCATTATTTAATCAAAATTTTAATTTTTGGGCCCCCTTTTGGTAAAAGCTGCCTACGCCCCTGCGCCCTTTTAAGAATGACGTGCATTCTCATAGAAACAATTGATAAACACCGCACTGTGCATTTGAATCCCCAGTAGCTTTTTAGCTTCGGGCGGGTGAAATCAGTTTTCTACGCGCATGTAGATGACATTTTATAGGCATTTCAACTGCCATCGTAATAAACATTGTTAGATTTCAAATTGCTCTTGGTGTATCTTTAATTTTTGTTGTTTTTAAAGCGTAACAAGTGTAATCTTTCAGAATTAATGCGACACAATTTGTAAAATTCTGAAAGAGTAAAGCAAAAATATACAAAACCTTAAACAGCCATAATATTACATCAAACAATATTTGAGAGATAATGGAATAGAGAATTTAAATACTTACATGGAGATTGTGCAATGTGCATAAAACTTGTCTAGCAACTTTACGAATTCTGTGCTTTGTAGATTTGCAATCTTTAAATAAATTGTAAATAATAAAACTAAAAAGGTATTAAGCCGCAATTGTTTCAAGCAACTAAAGCTATTTATAATTTTGATTTGACAATTTCTTATTCCTCAAAATAAAGTGAAAATAGTATATTACTAATACTTATAGAGCATACCTTAGAGATTACCTTCCATATATGGACCAATTCTGCGGATCTAATTTTTGGGTAAGCTATCTGCATCCATTTGACAAAAGAATGAGTAGAGTTAAACATATATTTAGGATTCCAACAAAACCTGGTGGACAACCGATCCGCAATTCACAACATGTTTCGAAAAAACTGCTCTTGTCTGGGCACCATGCGCATTTCTATGGACGTTTATTATATTCGACTTCTACTACCTCAAAGCGAGTTTTGATAAAGATATTCCGTGGAACAAATTAAATTTAAGCAAGCTTGTGATTAATCTCGGACTTCTGGCCATAACCGCATTAGATTTGATCATAGCTTTGGTTAAGAAGGGCGACGAATCTGCCGCTGAAATATACCTCGTAGATATTTGGAGTCCCATTATTAAGTTCGCTACTTTTGTAAGTTCATGGAGACCGCTGTGTTATATTCAATATTTGCTAATTGACAATTTTTTAGTTGCTGGCCTTCATATTCATTCCACTGAATAGAAAATATGGGGTACAGACGTCTGGTTGCCAGTTCCTATTTTGGTTCCTACTTTCTGTTTGTTCCATACCTCGCTGTATTTCGGAAGTACAAGCTGATCGAAATCGCAGGAGCGAAGTACAAGACTTATTTTGGGAGAATTACCAATATTGTAGCTTCTTCTTTTTCTTTGCATCATCATGTGCCATGCTGTTGCTGAATTGTTTTGCCGACAGCATGCCCAGACAGACGAAATACAAACGGGAAAAGGTAAAAAATACTCTACTGTTTTTTTTCAGGGAGTGTAATTATTATGTGTTATTATAAAAATGAGTTTTACTTCACAACCTAACTAATATTCATTATTTTTAAACAAAAAAACTCATTTAATAATGATTATTTTTAAAATTTATATATATCCTTAAACAATGAGCCAAGACCAACCCGAACCAGTTTTGAGCTAAAAAAAAAAACATCCTTAAAAAATATTTGCGGGCAAAATTACACCTTGAGTTTTATTTTTGATCAAATCATATTAAATAAATCATTACATTTTGAGAGAATGATTAAAAATTTAAATTTAAATCATGGTGAAAATAGATAATCCTAAAAAAGGTAATGTTGGTAAATTTCTCGCTTTCCCAAAGTTAAGTGAATGATTTTTGAGTTACAAAAAAATTCATTATTTTCACTCCCTTTTTTAACGCTCTATAAGCCACTGACAATTTTATTCAACTAAATTGTTTATTTATTATGATTCATTTAACATCATATCTGTAGACTTTTGAAATTTAAGTACACCATATGGTAGAGTATATCGTACAACAATATGCTCAAATATTATTGCAGAATGAGATGCCGGAACTTTCCGCCAGTTTCTTGTCGCGCATTACGTATTATTGGTTTGATGGAATGGCCAGGAAGGGCTACCGGAAATCTCTCGAGGAAGCAGACCTTTGGGACCTTTGTCCACGGGACAGTAGCAAGGAGGTGATGCCAACTTTCGCCTACCACTGGCACAAATATAAGCCTTCACTGGCTTGGGAGTCAAAAGCGAAATACGAAAATGAAAAGGTGACATTCGTTAAACCAAAAAGTTGGAGAAACCGTACAAAGAAGGACATGGTCTCAATATTGCCCGTAATCTTCAGGTCCTTCGGTGGCGTAATTCTTTTCAGTTCGCTTTTGAAGTTAATCACAAATATACTGGCATTGGTACAGCCGCAAGTCTTAAGCCTAATTATTGAATTTGTTTCGGACTTCGAGGGGGAACAGCAGCCCCAATGGAAAGGCATAATGTATGCCATTCTGCTGTTTGTATTGGCCGTATTGCAGACCTTGATGTTGGCCCAATACTTCCATCGCATACTCATTGTAGGCCGGCGCACTCGAACAGCGCTGATTAATTCCATTTATCGCAAGTCTTTGCGCATATCGAACTCCAGTCGAAAGGAGTCCACTGTGGGTGAAATTGTCAACCTGATGGCTGTAGATGCGCAACGCTTCGTTGAATTCACGCACTTCATCAACACTCTGTGGTCTGCTCCATTGAAGATCGGAGTAGCACTGTTTTTTCTGTGGCAGCTTCTAGGTCCTTCTGTTTTGGGAGGACTTGTCGTTATGTTCATGTTGATACCGCTGAATGGTTTCATTGCCAGTCGTACACGGAAATACCAAATTCGTCAAATGCAATACAAGGACGAACGTATCAAGCTAATGAATGAGATTTTAAATGGCATAAAGGTTAGTAAGTTTGTTTCCTCACTGAGCCTTTGTTAACTCAGTTTAAATTTTCAGGTGCTCAAGCTTTATGCCTGGGAGCCTAGTTTCGAGAAGCAAGTACTAAATATACGTGAGAAGGAAATCAAAACACTAAAGTCCACAGCCTATCTTAACGCAAGCTCCTGGTTTCTTTGGTCTTGCGCCAACGTTTTGGTAAGAATAATCAATATCAAAAATAATATCCACGTAGCCCACTAGTTTCGTTACATACTTGTATGTATATAGATATGTACGTGTATATATGTGTGTATAAGTATATTCCTATCGAACTGCCATATTCAAAATTCTTTCGAAGCAACATTTATTCCAGAATCCATGCGCATGGCACTCTTGTTTATCTTTCGACACAAATTGATTTCAGAAATTGTATACCTTGTACGAGCATATTGATATCAGAATTTTAAAGAGAGCACCTATAAATTTGAAATATTCAATCTTCTATTTTAATTGTAATGTTATATTGTATTTCCTTATGACTAATCTACAAAAGGTAACTAATTTATAGATGTTGATAATGGGAGCTACAATTATTTATTGTACCATTTACCTACTGGGAATATGGGTGGCCTCGTTTTTATTGTGCTAACCCAAGGATAAGAATTAACAAAAATCCGGTAATACTATCAAATTCGATTTAAAAACTAAAAGAATAACAAGCTTTTGAATCGCACAGAAAAAATATATACATATTAAAAGTGTTTTCCAAATACATTTGCAGAGGTGTATTAACTTTTGAAATGGATCAAGCCCACATACCCAAAATATTTTCAAGTTTAGAAAACTGTCTGTAGTTTTAAAAAGTTAAATTCTACTTTAGTATATTTAATTAATTTTATTAGACAGAAACACAAACGATTTTCTATATTATAGGGCGATTTGAAGTTTTTCTCAGAATGTAGTGTCATGGCCTAGTTATAGTTACCATGCAAACAAACTTGAACCATCTAAAAAACAAAATACGTGTGTGTATGTTTTATACTTATTATTATTTTCAGGTCGCATTGGTAACATTTGGCACTTATGTATTGATCGACGAAAACAACGTGCTCGACGCTAATAAAGCCTTTGTCTCGCTGTCTCTATTTAATATCCTAAGTCGGGAATTGACAATATTACCTATTCTTGTTACCAGCTTGGTACAGGTTAGCTAAGTCAAGGTATAAAATGAACTCATTATTTAATTTTTATTTGCCTCTCTTTCAAATAGATACAAGTGTCTGTTAAACGCATAAACAAATTCTTGAACAGCGAAGAGTTGGACCCCAACAACGTGCAACACGATGCCTCAAAACGTAAGTGTCTGCACCGTGCTGCCAACATACTTGTATTAATTTTACTGTTAATTTGGCGTGAACGCAGCTCATCCGATGACCATTGAAAACGCTTCATTTTCCTGGGACGATGACAACGAGACGCTCACAAACATTAACATTGTAGTGCCAAGAAACAATCTTGTAGCCATTGTAGGCACTGTTGGTTCCGGCAAGTCATCCGTGATTCAAGCCTTCCTCGGCGAAATGGAAAAGTTGTCTGGTAGTGTCAACACGGTTGGCAAGCTGGCGTATGTTCCCCAGCAGGCCTGGATTCAGAATGCCACACTGAGAGATAATATACTTTTTGGCCAGCCTTATGATCGTCGGCGGTACAATCGAGTAATCGAGGCGTGCGCATTACGGGCCGACATTGATATTCTGTCGGCCGGTGATCTGACCGAGATCGGAGAAAAGGGCATCAATTTATCGGGTGGCCAGAAGCAGCGTATTTCGTTGGCACGCGCCGTCTACAGCAACGCCGATCTCTATTTGCTAGATGATCCGCTGAGCGCCGTTGACTCCCATGTAGGCAAACATATCTTCGAGGAGGTAATCGGACCCAAGGGTATGCTGGCGAACAAAACGCGTGTGTTGGTCACACACGGCATTACATTTTTGCCACAAGTGGACAACATTTATGTCATGAAGTTGGGCGAAATCAGTGAAAGCGGAACTTACAGTGAATTGCTCCAGAATAGGGGAGCCTTTGCCGAATTCCTTATCCAGCATCTACAGGTGGGCGAAGTGGAACAAGAGGACCTAGATAAGATTCAACGGCAACTGTCTAGCACAATCAGTGAGCCCGGGTTGCTGCAAACTATTGAGAAGATCATTGATGTAGCACGATCGGAGAGCCTTTCCGACTCTATGTAAATAAGCCGCACATGGAATAAGTATTCAAAAATTAATGAATAACTTCTCTTTTGTATTAGTTCTCTATATTCCAACGATAGTCTAATGGGTGGTTTGCAAAATCGCATTAGCCGTCAGCAATCGCGTGAATCCAAGATCTCCGCTCATTCGCTGAGAAAAAAAGAAGAAGTAGAAGGAAAACTAATCGAGTCGGAGAAGTCACAGACTGGAAATGTAAGTGGCTAATAATCTCACCATTGGGATAAATGGTTCTTCCATGTCTGCAATCTATCCAATTTGAATTAAATTGCATTCCTTTACTTTAACCTTTCAATTTTCTCTTACGTTGCATTTTCAGGTCGATCTTGCCGTTTACAAGCATTACGTTAAGAGTATCGGCGTATTTATGGCTATAGCAGTGCTAGCTCTTAACTTTGTTTGCGAAGCATTCAAAGTCGGTTCTAGTCTATGTCTTACAGAATGGGCTAATGATAACGATGTGGCTAACAGCACTAGCAAACGAGATATGTATTTGGGACTCTACAGTGCATTCGGTTTCTGTATAGGCATGTTAATCTTTTATTGACCATATATTTTCATTCTACCTTAATTCTCAATTCTTTTGTTGTACTCTTCACTCTTCACGAGTTCATAACCATGGATGACAAAACATAAAATAAGTGAAAATGCTTTCTAAATCAAGATTAGTTTAATCAAGCAGAGGACTTTAAAATATTTCAAGTTATCTTTCATATGTTGTTTGATAAAAAATTTTGTCTATCGTTCGATTCTTATGATCAGTTGCCACAAGTTTTTTTTCGACACTCACATACTCGCTTGGAAGTCTACGATGCGCGCGGGCTTTGCATTCCACCCTCTTGCATTATAACTTGCGATGGCCTATGGAGCTCTTCGATACGACGCCACTGGGACGGATTGTGAATCGGTTTTCGAATGACATTGATGTAATCGACAACGTGTTGCCCTCCAATGTTCACGGCATGTTGATCGAGGGATTTGCGGTAAATAAAGTTTAATATACATTAAATTAATTAAGATCACCAAAAACTATAATAATGACGACCGTATTCTATTCAGACTACCTTCAAAGTCTTTTCTGATCCGACTCAATGTTATCACAATTCTATTTATATTGATATGATTAAAGCTTTCGACAAAAGTGTTTGGGAAATTGATTTAATCGAAAATGATTATCTAATTTCTTCAAATAACTAAGTTAACTACTTCCTTCCTCTTTTACCGATAATCACTTTTCAAGGTCTTAACCACAATTGTGGTAATTAGCTTATCAACTCCCATCTTTCTGGTGGCCATTGTACCCATTGCCGTTATGTACTTCTACACGCAGCGCTTTTTCGTGCCCACCGCTAGGCAATTGAAGAGGTTGGAGTCCATATCTCGTTCACCCATTTACTCACACTTCAGTGAGACACTTACTGGTGTATCCACGATTCGAGCCTTTTCCGTGAAGAATCGGTAACATTTACTATTATTATTTGCTGTTGAAATTCAATGAATGCTTTCATATCCCTTTGCTTCAGCTTTATCAATGAGTCGGACGCCAAGGTGGACAAAAATCAAGCATTCAAATATCCCTCTATGATTTCAAACCGTTGGCTTGCTGTACGATTGGAAATGCTCGGTAATATGATCATCTTGTTTACTTCCTTGTTTGCCGTGCTGGGGGGCCAGACCAATCCAGCTCTTGTAGGCTTGTCAGTGACCTACGCAATGCAGGTAACACAGATTTTAAACTGGCTGGTTCGCACGATATCTGATGTGGAGACAAATATCGTATCCGTCGAGCGAATCAAGGAGTACAGCGAGTCCAAGCAGGAGGCACCATGGGAACAGGAGCAGGACATGTCGAAGTCGAAGAACTGGCCTGAAGAGGGATGTGTCTCGTTTGAAAATTTAAAGGTGCGTTATCGCAAGGGCTTAGATCTAGTATTGCATGGCGTTACCTTTTATGTACGTGGCGGCGAGAAAATTGGCATCGTGGGACGCACGGGTTCAGGAAAATCAAGCTTAATGCTGTCCATGTTTCGGTATGTAGAACAAATGGTTATATTAGTATATCAAAACACTCAAAAATTTATCATTTATACATTTCCTTATCCTTTCGACAGCATCATCGAAGCATCGGAAGGACGGATATTGATCGATGGAACCGATATTGCCAGCTTGGGCTTGCACATGCTTCGCTCACGTCTATCCATCATTCCGCAGGATCCAGTGCTATTCTCCGGCTCTCTGCGCATCAATTTGGATCCATTTGGTGTTAAAAGCGACGATGATATTTGGAAAGCCCTGGAGCTATCCCACTTGAAATCGTTTGTGAAGGGCTTTCCTGCCGGCCTGAATCACAGCATTGTGGAGGGCGGGGAGAACTTGTCGGTGGGGCAACGACAGTTGGTTTGCTTGGCTCGGGCATTGTTACGCAAGACCAAAGTGCTCGTGTTGGATGAGGCCACTGCGGCTGTTGATTTGGAAACTGATGACCTCATACAAGTGAGTGGTTTTCTCAATGAAGAGTTAAACATCTAACTGATTGCCTGCATTTCTCAGAAAACTATTCGCTCGGAGTTTAAGGAATGCACAGTGTTGACCATTGCCCATCGACTTAACACCATACTAGACTCCGATAAAATAATTGTGTTGGATTGCGGTATCGTTAAAGAGTTTTCCTCACCTACCAAATTGTTAAGTGATCCTGACTCTATCTTCTTCAGAATGTCAAAGGATGCCAATCTTGTTTAATTTTTATCAACTCTCACTAAAGTATTTTCTACAACAGCTACTTAAACAACTTTGCTTTTTACTACAAATAATAAAATTTTGCTACAATAAGAAAGTGGTTTATACGACCTCATAAAAAAGATAAATTTTTCTTATAGATAATTGTTGTCCATTGACCAGTGTGTCAGGGGATTTTCTATTTATCTTTTTGGCCGTTATCTCTGTCGATAATGAGTATGTTAACTTGATTGTTGTCGCTCAGATACTCGCCCAAAAATAATAACAAATGTTTGACTCATTGCTCTACCAAATAAAGATATAAGAGTGATATAGTACATATACATCTACGGTAAAGTTAAAGCTTTTTCATCGAGATGTTGACTGAATAATAGGAAATCTTTTAAGCATCCCATTACAAAGCAATTGATAAAGAAAAAGAGCAGAGTCTGCCTTATTAATTGTATGCTCTGCCGGGCTAATTTGTAATAATTTCTGGCTCGCTCACTCGTAAGCGTGGCTACGTTCTCATTGAAGCAAATGATAACCACCGCGCTACATGTTTGCATTCCCAGTCAATTTAAAAACTTCAAACGCACAGCACCTCAACGGACCGCTGTCGGAATTCAAACGCGTATCTAAATATTTTTGTATTTCATCTGCTGTGGTAATTATAATCGCTATTTTAAATTTCGGTTGATGAGCTTCTATATGTCTTCTCTTGCGTAACAAGTGTACGTCGAATGTATTTTACTCATATTGTGAAATTGGCTATTTTCCCCGATATATGTATGTACATATGTATAAACATACACTCATATGGATTGCCGGCGTAAAATTATCTATTACGTACATAAGCGTTCATATGCTCATACATATTTATGTACATATTTATGTCACACATTATACATACATACATACATACATACATACATACATATGTATGTACATAGTATGTATGCATGTAATAGAACATCCATAATTACATATACAGTGCAGTTTAACCAATAACATTTTAATATAAAAGATAAAAATAGAGAATACATTCCATGTTAAGCAAAGTAGATTAAATTATACAGCAGCTCTGAAGGTTGGGTATTTAAATATGTACATATGTATGTATGTATATGACTTGTTAAGATAAGATCCTTAATAAAATACATATGTATGTACATACATTTGCTGTAAGAAAATCATATTCGACTTCCCCCAATATTAATAATAACTGTAACAAACGTTTCGGATCTAATTATTAAGTATATCAACAATGTTTGTAGTTAATTAATTTATAGTTAAACAAATTTTATTTAACTACATTTTTCAATTTCCCACGCAAAATAACCCAATCAGCTGTGCCTCAATCGCTCTGTCTATTTAACTAGTGTATCGACCAGCCCTGCCAACCCGCTGATGCGACAAAGTTCTTTTGTCCGCTCTTTTAAAATTTAAAACATGCTCCCTAGGATAGGAATCATGAAAAAGCAATGATATATGTTGTTTCAAAGCTCACGTCACCACACAATTATTAAGTGTGTGTCGTAGTTAAAAAAGGAGGTGGATGGTGAGAGCCAAAAGTTGCACCCTGGATTGCGTTTTCGTTTTCCTTATACTATACATACATATATGTACATATGTTTGTATGCATCAGCTGGTAATGTTTACATTGTCGGTAAACAGCCGGGTCAAGAAACCGCTGTGCATATTTCGTTTTGTTTAATAACAAATATTGTTTTTTAAACTATTAAAAAATCATGATTATATTACATAATACTTTACATTGTCATACAACATATTTTCAAGTAATTCAATTTAAAGCTCAACAACGCTCATGGATCAGTTCTGCGGCTCCAAGTTTTGGGTGAGTTACATATTCACAATCTTTTGATAAAATGGCTATAGAATAAACATTTAAATATTTATTTTAGAACGAGACCTGGTGGACAACTGATCCGCAATTCACAACATGTTTCGAAAAAACTGCTCTTGTCTGGGCACCATGCGCATTTCTATGGACGTTTATTATATTCGACTTCTACTACCTCAAAGCGAGTTTTGATAAAGACATTCCGTGGAACAAATTAAATTTAAGCAAGCTTGTGATTAATCTCGGACTTCTTGCCATAACCGCATTAGATTTGATCATAGCTTTGGTTAAGAAGGGCGACGAATCTGCCGCTGAAATATACCTCGTAGATATTTGGAGTCCCATTATTAAGTTCGCTACTTTTGTAAGTTCATGGAGACCGCTGTGTTATATTCAATATTTGCTAATTATGACAATTTTTTTAGTTGCTGGCCTTCATATTCATTCCACTGAATAGAAAATATGGAGTACAGACGTCTGGTTGCCATTTCCTATTTTGGTTCCTACTTTCTGTTTGTTCCATACCTCGCTGTTTTTCGGAATTACAAGCTGATCGTAATCGCAGGAGCGACGTCGAAGACTTCTCTTGGGAGAATTACCAATATTGTAGCTTCTTCTTTTTCTTTGCATCATCATGTGCCATGCTGTTGCTGAATTGTTTTGCCGACAGCATGCCCAGACAGACGAAATACAAACGAGGAAAGGTAAAAAAAAACTCTACTGTTTTTATTTTGACGCATTCCAATCTTGGACTATTGCAGAATGAGATGCCTCAACTTTCCGCCAGTTTTTTGTCGCGCATTACCTATTACTGGTTCGATGCATTGTCATACAAGGGCTTCCGCAAACCTCTCGAGGAGGGAGATCTTTGGGACTTACGCCCACAGGATAGCAGCAAGGAAGTGATGCCGCCATTTGCTCACAACTGGAACAAATATGTGCTGAAAAACAAGAAAGATTCTCTGACATGGGAACCAAAAGCCCAATTTAGCAACGACAATGTGTCATTCGTAAATCCTCATGGTGGGCGCAATCGAGACAAGAAGGTCATGGCTTCAATAATTCCGGTAATCTTCAAGTCCTTTGGCGGCGCATTTCTTTTCAGCTCGTTTCTAAAGCTGATTGCTGACATACTGACATTGGCACAACCGCAAGTTTTGAGCTTGATTATTGGATTCGTTGGAGACTTCGAAAAGGAACAACAACCGCAATGGAAGGGAATAACGTACGCAGTTCTTCTATTCGTATTGGCCAGCATACAGACTCTAATTGTGTCCCAGTACCATGATCGCGTTATCATGATCGGCCATCGTACTCGAATTGCGCTTACCAATGGAATCTATCGCAAAGCTTTGCGCATATCGAACGCCACTCGAAAGGAGTGTACTGTCGGCGAAATTGTTAATTTGATGGCTGTCGATGCGCAGCGGTTCGTGGAACTTACATACTACGTCAATATTTTGTGGTCAGCCCCAATAAAGATCTCGCTAGTGCTCTACTTCCTGTGGCAGTTGCTAGGCCCTTCGGTCTTGGCTGGTCTGACGGTTTTGATTCTCTTGATACCGGTAAATGGTTTCATAGTTAATCGCTTAAAGATGTATCAAATACGCCAAATGAGATACAAGGACGAACGTGTAAAGCTTATGAATGAGATCTTAAGTGGCATAAAGGTAAGTTTTTTTACACACTACAGCTTTGTGATAACACTTTTGAATTTTTAGGTGCTCAAGCTTTATGCCTGGGAACCAAGTTTTGAAAAGCAAGTACTGAATATACGAGAAAAGGAAATCACAACGCTGAAATCATCGGCCTATTTGAACGCCAGCTCCTTGTTTATTTGGTCGTGCGCCAACTTTTTGGTAAGATTACAGTTCTCTTTTAAAATAGAATTCTCAAACAACATTAATGCAATTTCAAATTTTTAGGTGTCCTTGGTTACATTTGGAACTTACGTACTAATCGACGAAAACAACGTGCTCGATGCTACTAAAACCTTTGTCTCTTTGTCTTTATTTAATATTTTAAATTTTGAACTAACAGTATTACCCATTCTCATTCCAACCTTGGTGCAGGTATGTTTTAAGAAAGCATAAAATGGGATCCTTGTAAATGTGTATTCTTTTCCTATTAGATATATGTATCTGCCACACGCGTGAACAAATTCTTGAACAGCGAAGAGTTGGACCCCAACAACGTGCAACACGATGCCTCAAAACGTAAGTATCTGCACCGTGCTGCCAACATACTTGTATTAATTTTACTGTTAATTTGGCGTGAACGCAGCTCATCCGATGACCATTGAAAACGCTTCATTTTCCTGGGACGATGACAACGAGACGCTCACAAACATTAACATTGTAGTGCCAAGAAACAATCTTGTAGCCATTGTAGGCACTGTTGGTTCCGGCAAGTCATCCGTGATTCAAGCCTTCCTCGGCGAAATGGAAAAGTTGTCTGGTAGTGTCAACACGGTTGGCAAGCTGGCGTATGTTCCCCAGCAGGCCTGGATTCAGAATGCCACACTGAGAGATAATATACTTTTTGGCCAGCCATACGATCGTCGGCGGTACAATCGAGTAATCGAGGCGTGCGCATTACGGGCCGACATTGATATTCTGTCGGCCGGTGATCTGACCGAGATCGGAGAAAAGGGCATCAATTTATCGGGTGGCCAGAAGCAGCGTATTTCGTTGGCACGCGCCGTCTACAGCAACGCCGATCTCTATTTGCTAGATGATCCGCTGAGCGCCGTTGACTCCCATGTAGGCAAACATATCTTCGAGGAGGTAATCGGACCCAAGGGTATGCTGGCGAACAAAACGCGTGTGTTGGTCACACACGGCATTACATTTTTGCCACAAGTGGACAACATTTATGTCATGAAGTTGGGCGAAATCAGTGAAAGCGGAACTTACACTGAGTTACTCCAGAATAGGGGAGCCTTTGCCGAATTCCTTATCCAGCATCTACAGGAGGGCGAAAAGGAATATGAGGACCTAGATAAGATTCAACGGCAACTGTCTAGCACAATCAGTGAGCCCGGGTTGCTGCAAACTATTGAGAAGATCATTGATGTAGCACGATCGGAGAGCCTTTCCGACTCTATGTAAATAAGCCGCACATGGAATAAGTATTCAAAAATTAATGAATAACTTCTCTTTTCTATTAGTTCTCTATATTCCAACGATAGCCTAATGGGTGGTTTGCAAAATCGCATTAGCCGTCAGCAATCGCGTGAATCCAAGATCTCCGCTTATTCGCTGAGAAAAAAAGAAGAAGAAGTAGAAGGAAAACTAATCGAGTCGGAGAAGTCACAGACTGGAAATGTAAGTGGCTAATAATCTCACCACGATTAAAATTCATCCAATTGCAATTTAATTGATGTCTTTTATTTTAACCTTTCAATTTTCTCTTATGTTGCATTTTTAGGTCGATCTTGCAGTTTACAGGCACTACGTCAAGAGTATCGGCAAATTTATGGCTATATCAATGTTAGCCCTAAACTTGGTGTTTCAAGCTTTCCAAGTTGGTTCTAGTCTATGGCTCACAAAATGGGCCAATGATGACGACGTTTCTAACGATACCAGCAAGCGAGACATGTATCTGGGGGTCTATGGGGCGTTCGGTTTCTGCATAGGTAGGTACTGCGGACTCGGATACATACTACAAGTATACCTAATATGTAGATTTTATTTAATTATTTGTTTGTTTTAAACATGGTTAGAGCTTTATACTCATTCCTACTAATCCTTAATCGCGTAACATTTTCCATTCGATTTGTCTGATTTAGAAAATACGCTAAAAAGATAAAAATATTACTTTTAATTATCTTTTAAATGAGTTTATCTCTCTCTCTCCCTCTTTTGTAAACAATCGATCGATTGTGATCAGTCGTCACGAATTTTGGCTCAGCTCTCGCCTATTCACTGGGTTGTCTTAAATGCTCTCGCACCCTGCATAACACGCTCCTGCATTACAACCTCCGATGGCCAATGGAGCTCTTCGACACGACGCCACTGGGACGGATTGTGAATCGCTTCTCGAATGATATCGATGTAATCGATAACTCATTGCCCCAAAATATTCGCGGTGTGCTCTCTCAGGCAATTATGGTAACCTATTTTATCAACAATAATTAAGACTCACCCTTCACTTTTCTTGAATATTAAGTTGTCTTGGGCCTAAATAAGAGATACTGTTATTATCCTCTTTTATTACAAATCTGTATTTAAGGTCTTAGCCACTCTAAGCGTTATAAGCTTAGCAACACCCGTCTTTCTGATCGTCATCGTGCCCATAGCCATCCTATACTACTTCACTCAGCGCTTTTATGTGCCCACCTCTCGGCAATTGAAGCGGTTGGAATCCGTTTCTCGGTCGCCCATTTACTCTCACTTTAGCGAATCGATTACTGGAGTATCAACGATTCGAGCCTATTCTGTGGAAGAGCGGTAACTTATTTTATTTTGGTTTACTGTCCACATTTGATTACTATTCTTACAACTTTTGTACAGATTTATTGATGAGTCGGACAGCAGGGTGGACAAAAATCATACCTGTCGGTATCCTGCCATAATTTCGAAACGGTGGCTGGCCGTACGCCTAGAGATGATTGGCAATATGATAATTTTGTTTACTTCCTTGTTTGCCGTACTGGGAGGTCAAACTAATCCCGCCCTTGTAGGCTTGTCCGTGAGCTACGCAATGCAGGTAACGCAGACTCTCAACTGGCTGGTGCGTATGATGTCTGACATTGAGACCAATATAGTGTCTGTGGAGCGCATTAAGGAGTACGGAGAGTCCAAGCAGGAGGCAGCATGGGAACTAGAAAAGGACAAGTCGATGTCAAAGAACTGGCCTGAAGAGGGATGTGTTTCGTTTGAAAATTTAAAGGTGCGCTATCGTGAAGGCTTGGACCTAGTATTGCATGGCGTTACCTTTCATGTAGGTGGCGGCGAGAAAATTGGCATCGTGGGACGCACGGGTTCAGGCAAATCAAGCTTAATGCTGTCCATGTTTCGGTATGTAGAACAAATGGTTATGTTAGTATATCAAAACACTCAAAAATTTATCATTAATACATTTCCTTATCCTTTCGACAGCATCATCGAAGCATCGGAAGGACGGATATTGATCGATGGAACCGATATTGCCAGCTTGGGCTTGCACATGCTTCGCTCTCGTCTATCCATCATTCCGCAGGATCCAGTGCTATTCTCCGGCTCTCTGCGCATCAATTTGGATCCATTTGGTGTTAAAAGCGACGATGAAATTTGGAAAGCCCTGGAGCTATCCCACTTGAAATCGTTTGTGAAGGGCTTTCCTGCCGGTCTGAATCACAGCATTGTGGAGGGCGGGGAGAACTTGTCGGTGGGGCAACGACAGTTGGTTTGCTTGGCTCGGGCATTGTTACGCAAGACCAAAGTGCTCGTGTTGGATGAGGCCACTGCGGCTGTTGATTTGGAAACTGATGACCTGATACAAGTGAGTGGTTTTCTCAATGAAGAGTTAAACATCTAACTGATTGCCTGCATTTCTCAGAAAACTATTCGCTCGGAGTTTAAGGAATGCACAGTGTTGACCATTGCCCATCGACTTAACACCATACTAGACTCCGATAAAATAATTGTGTTGGATTGCGGTATCGTTAAAGAGTTTTCCTCACCTACCAAATTGTTAAGTGATCCTGACTCTATCTTCTTCAGAATGTCAAAGGATGCCAATCTTGTTTAATTTTTATCAACTCTCACTAAAGTATTTTCTACAACAGCTACTTAAACAACTTTGCTTTTTACTACAAATAATAAAATTTTGCTACAATAAGAAAGTGGTTTATACGACCTCATAAAAAAGATAAATTTTTCTTATAGATAATTGTTGTCCATTGACCAGTGTGTCAGGGGATTTTCTATTTATCTTTTTGGCCGTTATCTCTGTCGATAATGAGTATGTTAACTTGATTGTTGTCGCTCAGATACTCGCCCAAAAATAATAACAAATGTTTGACTCATTGCTCTACCAAATAAAGATATAAGAGTGATATAGTACATATACATCTACGGTAAAGTTAAAGCTTTTTCATCGAGATGTTGACTGAATAATAGGAAATCTTTTAAGCATCCCATTACAAAGCAATTGATAAAGAAAAAGAGCAGAGTCTGCCTTATTAATTGTATGCTCTGCCGGGCTAATTTGTAATAATTTCTGGCTCGCTCACTCGTAAGCGTGGCTACGTTCTCATTGAAGCAAATGATAACCACCGCGCTACATGTTTGCATTCCCAGTCAATTTAAAAACTTCAAACGCACAGCACCTCAACGGACCGCTGTCGGAATTCAAACGCGTATCTAAATATTTTTGTATTTCATCTGCTGTGGTAATTATAATCGCTATTTTAAATTTCGGTTGATGAGCTTCTATATGTCTTCTCTTGCGTAACAAGTGTACGTCGAATGTATTTTACTCATATTGTGAAATTGGCTATTTTCCCCGATATATGTATGTACATATGTATAAACATACACTCATATGGATTGCCGGCGTAAAATTATCTATTACGTACATAAGCGTTCATATGCTCATACATATTTATGTACATATTTATGTCACACATTATACATACATACATACATACATACATACATACATATGTATGTACATAGTATGTATGCATGTAATAGAACATCCATAATTACATATACAGTGCAGTTTAACCAATAACATTTTAATATAAAAGATAAAAATAGAGAATACATTCCATGTTAAGCAAAGTAGATTAAATTATACAGCAGCTCTGAAGGTTGGGTATTTAAATATGTACATATGTATGTATGTATATGACTTGTTAAGATAAGATCCTTAATAAAATACATATGTATGTACATACATTTGCTGTAAGAAAATCATATTCGACTTCCCCCAATATTAATAATAACTGTAACAAACGTTTCGGATCTAATTATTAAGTATATCAACAATGTTTGTAGTTAATTAATTTATAGTTAAACAAATTTTATTTAACTACATTTTTCAATTTCCCACGCAAAATAACCCAATCAGCTGTGCCTCAATCGCTCTGTCTATTTAACTAGTGTATCGACCAGCCCTGCCAACCCGCTGATGCGACAAAGTTCTTTTGTCCGCTCTTTTAAAATTTAAAACATGCTCCCTAGGATAGGAATCATGAAAAAGCAATGATATATGTTGTTTCAAAGCTCACGTCACCACACAATTATTAAGTGTGTGTCGTAGTTAAAAAAGGAGGTGGATGGTGAGAGCCAAAAGTTGCACCCTGGATTGCGTTTTCGTTTTCCTTATACTATACATACATATATGTACATATGTTTGTATGCATCAGCTGGTAATGTTTACATTGTCGGTAAACAGCCGGGTCAAGAAACCGCTGTGCATATTTCGTTTTGTTTAATAACAAATATTGTTTTTTAAACTATTAAAAAATCATGATTATATTACATAATACTTTACATTGTCATACAACATATTTTCAAGTAATTCAATTTAAAGCTCAACAACGCTCATGGATCAGTTCTGCGGCTCCAAGTTTTGGGTGAGTTACATATTCACAATCTTTTGATAAAATGGCTATAGAATAAACATTTAAATATTTATTTTAGAACGAGACCTGGTGGACAACTGATCCGCAATTCACAACATGTTTCGAAAAAACTGCTCTTGTCTGGGCACCATGCGCATTTCTATGGACGTTTATTATATTCGACTTCTACTACCTCAAAGCGAGTTTTGATAAAGACATTCCGTGGAACAAATTAAATTTAAGCAAGCTTGTGATTAATCTCGGACTTCTTGCCATAACCGCATTAGATTTGATCATAGCTTTGGTTAAGAAGGGCGACGAATCTGCCGCTGAAATATACCTCGTAGATATTTGGAGTCCCATTATTAAGTTCGCTACTTTTGTAAGTTCATGGAGACCGCTGTGTTATATTCAATATTTGCTAATTATGACAATTTTTTTAGTTGCTGGCCTTCATATTCATTCCACTGAATAGAAAATATGGAGTACAGACGTCTGGTTGCCATTTCCTATTTTGGTTCCTACTTTCTGTTTGTTCCATACCTCGCTGTTTTTCGGAATTACAAGCTGATCGTAATCGCAGGAGCGACGTCGAAGACTTCTCTTGGGAGAATTACCAATATTGTAGCTTCTTCTTTTTCTTTGCATCATCATGTGCCATGCTGTTGCTGAATTGTTTTGCCGACAGCATGCCCAGACAGACGAAATACAAACGAGGAAAGGTAAAAAAAAACTCTACTGTTTTTATTTTGACGCATTCCAATCTTGGACTATTGCAGAATGAGATGCCTCAACTTTCCGCCAGTTTTTTGTCGCGCATTACCTATTACTGGTTCGATGCATTGTCATACAAGGGCTTCCGCAAACCTCTCGAGGAGGGAGATCTTTGGGACTTACGCCCACAGGATAGCAGCAAGGAAGTGATGCCGCCATTTGCTCACAACTGGAACAAATATGTGCTGAAAAACAAGAAAGATTCTCTGACATGGGAACCAAAAGCCCAATTTAGCAACGACAATGTGTCATTCGTAAATCCTCATGGTGGGCGCAATCGAGACAAGAAGGTCATGGCTTCAATAATTCCGGTAATCTTCAAGTCCTTTGGCGGCGCATTTCTTTTCAGCTCGTTTCTAAAGCTGATTGCTGACATACTGACATTGGCACAACCGCAAGTTTTGAGCTTGATTATTGGATTCGTTGGAGACTTCGAAAAGGAACAACAACCGCAATGGAAGGGAATAACGTACGCAGTTCTTCTATTCGTATTGGCCAGCATACAGACTCTAATTGTGTCCCAGTACCATGATCGCGTTATCATGATCGGCCATCGTACTCGAATTGCGCTTACCAATGGAATCTATCGCAAAGCTTTGCGCATATCGAACGCCACTCGAAAGGAGTGTACTGTCGGCGAAATTGTTAATTTGATGGCTGTCGATGCGCAGCGGTTCGTGGAACTTACATACTACGTCAATATTTTGTGGTCAGCCCCAATAAAGATCTCGCTAGTGCTCTACTTCCTGTGGCAGTTGCTAGGCCCTTCGGTCTTGGCTGGTCTGACGGTTTTGATTCTCTTGATACCGGTAAATGGTTTCATAGTTAATCGCTTAAAGATGTATCAAATACGCCAAATGAGATACAAGGACGAACGTGTAAAGCTTATGAATGAGATCTTAAGTGGCATAAAGGTAAGTTTTTTTACACACTACAGCTTTGTGATAACACTTTTGAATTTTTAGGTGCTCAAGCTTTATGCCTGGGAACCAAGTTTTGAAAAGCAAGTACTGAATATACGAGAAAAGGAAATCACAACGCTGAAATCATCGGCCTATTTGAACGCCAGCTCCTTGTTTATTTGGTCGTGCGCCAACTTTTTGGTAAGATTACAGTTCTCTTTTAAAATAGAATTCTCAAACAACATTAATGCAATTTCAAATTTTTAGGTGTCCTTGGTTACATTTGGAACTTACGTACTAATCGACGAAAACAACGTGCTCGATGCTACTAAAACCTTTGTCTCTTTGTCTTTATTTAATATTTTAAATTTTGAACTAACAGTATTACCCATTCTCATTCCAACCTTGGTGCAGGTATGTTTTAAGAAAGCATAAAATGGGATCCTTGTAAATGTGTATTCTTTTCCTATTAGATATATGTATCTGCCACACGCGTGAACAAATTCTTGAACAGCGAAGAGTTGGACCCCAACAACGTGCAACACGATGCCTCAAAACGTAAGTATCTGCACCGTGCTGCCAACATACTTGTATTAATTTTACTGTTAATTTGGCGTGAACGCAGCTCATCCGATGACCATTGAAAACGCTTCATTTTCCTGGGACGATGACAACGAGACGCTCACAAACATTAACATTGTAGTGCCAAGAAACAATCTTGTAGCCATTGTAGGCACTGTTGGTTCCGGCAAGTCATCCGTGATTCAAGCCTTCCTCGGCGAAATGGAAAAGTTGTCTGGTAGTGTCAACACGGTTGGCAAGCTGGCGTATGTTCCCCAGCAGGCCTGGATTCAGAATGCCACACTGAGAGATAATATACTTTTTGGCCAGCCATACGATCGTCGGCGGTACAATCGAGTAATCGAGGCGTGCGCATTACGGGCCGACATTGATATTCTGTCGGCCGGTGATCTGACCGAGATCGGAGAAAAGGGCATCAATTTATCGGGTGGCCAGAAGCAGCGTATTTCGTTGGCACGCGCCGTCTACAGCAACGCCGATCTCTATTTGCTAGATGATCCGCTGAGCGCCGTTGACTCCCATGTAGGCAAACATATCTTCGAGGAGGTAATCGGACCCAAGGGTATGCTGGCGAACAAAACGCGTGTGTTGGTCACACACGGCATTACATTTTTGCCACAAGTGGACAACATTTATGTCATGAAGTTGGGCGAAATCAGTGAAAGCGGAACTTACACTGAGTTACTCCAGAATAGGGGAGCCTTTGCCGAATTCCTTATCCAGCATCTACAGGAGGGCGAAAAGGAATATGAGGACCTAGATAAGATTCAACGGCAACTGTCTAGCACAATCAGTGAGCCCGGGTTGCTGCAAACTATTGAGAAGATCATTGATGTAGCACGATCGGAGAGCCTTTCCGACTCTATGTAAATAAGCCGCACATGGAATAAGTATTCAAAAATTAATGAATAACTTCTCTTTTCTATTAGTTCTCTATATTCCAACGATAGCCTAATGGGTGGTTTGCAAAATCGCATTAGCCGTCAGCAATCGCGTGAATCCAAGATCTCCGCTTATTCGCTGAGAAAAAAAGAAGAAGAAGTAGAAGGAAAACTAATCGAGTCGGAGAAGTCACAGACTGGAAATGTAAGTGGCTAATAATCTCACCACGATTAAAATTCATCCAATTGCAATTTAATTGATGTCTTTTATTTTAACCTTTCAATTTTCTCTTATGTTGCATTTTTAGGTCGATCTTGCAGTTTACAGGCACTACGTCAAGAGTATCGGCAAATTTATGGCTATATCAATGTTAGCCCTAAACTTGGTGTTTCAAGCTTTCCAAGTTGGTTCTAGTCTATGGCTCACAAAATGGGCCAATGATGACGACGTTTCTAACGATACCAGCAAGCGAGACATGTATCTGGGGGTCTATGGGGCGTTCGGTTTCTGCATAGGTAGGTACTGCGGACTCGGATACATACTACAAGTATACCTAATATGTAGATTTTATTTAATTATTTGTTTGTTTTAAACATGGTTAGAGCTTTATACTCATTCCTACTAATCCTTAATCGCGTAACATTTTCCATTCGATTTGTCTGATTTAGAAAATACGCTAAAAAGATAAAAATATTACTTTTAATTATCTTTTAAATGAGTTTATCTCTCTCTCTCCCTCTTTTGTAAACAATCGATCGATTGTGATCAGTCGTCACGAATTTTGGCTCAGCTCTCGCCTATTCACTGGGTTGTCTTAAATGCTCTCGCACCCTGCATAACACGCTCCTGCATTACAACCTCCGATGGCCAATGGAGCTCTTCGACACGACGCCACTGGGACGGATTGTGAATCGCTTCTCGAATGATATCGATGTAATCGATAACTCATTGCCCCAAAATATTCGCGGTGTGCTCTCTCAGGCAATTATGGTAACCTATTTTATCAACAATAATTAAGACTCACCCTTCACTTTTCTTGAATATTAAGTTGTCTTGGGCCTAAATAAGAGATACTGTTATTATCCTCTTTTATTACAAATCTGTATTTAAGGTCTTAGCCACTCTAAGCGTTATAAGCTTAGCAACACCCGTCTTTCTGATCGTCATCGTGCCCATAGCCATCCTATACTACTTCACTCAGCGCTTTTATGTGCCCACCTCTCGGCAATTGAAGCGGTTGGAATCCGTTTCTCGGTCGCCCATTTACTCTCACTTTAGCGAATCGATTACTGGAGTATCAACGATTCGAGCCTATTCTGTGGAAGAGCGGTAACTTATTTTATTTTGGTTTACTGTCCACATTTGATTACTATTCTTACAACTTTTGTACAGATTTATTGATGAGTCGGACAGCAGGGTGGACAAAAATCATACCTGTCGGTATCCTGCCATAATTTCGAAACGGTGGCTGGCCGTACGCCTAGAGATGATTGGCAATATGATAATTTTGTTTACTTCCTTGTTTGCCGTACTGGGAGGTCAAACTAATCCCGCCCTTGTAGGCTTGTCCGTGAGCTACGCAATGCAGGTAACGCAGACTCTCAACTGGCTGGTGCGTATGATGTCTGACATTGAGACCAATATAGTGTCTGTGGAGCGCATTAAGGAGTACGGAGAGTCCAAGCAGGAGGCAGCATGGGAACTAGAAAAGGACAAGTCGATGTCAAAGAACTGGCCTGAAGAGGGATGTGTTTCGTTTGAAAATTTAAAGGTGCGCTATCGTGAAGGCTTGGACCTAGTATTGCATGGCGTTACCTTTCATGTAGGTGGCGGCGAGAAAATTGGCATCGTGGGACGCACGGGTTCAGGCAAATCAAGCTTAATGCTGTCCATGTTTCGGTATGTAGAACAAATGGTTATGTTAGTATATCAAAACACTCAAAAATTTATCATTAATACATTTCCTTATCCTTTCGACAGCATCATCGAAGCATCGGAAGGACGGATATTGATCGATGGAACCGATATTGCCAGCTTGGGCTTGCACATGCTTCGCTCTCGTCTATCCATCATTCCGCAGGATCCAGTGCTATTCTCCGGCTCTCTGCGCATCAATTTGGATCCATTTGGTGTTAAAAGCGACGATGAAATTTGGAAAGCCCTGGAGCTATCCCACTTGAAATCGTTTGTGAAGGGCTTTCCTGCCGGTCTGAATCACAGCATTGTGGAGGGCGGGGAGAACTTGTCGGTGGGGCAACGACAGTTGGTTTGCTTGGCTCGGGCATTGTTACGCAAGACCAAAGTGCTCGTGTTGGATGAGGCCACTGCGGCTGTTGATTTGGAAACTGATGACCTGATACAAGTGAGTGGTTTTCTCAATGAAGAGTTAAACATCTAACTGATTGCCTGCATTTCTCAGAAAACTATTCGCTCGGAATTTAAGGAATGCACAGTGTTGACCATTGCCCATCGACTTAACACCATACTAGACTCCGATAAAATAATTGTGTTGGATAAAGGAACCGTTAAAGAGTTTTCCTCACCAACGGAATTACTAGACAATCCTAAGTCTAACTTCTACAGAATGGCAAGGGATGCTAAACTAGTTTAATTACGATTAACTGACCCTAAAATTCTTTTTTTAAAAACTAGCCTTATATTTTAATGCAATTAGTAAGTCGTAGTTTTGCGCCCTATCTTGGCTTGAAAACCAAGTAAGTATTAAAATCTCACAATTTTACTCACATAACAATAGCTACAATTATAATAATTTGATTATGCTTATTATTCTTTTCTTTTATTATAATTCGTCTTTCTTTCAAATTTTAAAAAATTTCTTGTACATTTTGAAATCATAATTAAAAAATCAATATCTAAATGATCTGATTAAATAGTGCTCCTTAAACGGTATATTTAGCAATTAATTACCTCTCAAAAAATAAGCATTTTCAATAATCGAAGACATTCAGATTTTTGCAAATTTCCTTTTGTTTTTTAATAAATAAAATATTTGATGCAGAAATCAATGTTTTGAATTCTAGCACATACTGTGTTTATTTTGGCCTAGAGCTTGGAGTACCCCGAAGTTATTTGAATATCCCTCTTCCCTGACTTCAGTTAATCATCATTCATTATGATCTCAGGTGATAGGTGTAGTCTTTTTCAGTTGTACAGTACAAGTAACTCTCAAATACAAGAACACACCAATTTTAATACAGTAAGTAACGTCTTTATTTCTGCTCATGTTTTTCCCGTTTTATCAATATATAGTATGTATATATAAACTACATGATCAAATAAAAAATAATCTTACCAACGCTACAAACAGCAATGGAACTGTTCTACCTTTTATTTTGTTGTTACTCGTTTGACCATTTCTGTGGTAATGGTAAGTTTGTATCTGTAGTTCGGTTTTGGATTTGGGCCACTAATTTTACTGTATGTGTTTGTAATTGTTAAATATATATGTAGTTTGATTAACAATTTAAACGGTAGTGTACTTAATACTAGAGACAAATACAAAGGTTATCACTTGAGTACGTCTAACAAGCTACTCATTTTCACTTTTCACTACGAACTAAATTCATAAACTATATGTATAAGGGGGTGTATATATATGCGATATATATGGATGTATATATATTGTATGCACTACGGTTATTTCCGATTTGATCATTTACTGCTGGTATTTGTGTCTATGTGCTATAACTAGAGTCGGTTGAGAAATTCAACGATTTGGCAAACAGTTCACACAACTACTTCCTAGCCATCAAGTGTATGGATAATACATCATATGGGTTTATATACGAGCAGTATATTGAACTGAGGTCAGGTCGACTGCCTCAGTCAGGGGTCCAGATGGGGATCTTTGCATAGAAACTTGTGAAATCCGTGGGCTAACCTAATCAAGTATCCGTTATTCGCTATTCGTTATAATAAATATTCGTAGTTATACAGTTGAGTTGAGTTTAGAACTATAAGTTTGCTAAGCCACAATAAAGTTTACACTACTCGTACTTTATCCTTCCAATTCACTTAGTATTCATATTCGTATTCGTACAAAAATGCATGGCACCCATGGGGAACAGAGTTCGTTGAGCAAGTTACCTTAAAACACAACACTACACATAACTTACAGGCTAAGACTTAAGACTAAACTTTGATTTGCATTTCATGTAATCGTTTCCTTCGAGACAGCTTTTCGCTTATGGGCCAGAAACAGAGCTCGAGCCGATCACTCACACATCAATTAAATACATTCAATACATTTTTTAAATAAAAGGCAACTCATGAACATTTTGTTTATCGTTTTTGGCAACACAGTTAGCTCTCCAAAGCTTAGATCCACAGCGGACCAATGGTTTGCACAATTATGTCGAGTACATCTTGGCGACCCATTTCCTTCAGGATCTGCAGGAGAGCCATGACTGTGTGGGAGACAGAGCTGGAACTGGAACCATTGGCCACTGCATTGTTGTTGGCACGACACTCGAACAGGTTCAGTATTTGCTCGGTGGGTGAAGGCTTGGTGGCGAAGTATGCAATGTACCTATCTGTGCTCAGTTTCTTGGCAAGTAGTCGCCAATCCCGCTCATCTGCCCGCGGTGGATCCAGGGCAGCGCAGATCAGACGCTTCGTGGCATGCGGCAGCTGGACGAAGTCCATCACACAACTCTCGTTCACATAGTTGCCTTGTCTGTCTATGGAAATGGTGGTGTTGGTGGTGGACCCCAGCTCTTCCAGCGAAGCGCCCAGCTGCGATGTCTGTGCTGGAATGCTGAACGTGTGCACCATGTGAGCGAAGTCGTCCAAGTCCTCTGCACTACTCGACTGCACAAAGTCCACACAGAGGGTCTGTTGCTCCTGCCGGCGTATGCTGAACTCACAGTGCAGGATGGAGTTGTTGCTCAAGATGTGCTGGTAGGGTATGGCATGTTCGTAGAGAGGCGATGGCTCCGTCGCATCAATACAGCGAACACGGATGTTGAGGTTGAGGCTGTTCAGCACAAAAGCAAAAGGTGCACTCTCGCCCATGAAGGTGCCGCCCAGCTTAGACTCCACATTCGCGCAGAGGTCCTTGCTGTTGGGAAAGTCCTTGACCACGTAGATTCGAAGGCTGCTGTTCAAACTGCTGGGCGTGCTCTGACTAAAGGCGAGCAGCTTCATCTTGATGGCGGGCTGTTGGATGCGCGGCTCGGCCACTACAGCGAAGTGACCCAACTGCTCGGTCATGATGTAGACATGAGTGGGCTCCAGCTGGACGAACATGGGCGTGTTGATGGTCTCCTCACCCACCGAGACAGCCCGTCGCCAACTGACATTCAGATCGTCGTGCTCGCTGTCCGCATGATAGATATGGACATGCCATTGCTCCGGCGCCATCAGGCAGTGGGGAATCTTCAGGATAACCGGTTTTACAAAGCTGTAGTTACGGGGCGCACTGTGCACCACGCTACTGCAGAGCAGGGAGCTGTCTGTGGCGCAGGCAATGCGACTGCACTCATCGCTGAGCAGCATCAGGGAAACGTGCTTCTTCAGATGCTTGCCAATGGCCAGCTCAGGCACAAAGAGTAGCAGCTCCCCCCCATAGAGCCGCAGCTGGCCGCCACTACTGCTGAGAAGTTCGTAGGTGGTGCTTTTGGAGGCAGACAGCAACGACAGCTTTGCATTCATGTCGAAGGTTGAGTTGGCTGTCGATAGTACAATACATTCGGATTAGAAGAGATTTTCAATATCAATCGCCCGGAGCTCAATACTTACAGGTGTCTGCTGTTGACGACTCGCCTGTTTCCGACAAATAGTCAGCACTCAGATCATCGATGGGATTTGTGTAGCTGCAGGCAAAAGGAAGGCTTCAGTTACAAAAGCAAATCAGGATGGGGCTGTAACTTACTTAGCTGCCAGATTAGGCACATCGTAGTGATGTTCGGCCACACCCACTCCGCCCACATGCACATGCTCGCCGGGCAGGTAACGATGTCCCGGATTGACATAATCGTACCCACAATTGGCCGCCTCAATGTGCATTCGCATCTCCTTCTTATCAACAACGCCCGGCATATAATCTCCATCCATAACTGTAAACGGAAAGATATTTGAAATGCAAAAAAAAAGGCAGCACTCGTCAGCCGTCAGCAAACAAATTGTAACTTCGCATAGTGGTCAAAAAGAGAGACAAAATTAAACAAACTCTAATGTATAACACAGGATGTCCCAACAGAAAAAATTTATAGAGATTAACAATAAATATACAAACTGGAGATAAAATAAATTGGAGATATGCTGATCAAACCATTGCCCCTACAAATGTTTTTAAATATATTTTATGCTTTATAGATTAAAAAAAAAATGAAATAAACTCGTCCTTTCTCGGACCTAGGAGAATCTGGATGCCAACTTTGGTTATTCTAGCTTTTATAGTGTCTGAGATCCTTGCGTTCATCCAGACGGACAGACGGACGGACATGTCTAGATCGATTTCTCTCGTCATGCTGATTCAGAACGCCTTTATGGGGTCGGAGATGCTTCCTTCTGCATGTTACATACACAAACCTAATATACCCTTTTTACCCTACGGGTACAGGGTATAAAAATACAATATACATATCAACTAAAAAGCTAGTTGCTTCAACTAAGGATATTGTTTTCAAATCTTTTCAAAATTCCAAACGTAAGTGAAACCTTTAGATTACTGGTCTTAATAAATATCGTTAGTGCGTGAGGATTAACGACCGTTACTCTTATCTAATCTTAAGAGTGAGTATTTCTTAAATTTGTTAACATCTTTTAAGTTAAATGAATTTAACATTTTTAAAGAATTTCAAAACCGACCACTCCTCTAAAAAATAATCACACCTAAAATGGGAAGTCACTGATATTTAGAAAATATAGGAAATAAGTTGTTTTTACTGATCTTATTGGTCACTGTGCGAAAGCCATTTTTAGTTTCCGTTGCCATTTCAATTTCCATCTCCACACCCATTTGGTGCTGGGCTGGTACTTACCTGAGCGCGCCATATTGTAGTGGGGATTTGCGCGTATTCCACGCCGAGCACAGCAGATTAGAGCAGCGCCAAAGGCGAAGCACACGGCCGTGATGAAAGCGAGACCCAAGTAGAGCGTCCAATCGAAGTCTGTGCAAGAAAATGGCAAGCAAACAAAAGTTTTAGCAAGGCTGGCAATACGTTTGAGTAGTTAGCAAGGGCTGAGAATGTGGGATAGTGGTATAGTGGGGGACAAAAATGCTGATTTTGGTTTTTAATATACACTTTGGGCAACCCACATTTGAGCAGCAGGCTCAGGATTGCAGACAAACGCACACAACCCCACCGAAACGACAACTTCACTGCATACTTTCGGCAATACGAGTACGAGACGCTGTCATTGAACAGGAAGAACAAAAATACTGGACTGGGGGCCGCCTTGCCAATCTCAATCTTTGTCTTTTGTATTAAAAAATTTTTTTCTTCTGCGTAAATCCACACCCCTAGCCCCAGTGTTTCTGGTGTCCCCGCTATGCAAAGCACACACACACACACGCACAGATGTACACACATCTATGTATATATGTATATAGTCGTAGATATCTGGAAAGTTGAGTCAAGCAAAGCAAACGCGGTCGCATCCTCGTCCACATCACCATCAATCCCAAGCAACCATGCGTATCCGTATCTGCGCTGTATATGTCTGTATTTAATGTTTTATGTTTGTTCGTACGACCAACTCCCCCCACCGCGCCCATGCGCTTGACGGTCCGTCTGTCTGTCTGTCTGTTGGTCGGTCGTCTATTTCGCATTATTGTGTGCGCCGCGCCGCCGACGCCGCCGCTGCCGGCCCCCCGTCATGAGCCGACCGTCAGCGCCATTGTTGCGCTGCTTGTTTCCGTCTCTCTGATTGTTGATGTTGTTGCTGTTGCTGTTCTTGTTGCCGCTGTTGTTGTTGTCATTGTTGGTGGCGCTGTTAGTGACTGGTTGGCGATGCTCCTTCTGCCGCCGCCTGCCGCCTGCTGCCTGCCAGCTTGTTGATGGAGGTTTCGCTGGCGAAAAGGAATCGCTGCAGCGCAAGGAATTACTCTGTATATATTATGATTATTATACAATATGTACAGCCAAACACATAAGCACCCACACACACACTCACACACACAGAGATGCTGAGAGGGAACGCATTATACAATGTACTATGTATGAAATGAGCAATTATATTCGCTGTAAATCAACGACAGCACTGCCTCAGCAGCATCGGAAGCGTTGCCCCCCAAACTTTTTTATTATTTTTATTTTTGTTCAGCTAGCAGTCGCTTTCATTTTCCACGCTCTTTTCTCTTCTCTGCACTTCTTTTTACTTTTTACTTTTTTATTATACATTCAGAGTTGGCTCGTTGTGCACGCTGATTTTTTAGAATCCTGCATGGGACATCAAAAGCGTATTTGTCATAGCTTACTGCCTGCTGAGGGGAATTCGAAGGACTCGAAATCGGGATGCTGGGGGTGTGCTAAGAGATTAGTTGAGTTTGGAGAGGGAGGCCACTGTAGTAGGTGGCCCACAACAATGACCAGATAATAAACCATAAACTGTTTCCTGCAGCCCTACGTTGAGTGAGGCCCCAGGGATATACAAAGCAGAATTGCATCCGCTTTGAAGACAAACGCAATAAAATTGAAAATAAGCCAAAAAAAGCTTTATAGCAGTGTGGTGCTGAGCTGTGACCCAAGTGTCACTCTTCATTTGGTCATGGCTAACTTTTCAGCAACAATCAAATGCGCATACAAATAAAAATCCCAAATAGGCCAAAATCATGTGCAAATGGCATTCCCAACTCCTTTTTGATCCCTTCAATTACACACTGTGACAGTCATATAATTGATCCACAGGGACCGCAGTCGTTGACGAGCCGCTCAGCCCAAACTATTTGAGTTGGGTCGGTTGAACGCACTTCACACACCCTTCCCCTTGCCCTTCTACGCAGTCATCTAACCAATTCACCAATCCACCCACACACCCGCAAGCCCACGCAGAAATCGCACCAGACAGCAACAATGACACGTGAGGGTGTTGGAATGGGCAGAGTAGTCATCGTGTAGGAGGGAAGTGTACAGTCAAATTACATGCGGAAATGCACTGAAAAATTAATGAGCTTCAAATTGATGTTCTACAAGCTCTTATTAGAGTAATAGTTGTAGAATTAATATTCCTAAAATGTAGAGGAAGATTTCCCAAAATAGTGACAGTTTCAGTAAATATTTCCGTTTCTGAATTCGAACATTTATTTAATGTGGAATCAAAATTAGACTGCATTTCGAAAATCAATTGTTTCAAAAAATTCGTCGCGAAGCTTGATTTCCAATTATGTCATTATGTGCTTTTTTAACAAAATAACTCTACCAACGTTCTAGTTTTGGAAAAGTCAACTAATTCAATTCCGTAGTAATTCATTCTAAAAAGTGCGATTTTAATATCAAATGTAAGTTAATAATTATTACGTCTGAGGCTATACCATTCATTAGAAAAAGAAACAATAAACATGTTGTGTTCTATTTATTGAAAGCCAGCTCAATATTATGACTTTGTTTATAAATGAATTTTCAAATCATCATAGCTGGGATCCATAACTTTTAGAACTCAAGACTCGATAGCAAGGATATGTTTTAAGATCTATATGGACTTCTTAAATTGCTTTTATGTTCACTTTGCCTATTTTTCAGGCTTGAACTCAGATATAATAGAGATGCCGTGGTAAGGTATATACGATCTGTATACGATTTTCCAAATGCTATACGCATAACTAATTTGGTGAGCTTTATCGTTTCGATTATTTATCAGTTATGGCACAGAAATACAAGTAGTCTTTAAAGCGACATGCCTCGTTTCTTATAGGGTAAACCTGTTTACACAGCCCAACTTTTATGCTGACGTCTTCCCCAATACCGCCTGTCTAATTATGTGGCAAGGCGTACTGCGCTCAGACTGAAGAGCCGGGGCCAGAGCTAAAGCTAAAGCTGCCCCCTTCCAACTACGAAATGGTGCTTAAGCCGTGTACCCCAAAAGAGGAAGCTGCGATTGATTTGCGACCCTTCGATGTGTTCGGGGGATGGCTGCTGTTGTTGCTGCTTAGGCGGCTTCTACTTCTGCTGCAGCAGACAAACAAGTGCAGAATGAAGGGCTTTTCTTGGTCTGTCTGTCCCTGCCGATGTATGTATTTCCTTTCTTTCTGTTCTATCCTCTGCCATTATACTTTTTTTGGGCTCAAACAAAATGCACTTGGTTAATTTCCCATTGTGACAATCAGTGCTGAGTGCCCGGCTTTTGTGTCACTCGCATGGTAGAGAGCCTGTCTATATACTTGTATGTATGTATGTATGTATGCGTCTATTTGTATGGCTGTGTTTGTCCCCACAGTGATTGTTATTGTTGTCAAACTGTCTACTTTGTTGCTGTTGTGTGCTGTCAGAAACACACACGCACACACACACTCAAACTCCCACTCACCATCCTTGCCAATTTGACACTGCTCTCCACGGCATTCGGCCGTTTGTATGTCCTTTCCGCTGCAGAGTGATTTGCCATATCCTGTGCCGCCAACGTTGATACCCAAAGTGCCGCTGCCATTGCCATCGCCACCCACACCACTACTTCCGGCACCGCTGCTGCTGCTGCCACTCAGCGCCGCGGCGCCCACTCCAAGCAATTCTCCAGTCTCATCTGCCACATCGCCCCCGACCGCTACGCCATTTGTGACGCATTTTCTGCGACGCACTTGAATGCATTCCGCGGAGCAAATGCTCCAATCGCTCCACGCTGACCATCGCGCAACTGAAAGCAGAGAGAAGCAAGTGGTTTAGAAATCAAAAGTCATATTAACGTGATTTAGCACAATCCCCTCCAGCATCTGACACTGACGGACTGTGGTCCGTATTGTAAGGCTGGTTCAATAAAATTCGGATTTAATGACTCCCTTCCAGGCCCTCTCTCACGTTTTTTGAAAAAACTTGTTTCAAACTAAACTTTTCGTGGCATTGGTTTATTGTTTTATGGCGATTTTCTTAAATGTCCAAAGTACGCATCCTTTTGCTCTTAGCGGCCTTTCATCTAAAACAAACTTTGTTGTACCAATCATTCCTATGATATAGAGCTCCGATGAAAATTTAATTTAATTTTAGTATGCGATATAGAACTAGCAGACGTTAGAGTTCCTTAAGATATCTTTATAACCCAACAAGTATCCTACTAAGTTATTCCACCGACTGGTCCTATGGCACTCTGCGATTGGATAAGACAAGTCTACATATTAAGTTTTGATGTCATTAGCTCTTATGTTAAAAAAGCTGTCGGTTCTGATACAGGACGTCCATAGATACGGACGGACAGACATGGCTATATTGATTCGTCTGATCACTGATCACATACATATACTATATATCATACATTTTCTATATGTGCCCTTTTGGCTTAGGGTATTCAAATAATGTTGTTCAAAATAACAAATTCAAGAATTCCTATGTAAATAGCGATGAAGGATTTATGAGTAGGAGTATATATTCAGACTAGTGAAATTTAAGTTAAAGTAAAATACATATATGAGATCAGCTCTCGAAAATATGTGATACGCTTTCTCATTTTTAATAAGTTGTTTTTTATTTTAAAAACTTTGTAAATTATTATTAATTCTGCTAAAACTGATTTTCCTCATTTGGAAGCCCTGACTAATTTGTGCCTGTTTCTTAATGATGTTATCAATTAATTCATTTAGCTACTCTTATAGATCTGATTATATCGTTTCGCGCAGCTAGAAAACAAAATGTTCTACAATTTCGTAAGTTTTGTGAAATCAAAGAATGTTCTTCAGACTTGCAGGATTAATAAAATTATCAGGTTTCTATAACATTTTGTTAAGCACAACTCACGCACTCATCGCATTTTGATTGTACATGCAATACAAGTTGTTGGGTTCTATAGAGGGCGACAGATTTTCAGCCACTAATTATGTTTTAAGTGAATATGAAAATCCAGGAATGACTTCGTCTTAGAGTACTCAGCCACACTGTATAATGTAACCTATTTTTCACATAAATCACAGAAGGAGCAGCATGGACGAACAGCGGGAATGTGGCCAAAGGCGAATGGGAGAGGGGCAGTAAATTGAAATCGCGGACACTTTATGGTGCTGCCATTAGATTTTATAGCGCTGCCCTTCTAATAGATACGAACGATTATGGCACCTTTGAACTAACTGCTGCTGCTCTGGCTATCCCAGCTATTTGAATGTGTCATAATTTATGGCAAGTATTCATATATCCATGCAGCCATGTAGGAATGCAGGATGGAGGCAGTTGCCTCTGGGGAGCAAATAAACTGAAGCTGAACCAAAGCGTTCCCACAATATTTAACAGCATCGCATCCCGCACCACCGCTCCCTCAACTGGCCCCCAAAACGCTAGAAATGTACGCCGTCACTGTCGATTTTTCGTGTATGTAGATATATATGTATTTGTATGTATGTACATGTGGTTGTGTTTGTAGTCAGTTTTGTGGGGAAAAGTGATTGTCATTTTAATGCTTTTCTATTTTCGCATTTTCATTTCCATTTTTGTGTGTGTTTTTTCTCTCCACGCTGCAGCAGGCTTGTAAGTCCGAAAACTAAACAAAAAGCCCAAAATGTTGCCTATGCTATGCTCCGGTTGTTGTTGTTGTTGTTGTTTAGGTTTGATGTATGCCTATGCCGAGGCACACACATATATCGGCATTTGCCACTTCCTGTTTTCACAACATACTCGTAAAACCACCCCCGTAATGGCAAGAACAACAATTTCTTCGCCCCATCCTCATCATCATTGGCAGCAGTCGCCTTGGCTTTTAGTTGGTTGCCTTTGCCCTCGTCCTGTCCACATATCGCATCCCTAGACATCCGCACAAGGGTAGCCGTCGTCGCCAGTTGGAGTCGACCAGACTGTTGCATGAATCAGAGAGCGTAAATCGTGGTAAGTGATTTTTAAATCGCTACAATGACGTCATTTGGACGCCCAAAAATAAGTCAGTCACTCAGTCAGTTAGTGAGTTGCGATAAAGGAAGACAAGCGATTGCCATTGCCCATGAATGACTCGAACTGCTGCATCCTCCCACCACTCCATGGGGCTCAGTTTAACGCAATTGTTTATTGAATTGTTAAGCCACCCCGTTCCTGGCCATTCACTATTCACAAATTTGACTGCCTCTGCCTTGTTAGACATTAAAGTTTAACGGCACGTTCACAATGTCATATTGAAGCCCGACCTCTGCCGCCAACCCGACTTCGATCCAAAGCGTCTCCAGCTTTGGCGAAGCCTTTCAACAAAAATGCACATTGTCAGGCTTTCGTGTCAACTTACTGCGCTTACTCGACGAAATGTCAAATCCATCAGCGCTCACAATTTGAGTGTCCTCTGTTGTTGTCGACATCATCGCCAGCGTCGTCAGCGTCAGCGTCAGCGTCGCAGGAGCACACCATCCAGGCATAATGAAAAGCCGATGTAGGCGTGGCATTGGTAGGCAACCAGAGCAATACGTTGACACGGTGCCATGGGGATGAAAAGTCCCACGAAGACGTACAGAAGCGTAAATGGAGATGAAAAAAAGAAACCGAAGCAAAATTTAAAATTAATTTTATGACACACTTTTTTCATAGGAAACAAGTACTATGAGTGCAGCAACCAGTCAGCACTCTCGACAATATGGTGCGCTACAACGAAGGGCGCAGCATCAGCGTTTTTATACAACTGCTTCTTAAGTACCAACTATCTCATTACTATACTTACATTGAGGGACAAACAAAAGTCGGGTTTGTTAATTAAATACTGCAATTACGCAATAATAGGAGAGCTTCCTTTTCATATCCTGCACTTTAAATTCGAAGAGTACCAGACATTTTCTATATTCAAGTTCGATTAAATATGTTGGAATCAATGTATTTTCATTTTTTTTTTTTAAACTAATAAATGTATTTTTCAAAGTTATCTAAATTTTTCAACTCAATGAATTAAGCAAATTTAAATTGATTTTTGAATTTGAAATATTCAATCGAAACGCAATCAATCGAAACGGAACAAAAAAAAGTTCTTGTTGTGTGTTTTCCATGTAAAAACTTGTTACATCCAGAAAGTAAAGAGTCAGTAAGCCCAATTATTGGGTAACACGACGAATTGATATCGTGATCGATATCTTTCGATTATCTGTATTAATCACTTAAGCTCCCACTATTTTCAATTAATCTCTATCACCTTTTAAAAGCTGTTCTTACTATATAGTAGCAGCTCAGACCAATTTATCAGATACATTTCATATTGTTTAAGCAGTCTGTGTTAAGACATTGAGAAACTTATTGTCATAATTATAGGTTCAACATAGTCAACTAAAAGAATTGAAAAATGTACACGTTTAGGCAGTCCACAAAAAGGAATCCATTAATTCTATGGAATTAAAAATGGAGTTGATATTTGTTCATCTTTTCCCCGATCTCTTGCATAATTTTAATGACAAAGCAGTTTGCAAATAAATTTAGTCGAAAATTTAAGAGGTTACATTCTTGTGTTCCTGGTCCTCGGACCAGCTTTTTAATGGGTCAAAAATATGTGCTAAATTTTAAAACAACATTCTAAGTAGTACCTCCAAACTTTTCTCGGCTCAGTGTCGGCTTTTCCCTACTTTTATCGAATTTAAGTGTCACAATTCATTTCATTTTAAACGTGCCTTACTTTTTCTCTTCATTGCTCTGGAACAAGCTTGGTTAGAAAAAGGATCTCCTGCAGAGTATTAATGACGGAAGAGTCTAAAACACAGTTTGAAAAACCTCAACTGTAATACATTTTTGGTACAATTTCGGGTTGTTTTCCTTCTCTCAGTGATACTTTGAAATATAGTAAGTAAGTACACTATAAATGTCACATTTATTTTCACAGCACTAATATGCCCTATTTGAGTAAGTGTTTTGGAGGCACCCACACAGCACCCAATATATAGAACTGAAGGACCGCCCGAGCCACCCCGACTCGAGTATTGCTGCGATTCTTTTTCAGTGGCAACAGCCCCCCACTCCCGCTCCCACTACCCATCCCAGTTCGTTCCATTTTGCGCTTGTCTGTCAACAATTGCTCATTGCTGTGCCCGCTGTGCGTTTGTATGGTTGTACGTAAGAGTGTGCGTTAGAGTGTGTTTGTGTGTGTGTATATGTGTGGGTACTACAATACAATGCAATACAATAAATTTACATGAATAAAAGTGAAGAGTCTCAAACACATGCCGCCCGTGCGTCTGTCAAAAAGACCGCCTCCACTCCCGTTGCTGTTTCTGCTCCACCCCCCCCCCCCCCCCCCCCCGCCCAAAACGTCCGTTCGTGCTTTCGCCGGGGTCCGTTCATTTGTCCCCTCATCCCTCGTCCCCTTGTCAGCATTTAGTCAGCCCTGCAGGCACTGCCATCTCTATTGCCCATCCTCGCACGTCCCATCCCATCCCATCCCGTCCCGTCCCGTCCCAATCTATCCATCTATATGCGTGTAAGTATGTAGAGAGATCTCTGTCGTCGCTTCGACGGCAGCTGCCGTTCGATGCGTGTTTAAAAGTGAAGCACGCAGTGCTCACTCATTTTTTTCCTCGTTTTCGAATTCGTAACGCCTCTTGAACTTTCGCCGTGCTGTGTGCTTGGCTGGGTCGTGGTTGGCCATGGCGTTGCCTTTGTGTCGCCTGGTGTGAAAAATGTGCGCAGTTCGGCGGTTCGGTATTGCCTTGGGGCAATTGGGAGGGATGGCAGACGCAGGTGAGGTTGGCGCTACGGGGCTACTAGAGAATTGGAGAACTGGTTTTGCCGTAAATGGCATTTAAATTGACAATTCTGTTACTGGTGCTTCAATTACCGGCAACATTTTAAAGTTGCACCAAGTGGTGTACCACATTTTGTGGGTGCTTCTCAACATCACTCTTAGCCTCTACCCTCTACTTCTACCTCTACCTTACTGTTGAATGCGGTCAGCTATTACGTACCTGGACAGGCAGCACAATCGACGGACTTCTGTATATGCGGGCCCACACATTGCGACCCACCATTCAATGGCATCGGGTTGGTGCAGGTGCGTGTTCGCTTCCGACCCTGTCCCCCCTGGCGACTCGGTTTCCCAGCGCATTTGCACTCGCTCCAAGGACTCCAGGCACTCCAGCCACCGTTAACTGTTGGCGAATAAAATGAAAACAAAAATTCGCATGAGTTTTTTCTCTTTTTCTGCTGTTGTTGCTTTTGTTGCTGTTGTGCTCTGTGGCTGACCGCACTGACCATAGACAATGAGCACTGCCGAATCGGAGAGTCGCCTGCCCGCCACATTCTCCGCACTGCAACTGTAGTTGGCCATGTCCTGCAGCGCCACCTGCCGGAACGTCAGAGTGCCCCCGGCGACGGTTATGGTTGGGTCGCCTTCACCCGTTATGGGCGCATTGTTCTTGTGCCACGTAACTTTTGGCTCGGGAAAGCCGCCCGGCGATTCGCAATGCAGTTCCGCCCGACTGCCCAACTCGATGCGCAGCGATGTGGGCGACTGATTAAAGGACTTGCGTATGTCTGAAAGATAGTCAAACAGAGAGTGTTATTTGCAAAAGGTATACTATAGTTATGGTTTTAAAGACAATAATACATTTAAAACGAGTGCATCAAAGTTTTAATTACACTATAGCTAGTCTCTAACCAAAATTACACTCAGTATCTCTTTCAGAGGACAAATATGGGCTTTTGTATAAGTACTTAAACAATTAACTGATGAATAAATAAATGTAATCTGTGTTGGGTTTAAGCAAATCGGAATTTGTAATTAGCAAGTTAAAGCATAGTTAGACGACTTGTATTAACTAAATAAACCCTAATAATTTGTTTTCTTTAAGCTTCAAAATATTGCAAAATATTAATTGGTTAACCTGACTTAAATACTCTATATATATGAAGTTTTTTGATCCAGGTTTTCAATTTGATGAGTTAAATTATGATGAATTAAATTATTTTGATTACATCAATGAATTTTAAAAGCTTAAAAAAAACAAATACATTATGTAAAGCAAGGCCTATTTAAAACTATCCTACATGTAGATTTTAGTTTTATTTTATCTTGCTTTTTTCTGAATGGTATATCTGGAAAATCAGAAATCTAATACTCACTGCTCTGTTTGTTAACCGTTTATAGTTTACTCTTGTAAGTATATTTCCCGAATGCTATAGTAGAAATCACAGTAATTAATTATCTACATCCACTACTCAAACTTTCTAGATTTGTTAAATCTTCTCCTATATATTAACCTTTTAAGAACTTTTGCCTAAATGTACTCGCATGTCTTACTATAAATGCAATCTGGTAGGGTGCAGAGATTAATGTATTTATTAAAATATTAGGATACTTGTTCTTTGCCTTTACGAAAATTCAGCGTTCAATATCTCTCCGATTTAGGTTCTTCATGCAAAAAGATACAATATAATATAATAGATCTTAATCTTAAATCTATTATGATCTATAAGGATAGTTGAATTTTTAATCCTCTTCCGAGTTAGTTACTTACATGCAATGTGCACTGTGGCCGCCTGGCTCTTGACAACGCCACGTGATGACCACGCCTGGCACTCGCACTTGAAGGGACCCTTTCCAAAGTACTCGTCGACAAGATCGCGATGGATGGTAGCGGTCACCTCCTCCACATGCACTCCGGTGTGCGGATCGACATGCTTGTCGTGCGTTGATGGCGGCGGTTGGGAGCTGCCGCTGCATTTGAAGTGCAACTGCAGGGCATGAGAGGCCTTGCATTTGAGGACCGCTGGTCGATTTTTGACCACGAACACACTCTCTGGCTCGCTTAGAAATATGGGCAGCGTATTGCTGGCCTCGCCACCATTAAGCTTGCCACCGTTAAACTCCTCCAGCAGAGTCCCACTGGCCCGTCCCTCAAACTCTGAGCTACGGAATTTGGTGGCATCCTCACTGCTGTTCGAAGCCAAATCTTGGGTTGGGCGCTGGGGCTGTGGCTGTGGCGCACTATCTTCTGTGACTGCATTCCGCTGACGCTGATCGGCACCATTTAAGCTCAGATCCAGGTCCTCACGATAGACATCGTGGCTGGCAAAAGGTGCAATGGCGGTCAACGGATCAATCATGTCTTCCACAGACATGCTGCCGCTATAATCAGCTTGTGGGAGGGACAGAGTGAGTGGCAGGGGCAGCGGCAGAGGCAGCTGCTCCTTGGCCAACAACGGCCATATTAATTGTAGGTTCACAATAAGTACAATCACATTTCCGGCTGTATTAATCACCGACGCCGACGACGACGACATGCTCCTAGCTATTATTGTAGGTGCTGTTGTTTTGTCGGTGCTCTCGTCTTGGCTCGTCGTAAATATTTTTCGTTGTCACTTTGCTTTATCACTCAGACGCACGTCGTTGTCTTGTCCTGCGTTTCCTGTACAATGCAGCACCTGCGACCCTTGTCTGCGTCTCGACTCTGGCTGCAGGCATCAGCATTAGCATTAGCTCGTTGTCGTTATTGTTGTTGTTTGCTTGCTGACGTGGTAGAAGCGATCTGAAATGCGAGATAAGAAATGCCTTTAAATAGCTTTCATTACAAATACGAAAAAGTCCTGCCGGACATCAGTTTGTCCAAGCCATTCAGTCTTCATATCTTTGCCATGCATACGCCAAAGACAATGTGACATTTATAACCATCAAGTGTGAATAATACTTATGATATGCTATGGCCAGAGCGACTATTCAATGCCCAACACTCGGCCTTTTCAATACCGGACCTTAAGCGTGTGGCTGCTGGCGATAATTGGCTTTTGATGATGAAAAGTTTGCGCATCATCAATCAGTGGCGCCACAACAGCTGCCTACAAATGGCCCCAAATGCCCAAACAGCTCAAATCAAACTGTGTAGCGCAGCAGTAGGTAGTTGGTTGTAGGTAGGTAGTAAGTGGTTAGTGCTTAGTGGTTAGGGGAGAGAAAACAGAAAACCACAAGTTACAAAATTTCTCATTTGTTATGCAAGTCATGCGTCAGGTTCTACGAATCGCTGGTACCTAATCGAAATATTAATAACAGGTAGGTAGACTAGGTATTTGTACTCGAATGCTCGAATGCTCGTATGCTCGTATGTATGCAGGGTCCATGCAATTCTCGGTTAGGCCAGGCCCATGTTGGAGTGGTGATGGGAGGGACGAGACCACTTTATGGGAATTGTGCCTCTTGTCTTTTGAAGTTATTAGTTGTTGAGTTGGGCAATCATTATAATGCCCAACTACTGTGCCTATCACTCAGGCGGCAGCACGACATCGTTCGACCCACCGTACCCTCCACTCCACTCCCCTCCACAACCGACCGTCCTCCATCCACGACCATTGAGTTTATGCGTTTGTCTTTGTAATTATGTATTAATCATGCATAAGTTTAAACTTCAACATGCGCACATTGTCTCGTACAAACACGTAACTATGTATAAATGCGTATAGATATTGCCTCGGGCCTGACATATCTTTGTGTCTGCGAGTGTCGTGCGTTTTTAATGCGCCGCCAGCGATTAAACGACAAAAAGCCAGGCCATTAAACATACATATAGTACATACTATACATCGAAGGCATAAAGAAAAAGAGGCGGTATGTAAATTTTGCGGAAACGCTGATATGTGAAATGTGATTATGATTAGGCCATGGCCCACACATCTACACAGTCCACACAGTAGTGGCCATTATGCGCGACCATCATAAAATATCGGGTAGTAAGAAATTAAAAGGAAATAATACATTTGATGGCCCTGCTGGATATTAGTCGGCGTTATCGCCATCCTATCCACATCCACAACCACTTCCACTCAGGCGTTGGTGTCGTCTTCGTTTTCGTTTTCGTCGTCATCGTCATCGTCACGACTGTCATTTCTTTTGGTTTAAGCGCCTTTTATGCGTAATTCAATTGGGTTTACAGGGTGCTTGTGGACACTTGAGTATCTGTCAATAATTTTTGTGAGTGTGTGCGTGTGTATGGGAGTGTGTGTAAGTGACCAGATTATAATACTATGTACTCGTATGTACTATGTATGTTTGAATGCGGCATTCCCGAGGGGAAATGCACACACATTTTGTTTGTGCGCATTCAATTATAGATGGATGTGGATATTGAAGTTCGTTTTGTTTTCGATTAGTCTAGACTCTAGACGTTTTGTTTGAAGGCGGCAGCCGACTATTGTATTTGCAAGGCAGCTTAACGAAATTCGATTTAAGCCAAAGATGCCAGCAGCAATCAATAATCGTATCTCAAATCCAGCTTAATTGGACATACATATATTTGGCACATCCAAAAAAAACATAAAATCCCATTCAAAATCAATTTAAAATAATTATTCTTATTGTCTGTCTAAAAAGTTTCTCTCTACACAGGGACACGTTGGACTGGAAACTAAGAAGCACTGTCTTACTTAGATTATTTAAAATATGTGTCTCTTTCTCTCTTTATGGGCCAGAAACAATTATAAGCAGGGCGATGGTTGAAATTTTAGGAGCACATTCCTCAACTACTATAATGCCAAGCTACTGCACGAAATTGCATTCCTAATTATATGTAATAAGATGTTTCCTGTCGTTTACCTCGCTGACTATATCATGAATAAAGATTTTGTAGTCAGTACTCCTATGAGACAGGTGAAAATATTATTGCCTTGTAAGAGATAATACTTAGAACAGATCATCCCTGGAGCTTTGATCTTAAGCGTTTTTGTGGACAATCTGGTAGAGATTCTCGACCATACCTTGCCACATTGACAATAGACATAAACTTTCCCCTTACTAGATCAGACGCTATCCTACAAAAGTGTTCTTGTTTTCCGATTTAAACTGATTTGAAACGAAATATATAAATTTATTGCAATCTAAACTAAAGTCGACAAAAAGGAAATCTTGAAGATTAAAGTACAACTACTTATATTCAGCTTCTCTAAGCAAAGGGTAGACTAATTAATTCAAGTATTCAAGATTTCATTTCTTTCTTCACTTTAGTTACATCACGATTTGCTTTATTATCGGTATATATAAGGATTCAAGTACAACTATATTCAGCTTCTGTAAAATCGTGATTTAGTCAATTATAAAATGCCCTTAAGTCAGCAAAAATGTATCTCTAAGCAAAGGGTAGACATAATTAATTCAAGTATTTAAGCCATCTCTCTGATGGGGATTAAAGTACGGCTTTTTTCTTTTTGATCGTTCGCTTTAGTCAAATCATGATTTGCTTTATTATCTGTACATATGTAACCTTTATACCTAAGTACAAATTTATTCACCATCATACAATACAACAGCGGCTCATCTGTGTTGTCGTTAACTTTAGTCGTGTCAGGGCATATTAATCAAAATATTGAACAACGATTGGGTCATAAAACCACAAAGAGAGCCAGACAGAGTGTTATCAGCGTTACACGAAGAATACATCATGTTGATGCATGTTTGTATTTTTTGTGCGTTTTAATAGATTTTTAATGAAGTAAAGTGGGCCAAATGGATTGTGTAAAACGCTTATCAGCTGCATTTCATTGTGCGCACTTGTAATCGAATGGATTTTATTTATTGAATACGAGAAGATATGGCGTCGGCAAAAAAGAAATACTTTGCATTGATTTTGGCACGCTGTCATGTCATGGAGTGGGCGAGGGCAAGGGCGGGGGTGGAACACAAAGAGCCACACACGCTTTTCAGATTTGTGGCAAGATATGCGAGATGGTTGCGTGTGCATATAATCATCGTCTATACATACATACATATATGTATGTATTATACTGTGTGTGCGGAGTAGAAGCAGTTCCGCTGAACTTTTTCATGATTTCTCAACTCCAGACTCTGGAGGAGCAGCAGTTTCAGCAGCATCAGCAGCACTTGCTATGCTTCCTAGTCACCACTCACTCAATACGCACGCATGAATGAATGGATGAAAGATTGCGATTGCGTGGGATAATCGGCGTCGCATTCAATTTAATTTCACAACTATTGCGGCAACGGCAGCCCTTCCTGCCATTTCATTTGAACAAAACGCGAGCACAAAACTTCCCAAAAGAAGAACCGACAAGTTCAGGCACGGATAGACGAATGTGCCGGGAGGGGAGCGGGAAGCGGGAGTCGGGGGCGGGGGCGGGGGCGGGGGCGGGGGCGGGGGCGGGGGCGGGGGGCGGGAGCTGTGACAGACAAACTCTGTCCAACAGACAATGCAAGAAAACAAGTGAGCATTCTATAAAATAATTGATGACTGACTGACTCAGTCTCTTGGCAGCAATAATTTTTATGTTTCTGGAGTACTCGCACACACACACACACACACACACAAGCGCGTGCGCCAGCACTCACACGCGTACGCAGGGGTGTAGCAGAGGGGATCATGTCGTGTAGTTGCCCCCACAAATGAAATTCATCTTCAGTTTTCTCTTCTTAAATATTACTTGGTACATCTGAAAAGTGTCCCTTAAAGCATTAGAGGAATTATATCTTTTGTATTCTATTTTCGATATAATTGGTTGGGCGACAATTATATTTGTAACAGAGCTTTGATCTTTAAATACTATATTTGACTTTAACAAACAGTACCTTTAACAGAAAGGATTGCTCGCCTAAACGTTAGATTTAATAATAGATATATGTACTTGTATAAGTTAGTTTAGTATTAAGTTAGGGTTAAGTCATTAAGTCTCATGGGTTTATTTGTATGATTTTTCCAACTTTACACTGTCGATTGTTGTTAACCATTTTTATTTCTCCATTTTGTTTAATTAAGTAGAAAAGGCTAAGCTGCCTGTACTCTTAACATTAAGATATCTTTACCTCACTTGTTAATTCATAATGTTTTTAAGAAATGTGAATGAAATTGAAATTAGCTATTTTGTATATAAAATGTTTGAAAAAAAAAAAAACCAACAAATAGCAATTATTGTATTTTTTCGATATAAGAAACTATTTCTCCAGGTATTTTAATGTTTCGATAGTGCCTCGAATAAGCTATAGAACGGAATTTACACAAAATGTATGTCAAAATATGGTCGAATATAGGAACATGTATGTGTGTACAATCAATAATATTTACCAATATTAGTTGCAAATGAAATTGCCAGTCTTATAATGATTAATTTATTTAGTTAAATGTGTGTTTATCCGGATTTATTTCCATTTTGCCATCTCAAATTCTACCTCCATTTTCGAAACATTGGATGAAATATTAAAAAACACATACCCTGAACTGCTTGTAATCGATTATTTATTTAACTTAATAAAAACTCACAAAAAAAACGAAACCCCCTAAATGAGATCTTGGCTACGCCTACGCGTGTACACACTAAAATCAAATGCCACTCGAAACGTAGTCAAAGAAACAGAGAAGAACAGCAGAGCAGAGAAAGAGCGACAGGCAAAGAGGCAGTTACTATGAGACGAAGAAGATGGGACTGAAGTGGATGTGGCGGCAGATGCCGTTGCTTCAATTGCGTGTGACTTTTGTGCTCCTCGCAGTGTGTGTGTGTGTGTGTGTGTGTGTGTGTGTGTATGTGTAGTTATGTGCTGTACAATCTGAACATCTGTAGCCCAAATGAAATCTTCAGAGCTCAAGGGACGATTGCTGGTTACTGTGGCAATCGCATGTCGCATGTGTATTTCACATGTTGCGCATTTTGCCCACACGAGCGACGACTTCAGCTCCACTGCCCCCTGCCTCTGCCTCAGTCCCTGCCCCACCCCCCTCCCCCTTCCCTTCTCAGCCTTAAAGCTGAAGCTATTGTGTTGCCTGCCTACGCGACTGTTGACTGCCTTTTCATTTCATTTGATTCCATTTTTTTTTTTTTTTTTTTGGGCAAACGCTTGTAATCAAACAATTAAAGATGATTTTAATTAATCTATTTATAAGCGACGTACGCTTGCCGTGTAGAAGAGATAGAGAGCTAGAGAGAGGGGAAGTCCAAACTACCCTCGTTGTGTGTGGGTATGGGTATGGGTTTGGTTACAGGAACGCCTTCATAACTGATCAAAATTAATATGACAAGGCATCGTCATCAACATCATGGTGGCAAGAACAAGCAGCACAACAATAACAACAACAATAACAGCAACAACAACTACTACAAACATCTTTAAATTAATTAAGTGTAATTGTAGCAGCATTAGAAACAAAAGCCTCAGCCATGAATTATTATTGCTGGCATTCCCGTATGCTTGCATGTATGTCCATATATACATATGTACGAGTATCTACAAGATACAATACAATAGATACACTCAACATACATATGTATACGTCTAGTGTGTACGAGTATGTGTATAATAAGCAAATTATTTATTATGCCATCAGTTAAGTAAGTAGCACAAATGCATCCAAGCGCGCTCGATGCCAGCAGCTGAATCTTATCATTTGTATCTTATTAGAAAAGTTTCATCATCGGTTGGATCGTTCTCACAAAGTTGTGGCTGCTGCTGGTGGTCCGTTTTAACAAATGACCGCCGGCCATGCGGACTCGGATTCGTGACTTCAGTTTAGGGTTGTGGGGAGGAGGAATTGAGGAATTAGGGAAAGTTAGTTGTTGTGTTGAGCACAATTTGGCACAGTTAGGGACTAATTTATTGTGCTCCTGCTGATTGTTTCACTTAAGCTGCCAAAGTAATCGATAGGTGCCAGGTGTTGTGATGCGAAAACATTAAACAAGTTGCCATTTGTTGGAGGCTTAGTCAAACTTTTGCTCTCGTGGTATCTGCCACAGACAGCAGCAGCTGCGTAAGTCAAATTGGATTTGCTGATATAATGAGAGGAGAGTATTTAGGAGAGAATTAGAACGAGGGGGTCGGGAAAATTGAATCAGTGCTTTAATTATATAGCTTTATACTCATGAACTTAATGGCAGCAACCTTACGACCGATCTAATATTCTACTAATATTTGCACTTACATAAGACTCAAAACTTGTAGAAAGAAACCCAGCGATACATGCAGAATAGGCTGACAAATAAGGCCGACCTTCTGCCCACTAAGCAAAACAAGCTAATCAGATGGAATTCTTAAATATTCTACTGCATTTCTTCTGACACTGAAAATTCTTTAATGAGAACTAATCACGTTTAGTCGTATCCTGTTTCTCACAGCAAATAACTATCAAAATTCGTTTTAGCTTTAAAATGGAGTTCAATAGCATTTCTTGACGGACCAGGGTTATAAGAAATTGCGTTATCACAATGGACCAAATAAAGGTCTGACCTTCTAACCATGGCATTAGTTTTTGTTTAATTTTTTTGGTGAGTGAAAAAAGTTGTAATCATTGGAATGGAATCAATAGAATACTTAACTAAGAAACTTTTATTAGACAAACTTATAATAAACACGATCTAGACAAACCGCTCCCGCAATCATATTATTTATTAACGGTTCTTAGCGTTACTTATCTTTAAACTAATCGCAACAATTGTTGTATTTTTACATTAAAGTTAATTTGATTCTAATGAGAAAGAAACTGATCACTAATTGTAACTTTGTGCAACTTTTCTGAAGTAGAAGTTTGCAATATGTTCCCCCCTTGGACGAAACGTTTGCTTCTAAATCCATCTTCTAGCACAATCTAGGAATAAATAGATACAACATTTTTAAAAATTTTTGCAGAGAGATAGATAAACTATTGAACATTTAATCAGCGTTTTAAATACTCATTCCATGCAGACTAAGCCCACCTATATGGCGTACTCATGGTTTTCAATCTTTATTCTTATTATAATCCATTTCCCAATGCTAAATACGTTTGTTATTCGTTGGTTTTTTTCCCCCTACTCATAAGGTGAGGACTATGTCAATCTATTATATTCAAAACATTTTTAACATTTTAGCGAAATGGAAATTGAAATGCCTTTGCAATGACAGTCGGCTTAACTGTTGTTTTAAGTAGAGAGTTTCTATTGTTGATGCGATAACGGAAGCTCTAAACTATTCTTATAATATCTTTCATCTGATCGTATTTGTGTGCCTACAATTTTTCAGCATTAGACATGTTAATGCTCTTCCATTTTCTAGATACGCTTTCCCAACTCGCCAAGCCAAAATTTACGAGCGTTTCTTTTCTTTTTAGCTTATCGGCTACCTACTACCCCCTACCTTCGCCTTGCGACACAAAAGAGATGCCGAAATGTATATTTCTATCGATATGATCGGCAACTAATCCAATGTTAAGTCGCAGCCCATGAACCTGAATGCCCTGAATGGTCGCCACATGCATCTACATACTCGTATGTGTGTAGGTAGCCCAAGCCTTAAGACCGTGTGTTGTAACATACGTTCTGGGCCTGGGCATCTCATAATCTTCATCACATTGCATGGGCATTGCCTTTGCCCTCTGCAATGACAATTAATCACCGCAGGAGTCAAAGACGTTCGGCACCGTCCTATTTGGTTCCTGTGTCTGTAGTTCCTTCGCTCGCTCGTTCGTTCCCATGCCAATGGACTCAGGGATATTGACACTGAAGCCTAAAACCAAACCCTTGTTTGCTAAGCTAGCATTTTGGTCTGGCATTCGAACAACAGCTGTAAGTTTTCGAAATGCATAGTATATCGTACAACCCCTAAAATTATGATTAGTGCAGCCCATACATATATATAACATACAAGTATCTACATATAAATACATATGTATGAGGTATAAAGGGACTTGGACTTGGAAAGGGTAACGCGCGTAAATTGTTAAAAAAAAAAAGAAAGAAAGCAAAAACCCAAAGTGTGAGTCCAATAATTACGTGCATTTGTCACACATACACTCAAAAAAAAGGGTTCTATACTTTAGAAAATCACTCATAAAACTAAAATGAACTCTTTAACTCAGCAGAATTTACTAAGCTATTAAAATAAACCCAAATTAATTTTTAATTTGATCTACTATTAAGATACTATTTAAACTAAATTCTTTTATTATATGAAATAAAACAAATAAACCAAGTACTAAATAAAGTAAGTAGATGTATAAATTCTATAAAATAAATAACAAAATACATATGTATATACATATGTATGTCACAAACCAAAAATAGTATTTTGTTGCGGAAAGCAAAATAAATATTTAGGGTAAAAAAAATTCTACAATTCTAAACCGTTCTGATTGATTTTAGGAAATATTTATTTTCTTCCCAGATAAACTTGTCTTGGAATTTACAAACTGTCTTTCTTTTTTTTAGAAAAATCACTTTTGTTTTACAAATAAAAATTTGGCATTAGTAACGAAGCCTCCTGGTATTCAAAAGAGGTTTCTTAATCAAAGAATTAAATGATTAGTAGAACTTTTTGGGATTTAAAGAAATATATTTCTTGTAGCTCACCAAATATTTAGTGCCCTCAGTGGTATGTTAAATGCTATTTCAGGCAGTTGGTTTTTCCTGAGTGTACCCCGAGCCTGAGAATTATTTTGAACATTACTGCTGGTTTGTCAGTCAGTCACTCAGTCAGTCCCTCTGTCACTCAGTCTGTCTGTCGTCTGGCGCGTTATTTCGAAAGGCATCATTATATGCCAATTGGCAATTGTTTGTTACCCACTCGCAATCTACAGCGTTACATATTGGAGTGCAGTGGAGGGTTGGTAATTGCAACGCATTTGAATTTGAATATTTTGAATAACGGTAACATGCCCAAATTATAACTGTAATTGCATGGGAGCGCATTGTGGCATGTAAGCTATGCTGCTGCCATCTTTTATCAATGAATTAAGTGAGCCATACGTCGTCTCTAAATGTAATTCGAGTGCCGCACTCATTATGAGGGCCGCATGCCGCTTCCCTCGTCGCACCCCCGCCGAAGCGCGAAAACGAAAAAGCTGTTGGGCTTGTCCGTTGACAAGAAAAACAAAAATATACGAAAACAAATACAAATACTTGTGCACCATGCAGCAATCATAAAATAAAAAAAAAACAACAGCAAAATAAAAATACATGATGGCGTTCAAAAGGGCACGCTTTTCATAATAAACATTAGCGTTGGGCCCAAGCAGACGAAGCGCCTAGCTATGTGTGTTGTAGTTGTTGTTGCTGTTGCCACCACAGTGACATGGTCGCATGGTCCGTGGCCCGCTGTCTGTCGGTTTGTTTGTTTGTTTGTTTGCTTGTGCATTTGTGAATTGGTCGTCTTTAGTTACACTTGAATACGTTTTGTGAGTGTGAATGTGTAGTAGGTGTGTGTGTGCATGTGTGTTTGTTGCTGCCACTGCACTTCACCTACTTCGTTGCACTTTACTCGTACTTGTACTTAAAATAGAATTGCATACTTAGCGGCGCAGGAAGCGCTGTCACCAGCAACCAACCGCCTGTGCTTGTGCCTGTGCCTTTGTCTTTGTCTTAGGCCAGTGGCCAAGCAGGCAATTGTGGGGCTTATTATAACTAAACATGACAGCTACTTACGTGTTGTTGCTGCTGCTGTTGTTGTTGTTGTTGTTGCTGTCAATGCTGCTGCTGCTGCTGTTGCTATTGCTGTCTGCTGCAGTGCGGTCGTTGCTTTTATGTCCAAAACGGCGAGCCTACTTATAAGTAAACATGTATCCAGTTACATGCACCTTTTACTGCGTATCCTTTAGCGCACACAGACGTCTATGTATATATGTATGTATGCATGTACAGATATACTGTATACATGTGTGTGTATTCTTAGGACATCTGTAACCTTATCGCTCTTGTTTGAGTCTCAGTTTTTTGTTTGCGCCCCCCTTGTGGCTCTCATACCTTTCGGCCATGCAGCATATCAATATTTCATAGTTTTTCTATAGGCATATGTATGTATGTATGTATATGTGAATTTATGTGTGTGTGTGTGTGTATTTGTAGGCACACACAGCAATTTCCATTTATGCCTTTAAATTGTACACTTCACATAATGTTGCAACAAACACGCACACGCACAGCGCTCGAATATCCTGCTGGTTCTACTCACTGCTTTTATATTAAAGACAACATCAGCATCGCATCATCATCATCATCATCATCAATAAAATAGCGTCATTGTCGGCATTGACATTGCCTCACTCACACACTCTTACACACACAGACACGTGCAATTATGCTTGTTTGTCTGTTGTTTGTGTTCTTTCCCGCATGTGCACGTTTATTATTATTATTATATCGAAAGACGTTGCGAGGGCTATAAAACTTCGATCACGATCACTAGAATTTCACGTTGCCGCATTTACTTTCGATACGAAAACAAAAACGCGCGCGCGCCCGCAGACCGTCAACAAGAAATAACGTGCAGCGTCGTTGGCGTTCCAAACTGAAATAAACTGTGAAGGCGACGAAGAAGCGAGAGTCACTGTTTTAACTCACTTGTGGCACACAAACAACCACCGCAGCAATGTTGCCAATTCTTGAGCCTCAAAATAGCTAGACCAGCAGTTGAAACAAGCCAGAAATAGCTATAAAAAGACAAAATATATCCCTGGTAAAATGCTACGCTTTCATTGTCATTATAAGATAAGTCTGTTTTAAAAGATTTCACACATTATTGAATGACTTCAAATATTACAATAAATTTATTATGGCACATTAAATGCAGAACTTGTATCTTCAAAACTAGCAGAGGTAGAATCATTGCCACAAGATTCAGTATTCTGCTTTCATACTTCCCTCTCTAATTACAAACACTTTTTCCAAATATAAATACAATTGTAAATCGTTAATGATACGATAGTTGCAGTCGCAGTTGTGTCAAATAAAAAGTTGATATTAATATATATTTATGAATATGCAACTAACTACAGCAGGAAAGAAGTTCTTATTAATTGCTTAGAAAATACAACATCTGAACTTTTAAAAACTCTTGAAATTCCGTCAGTCGCAATATCATTATTTTTCCCGCAATCGGCATTTGAAGCACTGCAGTACTAGCGGGAAAATAGCTCAATTGGCAACACTGACAACCACCGCAATGCTCTCTCACTCACACGTTCGCTTGTTCTCTCACACACGCGCTCTCTCCACACGTAGAGTAAAGGCAGCTGTTGAGGAGAGTAGAACTGGATACCACAACAGCATCCCCAGTAGCAGGAGCACGTTTGACTCGGACTGTTGCTCTCTGTGGTACTGTCGCCTGCGGGAACAAGTGGGGAGCATGACGAGCTTACACCGACTGGACGCGCACTCTCCGCTCCATGCTCCACTTCAGTGCTGCTGTTGTTGTTGCTGGGACGCACTTTACGATGTACACAACATATGCATGCCGACTCGCAACTCCGACGGCGACTCTATCTCTGCCACTTCCTCTCCCTCTGCCTGTGCCTCTGCTCTTTTGCTATTTTGTATCTTTTGGATATTACGTTGCTTTTTTCCTGTTTATAGTTTTCGCTTCTAATTTTACACACGGAATTCTTGAGATACTTTCATATTTTCGTTTGATGATTTATTGACTGCAGCGGCAATTAAAGGCCTTTTATTTCACTTTTTATAAACTTCATCTTCTTCCATTGACATTGGTTGTTGCTGTGTGTGCTGTTTTATTTATATTTTTGTTGTGCGCGCACCCATGATACGCACACGTACACACCTACACACTTGCACTCACACACAGACGCACTTTTTTGGGGCAGGAAACTTTTGTCTGTCGCGCAGCGTAACTTTTTTGCTCTTGGCCCAAACAAATTCTCTACACAACTAATTCATGTTATTTTCTAATTGCACTCAATTATTATTAAAATATTGATTGCTACAATTGTTTGCAATAAATTCACATTTTTTTATTTGCATTTGTTGTAAGGAACACACACATTCCATTGATATAACTCAGCAGCGGGCAATGCCAACCTGAACTTCACTCCCGCAACCAGAGAGCGCAACTGACGTTTGGGGCAGCATCCGCGCCTTAGCGCATTTCGTATGTTGTTGGAGCTACTGCTTAATAATACAGGGCATCCTTCCTAATAACGAAAAATGTTAAACAATCTCAAATGTCATTTCAATTTCAAAATATAAAAGGACAAAAGCTTATATTTTAAAAAAAGTGCTCCGTTGAAGACAATAAATAGTTGACTGCATTTATTTATTTATGCAGAATTTTAAATTCTAGGTAAAAATATCATCAACGAATAACGTCAACACAATTTTAGAAATACTCTAACTTCAGACAACTTAACTGATGGAATGTGACGCACCTAGCGGCAAAATAAATAAACTCCAGCCAATTTCAGCTTAGACGCGCACCACACGAGACTAGCACAATGATTCCAAAACTGTAGATGGTACTCTAAAACTGAACTTAAAGAACTTTTAAACTTTCGACGAAACAGGATAAAGCGCTCATCGTATATCGTAGTATAGAAGCTTTAAGCTCTTAACTAATTTTGTATGTACAAAAACATTGGACAAAGGGTTAAAGTGATAGGACCCGCCATTTTAGTTCGTATATGTACATACATACTCATAAGTAAATCAATTCAAACATTATAATAAGGCTTAAAAAAGCAAAATAGCGCAAACAGTAAATCGAGTCAAATAACAATAATATCTACTTAATGATAGGAAAATTGACATTCGAGCAGCTATGCCCCGACCCTGACCCTTTAACAAAACTTTAAACTAATATTATTAATAAACAATTTCTCAATAAAAAAACTTAATCTTAGAAACTTCGATTTAAATAATAGCTAATGCACAATAGGGAAAACAATATTTTAAAAAGGTGACGATTTATTAGACCGTCCAGCAAGAAATGCCCCTACAGCCGTGTGTAGCCGAAGATATCTGAAAAGAGAGGCTTTTAAAAAGCAAAAAGAGAGTTCAGTTGAAAGCAGGTGGTAAAATTTATTATAAATCAAGCATAAATTTCAGAAATTATTTTGCAATGCATCAGTTGCACAATTTTTTTGGTCGATCTTCAGAAGAAATTTAAAAAATGAAAATTTGAAAAAAAAATTGTAAATAAACTTGCTAAAAAATAAGAAGATTCGTGATCGTGGAACTAATATAAAGTTGGTCCCGTGCAACATCGAGAGTGTCAATTTTAACAATTTGAAATTATGTTTTTTTACATATAATTGAAATCAAGGTGAATATACCGGCGGCAAAAAAATAAAGAGGCGTGCAATCGGAGAGAAAAATATGTAATTTTTCTAATGGGTGCTGCTCTCAGTTTTAAAATCAATTTATAGCTTGATACTATAAAATTAATTTTCTAAAAATTCGTATGCTTCTCAGTTGAATAAAATTTTTTTACAAGCTAACATGGAATGGGAGCCGTATCTGGGGTCGGGACAGTTATCAAAAGAAAGTTATGGCAGATAAAGAAATCTAAAATCATTTTGTTTCGATATTTCAGAACTGAAACTGTATTTTCTGAACTGTTAAACGAAAACTATTTTTAAGAGACAATAATGCACAACATTTAAAAATGAGTCGCATTAATATATATATATATATATATATATATATATATATATATATTCAGTTCTGAAATATCGAAACAAAATGATTTTAGATTTCTTTATCTGCCATAACTTTCTTTTGATAACTGTCCCGACCCCAGATACGGCTCCCATTCCATGTTAGCTTGTAAAAAAATTTTATTCAACTGAGAAGCATACGAATTTTTAGAAAATTAATTTTATAGTATAGCCCCACGTTGGGCGCCACAATGAAAATTTATATTATTTTATATAAATTATTAAAAACAAAGAAAATGGGATGCTTGCTTTTATCGACTTTTATGCGGAGAAATGCGAACGATTTGGCGACAATTGTGCTTATATTTAGTTCTATTTTACAACTGACTTCAAATTAGGCTTACATGCTAAACTAAGCCTAAGGCGGCGAAAAAAGGGCGCGAGGCGACGTCCGCAAACGGCCGCTCTCGCGCTCTCTTTTCGCCCTAAACTAAAATTCAAATAATTCTCTTAAACTATCTTAATCTGAAGCAGCATCTGCGCCAACACCGGCCCCCTTGGAGGGACATCGTCCTTCAACGGGCAATGGCGCCAGCCGATGAATAGCCCTCCGTAGATTGCCACTACTCGTGGCGACGTCGGCCACCCGCACCTTCCCGTCTGTCCCGGCGTGAGTTGTGGTGACCCTGCCAAGTATCCACTTTTGTGGCGGCACGTTGTCTTCGGCCACCACGACGAGTTGTCCCACGACGACGTTGGGTTCCTCCTGGAACCACTTCGCTCGCACCTGGAGGCTCGAAATGTACTCCCGGGACCATCGCTGCCAAAACCTGTGCTTGAGACACGAGGCATTGCGCCATCGCCTTAAGCAGGTTTGGCTGTCGATGTCCGGGAGCGGTGGAGCTGGAGTCGCCAGAAGAGGCCGCCCGATCAGAAAGTGGCCCGGGGTTAGCGCCTCGCCGTCGCTGGGGTCCGCGCTGAGTGGTCCCAGTGGCCGAGAGTTCAGCACGGCCTCGACGCTCGCCAGGAGTGTTCCGAGCTCTTCTGCGGTCAGGAGCGCATTGCCCACCGTCCGTAGGAACAGGTGCTTTGCAGACTTGACACCTGCCTCCCATAGACCGCCGAAGTGAGGCGCTCTGGGTGGTATGTACGCAAACTCGCATCCTTTTCTTGATGCGAATTCGCGTACGCCTTCCGCCTCCTTCTCCCATCTTGCTCGGAACTCCTGCAGCTTCCTGTCGGCTCCCACGAAGTTCGTTGCGTTGTCGCAGTAAACTTTGCGAGGGACGCCTCTCCTGCCGACGAACCTTTCAAAAGCCAAGAGAAAAGCATCAGTGGTTAGATCTGATACAAGCTCTAAGTGAACCGCTTTCGAGGCAAAACAAACGAAAAGAGCCACGTACGACTTATACGGTGGCTTGCCACGGATGCGGAGCGTTGTGCTTATAGGGCCACAAAAATCAACACCACATACTTCGAACGGGTGGAACGGCTGGAGCCTGTCTGCCGGAAGATTTCCCATTACTTGGGAGGCCAACCGGGGCTTCCATTTGAAGCAGAGGATGCACGAACGTACTGTTCGGCGACACACTTCCTGAGCGTTAACCAGCCAAACTCGCTCACGAAGCAGGCTCACCAGCGATCTAGGGCCAGCATGGCAATTTGACACATGCAAATAAGATACGTACGATCTTATGAATTGCGACTTTTTAGAAAGCAACAACGGAAACTTGGCTTCATACGGGATAGGAGCATTTAATAATCTTCCCCCCACTCTCAGCAAGGAAAACAAGAAACCGTCTTCTCTAAACTCATGTAGAAATGGACTCAGACGCTGTAAGTTAGCGTTTAGTGTTCTCTTTTTTCGAATCTTGTCAATTTCGTCACCGAACTCATTGTCCTGGATGACTTGAACAATTTTGTTGAATACCAAAGTGAGTTCGCTTGGCTTGGCTATAGGATCAAAGGGCTTCGAGACCTTTCTGCACCTTTGTATAAATCGAAAAACCCAAACGAACACCCTCAGCAATTTTGAATGTGACGAGTAGCTTTCGATAACTTCGAGAATATAATTGGCTTGCCGATCTGCGAGTAAAACTACAGCAGACTTACGAATTTCTGGGGCAGCTGAATTTTTAGGCGGCTCGAAGTGAGCATTCACAGGCCAATTTTCTTCCGATTCCATGAGGAAGGGTGGCCCTGTAAACCAAATGGAGCTACGCAACTCGTCTACATTACATCCTCTGGACACGATGTCTGCTGGGTTGGATTTCGTTGGTACATGTCGCCACGTTGCATTCTCGGACCACTCTTGGATTTGAGAAACCCTGTTTGAAACGAAAACTGACCATGCCGACGGATATATATATATATATATATATATATATATATATCATGTTTCGATAAAATCAGCGAACTGATGGTAGCAAAAACAACTTATTTGCCCCGTTTGTCCCGTTTCCCAAAATCAACCTTTCCACCAAATATAGGGCTAGTTAAGAGTTATAAGTTGAGCATATGTTTTCATGCCCATATACATACATATATAGGTATATATTCTCAACATTATATCTTCAAATAAATTAACCGTAGCCATAAAATGGAAGTCTTTTTTTTCGTGATTTTTGTTCAATGCGGCACAAATTCAAATTTGTCTGCAACATTTTTGTTCCGTTCAGAATCTAGGGGGGCAGCTACCCGCTTTGCACCCCCCTCGCTACGGCCATGACTGTAATAGTCCATTGTCAATCGTATAAGTGACTTATTGTTGTTTGCTCCGATGAAAAGTAATGGACTTACATTTAGAGCAGAAAAAGTGCAAAACTGCAGTCAGTTCAGACAGTTCCTGCAAACAGATATTGTCTCTTTCTTAACCTATGAGGAAATCCAACCCAAGAGAAGTAGGTCGTGCTTTACTGAAGTCACTATACAACATCAAGAAGTAATTAATTAGAAGTTAAGTTATGCTAAGAGAGTAAGATGATTCTAGCCCTTAAAAAACGACTAGAAACAAGACTAACAATAAGGGGAACTGGTCTTTGGTTTTTGGTGCTATTATTATTGGTGCCAAAGAGGAGGCAACAGGAAAAATAACAGAAGCTGACCCAGTTCGACTTTACTTCTATTTGAACTCATGCACACTCACATGTGAATTTGGAATTAAACCGCTCAACTGTCAAATGACGTTTAAAGAAAAATAATTTTAGCGCCAGACAAGCTGCGAAAAAAACTCTTCTTACAGTAAAAAACGTTCCACCAGACTAAATTGGTGCAAATAAAGGATAAATTGGTCAGCTGGTGATTGGGCTAATATGATATTCTCTGACTAAAGCAAAACCCACTCACTTGGTCCAGATTCGGGAGTCATGGTTCGTCGTAGAGTCAATGAAAGACTGCTGAAAAGTTCTGTGTTGTTTCCCCATACATTATGATCTGGGGAGCAAATTTCAACTCGTGGTGTTGGGGAACTTTTATTGCTGGAAGGTACTATCAACTCTGCAGCATACTTGCATGTGGAAATAATAGGGAAATATTGGGTGTTTTGTCTACAATCGAGGCTCTAACACGTTTCAAAAGTGTTTTATCAAGACGATTGTGCACCATTCCCTCATTCGAAATCGCTAAGAACTGAGTGGACATTTTCAATTTTTGTTTCAATTTTTCCAAACATTTTATCATTAATTGACTACTTTTCTTGGCGTAGGTTAAAAAATTTAAAGACATTTTAGGTATAGAGTCCCTTTCTTGGCCTGGGAACAGCCCAGACCTCAACCCTAGTGGGAACGTTTGGCCCAATAATATAGTAAAAGTGCAAGAGATAATTTAATTTACTAGGTATAACAATAAGATTTATCCAGAATTATTAAGAAAATTATACGAAATCATGCCAATTGACTACAGAGCGTAGAGAAGGCAAGGGGCAGCCACACCCACTATTACACAAAATAATAATTTTTTTAATTAATAAAAACTGAAAAACGGAGAGACAATTAATAATTACAATTTAAAAATCATTTGTTTCCCCAAAGAAATGTGTTTTTTCTGCTTTTTATGATAGTGTTTTAACATACGAATATATGGTTTTGGGAGAATATACTGACTTCGTCATGAAATAAAATCTTTTAAAATAATAATGTTATTTGCAGAACTGAAAAATATCTTTAGTCATTTTAAAAATGTATAGTTTTAACATAATATTAATATTTGAATAAACTTTTTAAATATTACTATAATGTTTTTTTGCAATGAACATGATGACAGCATTTTTATAAGCGCGAGTGTATGTTGCAATTCATATTTTAACCATTATGAAATTCGGAGGGATAAATCAAACATAAATTGCCTAGGCAATAGAAGAGACTACATATCAAGTGCAAGGTGCATGTGGGCTGAATAGTTTTCGAAGTCAAAGCATTCATCCAGACAGACAAACAGTCAGAATACATGCACTTTACTGTGTTCATAGGATCGGAGACGCTTTCTTCTGCAATTTCAATATTTTCTATCTTTCTGTTCTTTGTAGGCGTCAAGACCTTATGTAATCAATTTGAAATTTGTAGAACTGTACTCGTTCACTCGTGCATACATATATTGATGAAGCAAACACACTTCTTATATACAAGTACATACATACTATATGAGGAGAATAATAGCTACAAATCGATAAATAAATGTAATTAAAAATGAATCAGTCAATTTAATTGTTAATTTTCTTGTATACCTAAAAATCTAGGCCGTAATGACTAGACTGATTAAAAATATTGCCGTAAAATTGAATCCTTCTTGAAAATTTTACTATTCGTACTTCACTTAAGTGTGTAAGTAAATTAATATTATGAAGACCAAAAACATTTAATACCAAAACTCTTATTTCAAGCAGAAAATTTACTTACTCAACATATGAATTTTAATCTTAACTTAATTAAACCAGAGAGGCAAAAAATTATCCTTTGCTGTTCCAACTCGAACTTTAATGCTATGTTTTTATGCAGAATGAAAGAACATTTTGATCTAATTAAGGAATATTTGTGTTGGAAAATAAGCAAGTGTCAGTAATAAAATAATAATAAAAAGTATATAAAATCAAGTTGAAAAGGGCTGAATGAATGAATATTTGGATCCAAAAAATAAATATTTATGTTTGAAATAAAACTGGTATGTCAAGTTTTTCCAATTTTTATAGTGTTTTATCGATTTAAGCACAACATTTTAGGTAATATAATAATAATAATTTCAAGCATAAACTTAAAAAAGTAATAGCTCCAGCTCCTTATACACAAAAGTTGTATAAATTTATCAAAATAGTTTGGCCAGATTGCAAAGGCTTTAAAAATGTTAGTATGTTTTCGCATTGAAAGACGATTAATTTAACATTCAAGACACAAAAACGTATATAAGTCATTTATTTAAATATCATAAAAACTTAAACGACAATTAACTAATTTTTATACATATCGCAGAGCACCTTCTCCATAGGCGTGTTCCCGATGGTGCGCTGAAAGTAAATCGATTCGATCTTGTGGGAGCTAATCATACGCAAAAGAGGCAGCATGAGCAGCAGACGGCCAAATCGGGCTATTTGTGCGGAGAATTGCGTCTTCGTGTGCTGCGATAACATCACCTGCAATATAGTATATTAGGAATAACATAGAATACTAGCTGAGATGGAACTCCAACTACACATACATGCGCCTGATCCTGTAGGTTCTCAATTTGTGCAGGATCCTTAAGGCCACGAGTTTCGGGTCTGTTGGATTAATCAAAACATATATACTTGTATAAATAAATACTAATCATATATCTTAAAAATGTTTCGTATCCCACCTGAATAGCACAATTGCCTTAAGGCACGCGAATTCCGCAGGATCCACGAGTACCGCTTTGTATTTGCAAAAGATCTCGTGGAGAGTTCGCACATCAGCTGCCATCTGCGGATAGGGCTTTCATTAAATAATAATCTTAATTGCAAGCAACTTTCAAGTAGCTATACCTCCTCCTTTGTGACGCAGTTTTCACCATTGGCGTTGTTCTCCAAATTATTGCAATGCTCGGCCACTGAGAAAAGGGCACATCCTGTGGGGTCTAGAGGAATGCACCACTGAATGGCATTCAGTAAGAAGAGCTCCGACCAGGACTCTTCCAATAGTATAACCTTTACAATAACAATTAATATAGCATGTGCACCACAATGGCGAATAACTAAAGCCTCCCACCTGATCCCTAAACGAAAGCCTTGCAAAGCTGGGCAGGTTCTTGGCCCATTTCACAGCCATAAACAGGAGTCGTGCACTCGTTTCATAAACCGTCTCATGTTGGTGTGTGTACAGATTTGGCGACATAAACTGTGGCATAATGAAGTTGGCGTCTGGCTTGTTGCCGGCATGGGGCTCCTCATCGTTGGTCACATCGATGGAATCATCTGTAAGAGAATATGTTGGAATGGGACTGGCTTGGTTACTTCATCTTAACTCACCATCGTTATCATTCTCTGGCATGGGACTCGAAGAGCTTATGGAGGACACACTACCGCCAGCATTGTTCTTGTCCTGCGCTGCAATGAAATGCAAATGATTTCAAATATATATAAATTTCCAAAAATTAATCTTCAATAAATGCAATCTGGTTACCAAAATAAAAGGAATTTAAATGTCATTGTTTAAAATACGAAATTGAAACAACCAAATTTGAATAGTGGTATCGCTGTTATTCATTATCTTGCAGAATAAAACATTTGCAGCCCCATTAAGTATTTGAGTATTGCTAAACAATTTGAAAAGTCCATCTAAAAGTACTGGATTACGGAAACAGTTGGACTAAACTAATCAAAGTAATTTGGGTTCCAATAAACAAATTTAACACATTTATATAAACTTTATTGCGCTTCCCAACTTGTTATTTGAAAATTCTGATTTTGATTAGATAAGCAAATTTATTTTATGCATATTTACAAATTTATTTTCCTATTTACTATTAAAAATAAATCTGTTTTAAGAATTAAGAAAAACGCCCTTAAAATAACAATACCTAAATCAAATTGCTCTACCTGTATTTTTCATTCTTTCCCTAGAAAATGGAGAAAGTATTCTAAAAGTATTTTAACTTAAGTAGAAATGAACTTTCTTTAAGCTGCAGACAGTTTTCTAAAGTTGTGACGCAGAAGTTAATGTATGTTTTAAAAATTAGTTTTTTTTTGCTGGAAAGCAAATGTGGAAAACCTACATATTATGTGAAAATCTACTGCGAAAATAAAAGCACGAGACAGCATCACAATCGGGCAACAAATAAAATGCAAGAGCAGCCTTACGTTTCCACACGTTCCCACAAGAAGGATTTTTTAAACCCAAGAATATTTTGTTAGAAATTATATCTGGGCTCTTTATGGCTCAACGAGCTAGCAGAAATATTTTAAAAAAATTTAAACAGTCGCGTTATGACCAAATCTGCAGACCAATTCGTAGCACACAAGAAAATACATCTCTATTTTAAGGCTAAGGATCCATCGAATGAATAATTCATGCCCGTAATCTAATTTAAAAATTTTCATCCTTCTCCCACTCCCCGGCTATTAGGGATTTTTATAGCCTGTACCCAAAGGGTGAAAGGCTATACTAGTTTTGTGCGGATGTATGTAACACACAGAAGGAGGCGTGGCAGACCCCACAAAGTATATATATTCTTGATCAGGGTGGCAAGCCGAGTCGATATAGCCATGTCCGTCCGTCCGTCTGTCCGTCCGTCTGTATGAGCGCAAGGATCTCAGAAGGTACAAGAGCTAGAATAACCAAACTTGGTATCCAGATTCCCATAAGCCCTAGGCAGGTCAAGTTTATTTTTTTATTCTGATACACCCCCCCACTCCCCCGCAATTCGTCGCTGCTCATGAGAGCTGCCGGCAGCGCTGCCCGCAGCTATTGTTGTTGTTGCTGCTTGGGTTTATCTTTGGGTTTTTTAATTATTAAAAAAAATTTTCTTTTTCATTTTTTCCTTTTTGGTGGGGGGTACAGGGTATTTAAGAGTTGAGCTTGCTCGACTTTAGCATTCTTTTCTAGTTTATAACTCTGATATTTCTGGGAAAGTCGAGCTGAAATTTGGTTATTACGGTTAGTACGTAAAGTTATGGCAATAACTATTTAATTCAGACATCAATGTATTAAAATGCTTAATTAATATTCCAAAAAATGCCTAAATACCAGGAAATACCAGGAGACGGCCCTTTTATTAAAAACAACAATTTATTTCTTGTTTCCTATAAACGTGTTAAACATATACAAAGCAACAATTTCTTTCTAGTTAATTTATTTAATAATAACAAACTCCAATAATACAACAACGAGGGACCTTACTTTAAATTTGTTGGTACAAAATTTATTGTTTTATTCGACAAATGATTTAAAAACACACATCTCTACCTTAAAGAGTTCAAAACTACATTTTGCCTTTTTTAAAAATGACGCGATTCAACAATAAACCAATATTATTGTTATTCGATCTGTAATAACTTTTACTAACGTAAAGTCATTCTAAATGAGCTTTCCTCGTTTGGAAATTTTGAAACAACATCCCATTCCATCTACTTAGCACGAATAATTTCAAACCCACCTGCAGCTGAAGGAAAATTAAAATAGATTAAATACTTATTTCTAAAAAATATCATACCTATGTATTTTTAATTTGTAGTTAAAATTTAATTACTTGCGAATATTAAATTGAAGAACCTGTCTCAAAAATACCAACAAAACAAAAAAAAAGAAAAAGAATAATATTGAAATGTTCTTTTTTAAAAAAGGATATGGATATGGAAGTGTAATGAGCACTTACCTGCATCAGGTGCGGGTGAACTAGGATCTATGGAGTGATTGCTGCTGGAGTTGGTGGAGTGCGAGACATTGCCGCTGCTGGAGAGTTCCATGGCGCCGCCGTAGGCCTTCTCCTTGGGCGAGTGATGGAGTCCGGCATTGAACACGGGAAAGTTGGCGGCATGATTCATGTGATTTTGAGCCAGCATGGAAGTGCTGAGGTGGTTGTGGTGCAGCAGACGTCCCGTCGGCAGGCTGCTGAGTGCTGTGGGCGATGGAAACAGTTGCGAACTTTTCGACACAAACTAAAAGCCAAATTAAGGGAACTCACATGGCGGTGGCAGCAAACCGGAGCCGTAGCAGGGCGGCGAAAGTAGCACGGGTGGTCTATAAATTGAAGTTGCCAACAAATTTTTGGGCGGCTGTAATGTGTGTGTCTAAGTTATGCAAATGACAGCCTCGCACTTACCCGAAAACACCGACGGCTACTGCAGCCTCGCGCAACGCACGTCCGTGCTCCATCTCCCGCAGTGTCTCCGGCCGTATAGTGGCCGTGTTTCTTGGCTGTCGCTCATTTTGCACCGCTGTAATTGCAAAACAAATGCAACTAAAGAGATATGTGTGTACGAGTATGTGTGTGTGTGTGTGTGTGTGTGTGTGTGTGTTGATAAAGCTAAATACCACAAAGCACTAAGCCCACTCAGGCCAACACGCCCAGCTCGCTGGGTAACTGCAACGTGCTGGTAATGAGAAAATGTCACACACACATTGGCAATTTCCGCAGGTACACCCGTACCCGTACCCGTACCGGTACAACGGTACCGGAGCCAGAGCCAGAGCCAGAGCGCGTGCCTTCTCGGCGCTTCTCATCAGCATAACGGTGATAAATTGGTTTCGTGGTCACGTGTCAATCACGCCCACAAATTGCTTTCCCATTTGCTTATGTGATGAGGTCGGTTCGTGGACACTTTTGAGGCCGCGGTCGCTCAAAACTGTTGCCTTTTTGCATTCGCATAATAATTTGTGGTTTGAATTGAGTAATCGTTATGATGATGTATTTAGTACTTGTATTTCATTTGATTGAACAGCGCGGCGATGTGAATGAGAATGAGAATGAGAACGAGAACTGAGCTTGACAACGTTTGTTTTCGCATAGAAAACATCGGCCTTTCTGGCGCTCCTTTCTGCATCCAACATCCTGACAATGCCCAAAAGTAGCATTCACAACATAAACAATTGCTGCTCATTGATGTGCGCTCGAGCAGCTCGGATCTCGGAAAATCTGTCAAAGACAACAACGGCGGCAACAGCAGGTAACAAACCAATTGAGTGAGCAATATGTAAATAAAGTGCAGACCCATCCGGAGTCTACCCACGTGCACGTTCGAGGCGTGTTCAAGGGGTGACTCCGACTGAATGGTTCAAAAACAGGAGAGTTGTTGCTCATTCGTTGTCTAAAACATAATGAAAGTGTTTTTGTGCGACTGTCTGTCTAACAGTCATGCTGCGTGGGAAATATAAAGGGGTTTCGGTACCAGTACCCGTTCCAGTCTCAATACCAGTCCCAATAACCGCAAGTATTTAACAAATAGACATATTTACTTTAGACTTGGGCACGGACACGTGTCCAAAGCTTTTGAGGTTATGTTAAACACCAATTAAATGTGATTCACCTCATTAGAGCGAGTCGATAGCAGCCACCAAGAGTACACACGAAAATTTCTAGAGATTTTTCATTCAGTTGGGGTCACAAAAGTTCGAAAGATTACACAGTAGCTGGCCCGGTTCCAAATTCCGCAAATTTGGGACAAAAGAGTTAACATTTTGGTAAAAATCGTAGTTATTTGCATAGGATTTATTATACCCTGGCTTGAAATGTACAAGGGTGTACTAGTATAGTGCGAATGTATGTGACACACAGAAGGACGAGTGTGGCCAGCACCACAAAGTATATATTCTTGATCAGTATAACAAGAGGAGTCGATATAGCAATCCCGATCCTTCTATCCCGCTGTTCGTCTGCCTGTCTACTTGAACGCAAGGGTCTCTCGGTATACAGATTTCCCTAAGGCCGAGTTTGTTTCCCTAATGCACTACTTTGGCTAAACTCTGTACTGCACACATACACGAACATTAATGTATTCTATTGGGACTGTACGACTCTATGTACGTAATGTATGTATACACCTAATTCTGTTTTTACACGTTTTGAAAATTAAAAGTGTTATATCTATATGGTTACACGACTTCATTCCATTTAGCACGATTCAAAATAACATATGAGCAATGTCTTTTTTTACACTGTTTTTTTTTCTGTAACCAATCTACATCGAATTCTTTTTTTACACGGTCTTTTTTTACGCAATTTTGATATAACATGGTTTGAAAATTAGAATTTCCATATGTATTTCTTTAGAAATAAGGAACCAATCACAAATTTTAACATATGATCTTTTTTTTGCACGGTTGTTTCTGGAACCAATCTACCGTGTAAAAACAGAATTAGGGGTACCCTGTAAAAACAGAATTAGGTGTATTTTTATTTTATTATTAATTTTATTTCATTAATTTACGAGTTGAGCCCACTGGACTCTAGCATTCCTTTGTTGTTTCTTAATTTGTTTACGACGCGAAAAGTTGTTTGAATAGTGAGCTCAATAGCGAAGGAAATTGAGCTCAAAAGCATGTCAGAGACTCTAAACATCTTTTTTGGAACGACCTAACAAATTTTGGTTGATGTTTTGGATTTGAAGCGAGTCATAAACTGTCCCTTTTGTGGCCAGCCAGTTCTAAGTGTGGCTGAATTTTTGGCCAAACACGAAAGACACTTCTACCTGTTTCCGAAACTCAAACACTCGCTTCGGAGAACGCGCCATGAATCGATTAAAACCATAAAAAGTCATTCGCCGAAGGAACTAAAGGCCGGCCAATTCCCATAACAAGTGTATGGAAACTTTCAATTCCTGTTGACATTCTTATATTAGTTCAAAATAAACCTACATTGCAGACGATAATACAGATTTTGATTAAAGATTGTGTTTAAAGGTTTGCTTTTGTTCTCCAAAAAAATGTATGTACTTGGATCAACGTCAATAAAAATGGAGAATCTATTTTAGGTAAGTTTTGGGGCGCAAGAGCCAAATGAATTTTTCTAGTTTTACAGCGTTATTTTCCCAATTCGATTTTAAAATTAATCTTTTAATAACTGAAACAAATTAAAGATGAAATTTAAACAAATTCTAAAGTCACGTTTCAATTAAAAAAGGAGCTTACAGAAAAATTCTTTGAAAGCCTAATTCAATGGTTGTAAGATCTGATTGGGATTTCAAATCAACAGAAAGAGTTCTTTGGAACATCTTTGAACTAGAATTGGCTGGAAATTTGTATATAGGTATCTATTCTTGTATATGTACGTACCATCCTTGTTCATTCCCATTTGAAGGCACTTCTTGAGCCTACAGGCCTGGCATTGATTCCGATGCGCTTTGTCGACAACACAGCGTCCAGTGCCCGCCTGACAGCTGCAATGAAAGAGACCAAGTTCATAGTTTAATTGAGGTTGAGCACCAGGACACCATTGCGCTTCCATAATCAAGTTATATACGCACTTGTACGTCAGCACAAAACACACGCCGATAACAAGATTTGGCGTGTCAAAAATTGCAACATTTGTCTAAACCACCCGGAACACATACAACCGCCCACAAAGGTTCTTAGATCCTTACGGCCAAAGAGGGGGGATGGAGGCTCAGCCAACGAACCGTAAGACACTACACCAGCCACCAAATGCATGAATACAAAAGCACTCCAGCCTGTGTCTGTTCTGTCTGGTCTGTCCTGCTCCGTATCTGTGCCGATTTGGCTTTAGCCTCAGTTCATCAACGAACGGCAAAAAGTGCTCGTCTCTAGCGCTTTTGTTCTCTGCTGCCGTGCACTTGTGGCATTTTAATCAAATCACGATTGAGTGGAGTGCTGTGCAGGGATGTGTATGTGTCTATAAAATCATCATCAGCCAACACCCACCCACCCTGTCCTGTCCACTCCAGGACGATGACTACAGACTCTGTTTTCTCTTTTCACCATCGAGCCTCTGCAAAAATTCAAAACACAAAACGGCAAAGATGCTCCACTTATATACTTAACTGAATGATTCAAGAGTGCACACACACCTACATACATAGATGTATATGTTTTGACAAAACTGCCTCTAGAGCACTGCATGTTGATTGGCGGACCTTCAAGCAAGACTTTAAACACGAGTTAATATAGTACAAGCCATCAGGATTGTATTGAACCGTCAACTTAATAACCTACTCTTAATAACCTCGACTTAATAACCTACTCTATTATTATTATTACGACGAAAAAATGTCCAAACATCACATTATCTGCGATAGATTTATTTGAATTGTAATGATCTTTCAATCATTTACCAAACCACAATTTATCTCTGCAAATAGCGTCTCAATCCAATCATCACCCGGAAAAACTCTGACCATAGATTGTCGGACTGGCTAATAAATCATCAATTCTTCATTATTTAGTTATTTTTTTATTTATGGTGCATGGTGGTTAATTATTTCATCGCCTTTTTTTCTGTTACCGCGACTGCAACATTATATGAAAATAAATTAATTATGCGAAGCAGTGAAATACATACTCGTATATGAATATAATACCAAAATTTATTATTTAAAAAAATGGCAACAATAAAGCCCATTTATTTTAATCTCATTTTGAACATACGAAAAAAAGAGGCTCCAGAAGCCATACAAAGTGTTTGGCATTTACTAAGCAATATTAATTTTTATGTATGTAAAATAAAATGTGTAAAACAAATTTTTTTTTTGTTTAAAGTATTTGATGTAGTATTTAACGATTTTACAGGCAATAAATCTTTGTAAAAAAGCACCGTCAATTTAAATTTTTAAACAAATTTCATAATAACTTAATAAATATTTTTTAAACTCTCTTATTTTACATATTTGTTAATTAACGTTTTTTGTTAAAGGCATTGTTTTTTATATTTTCGATATGGAACCCCGTTTAAATTGTTAAGTATTGAAAAATAGCCTTTTCATAATATTACAAATTAAATCGCTACAGAAGGCTCAATAAAGCGCGCCAATATCATGTATCCTGGAAATGATAAAGAAGTTTTTAATTATGATACATGGAGATTATACGAAGAAACTGCTAACAGTCGGCATTAGGTCAATACATATTTTGGTTAATCAAAACAGAGCACTTGCAATGTGAAATTTTGAAATACTTTAAATTCGATTTTAGTAAATACGAATCAATTGATAAAGTAAATTGTTTTTAAAGGAATTTGTTTATATTAACCAAATAAATTGAAGAAGATGTGACTGCACTTTATTATGCATAGACTCGGTTGACTATCGGAAAACACGTCACGTAGCACCAAATATACACTTAAATCGGCATGTATCTGCCGGCCTCTGCTTCTGTAGCAATCTCCGAACAATACCTTCAAAAGGCAACATCAGCTGAAAAGGCACAAACTTTGCTCTATTTCGTTTAATAGCGAATAGAGCCGCCCCTTTTTTTCTACCGTACTTTGTTGTGATTCGGCTTAGTATGTTGTGTGCTCGACTGGGTGTGTATGTGTATTGTGTGTGTGTGTGTGTGTGTGTATGTTAGGGGGAATGAGGGACGGAGTCCATGACTGTGTCTTTGGTTTTGGGCTTTGGCTTGGGTTGTTTGGGTGGGCGTGCGGTCACATTTGGCCAAGTGTTTTGGGCTTAAGCCCTCCTTATCAATCTCATGGGAACGCAGGGATATAGAGATTTCGACGTTTGTGATTTACCGTGCAAGATGAAACAAAGGAAAAATATCACAAAATAATATTTTTATGTTGACTGCCAAATATTTTGTCGCCGCTAAAGCCATTTGGCTGAGCGACCGCAGCGCCAAATATAGTATACAAGTAAATATATGTATGTATGTACACACACATACTTTTATGAAATTGGATTTGTGTTTTGATTTAATGATAATTGAAAAAGTAAGACAAAACAAATGTAATAAAATGTGTGCTGACGACCCGAAAACTTTTCAGCAAAATGATTTAACTGCCATAAGCTGAACGAGAAAATGTATATATGTATAAACGTATGTATGTCTATTTATATGTACATACATATATACTTGTATCTCCATATGTATATATACCAAAAATTATCTAAGAATAAGTACACTGATATACAATTTCAAAAACAAATAATATCATTCCCAGGAAGAGAAGACTGAAGAAGTGCCATCCAAAGGATCTCCTCACGAGACCCCTCGTGTAAAATATATAGTATAATATCTTAAAGATATATATTATTAAATCTCAAATATTGTAAGATATAGATAAGCTGCCATATTGGTAGCAGAATACTGGTTTAATAGATTGTATATATGTAAAAAAAAAAAAAAAAAAAAATGAAACATTTTTCTTTCAAGAAGATATTGAACTCAAGTCAGCTCAGCTAACTAATATAGAAAATTTAATCTGGAATTAAATGCATGATATCTCACTATTGGACTAACCATTATCTAATTACTATTGACTTTGGAATCGTAAATGCTTGTCTGATGTGGGATGCTATCAATACCAATTGATAATGACTCTGGCAAATAGAATATCCATAGCATAACAACAGCACAAAACAATCAAAAAATAAAAAGAAGTGCACTGCGAGATGAAATAAAAGGAGCGGAGTCTAGAATTGGAAATCCAACTCTTTTAAAATATAAAATATTTTTTATGTCAAGCAATTCTTGTGATGGAAACCAGTCTATTTAAATATAAAAAATTGTATTGTATTGTATTGTTTTCTTCTACGAGTGTATGCACGCGTATATGCTTTAGCCGACGGAGTGCACAACTAAAAGAAAACAAACATAAAATAAAATCCGCACTTTAAATTCAATTACATTTCGGGCGCTGGTACTTTGATTTAAAAACGTCAAATTGAAATGCTCCGTGGTGCAACTGATGCCCAGGATTTGGCTTGGCAAGCCCGAAGTCAACGATGGCAAATGTGCGCATTCAAAAGTTGACGCCCAAATCCCAAAGATTTGAATAATTGTAATAAATTTCGAAACTGTTTGTAATCCGCCAACCAGGGGCCCGAGCACACAACCACCACCCACCCCCAGGTACGGTTGCGGAGCAAGGAACGTATAAAGTGCAAAAAAATTCTCTTTTTATGGTCGTCAGTTTTAGGCTGTACGGAAACTCACCGATAAATTAGTTTGCGACGAACGCTGCGCTTGAAGAAACCGGAGCAACCATTGCAGGCCAATATGCCGTAGTGTTTGCCGGAGCTGGTGTCGCCACAGACGACGCAGATCAGGCCCAGGTTTTGTCCCTTGATGCGTGGTCCGCCGGCTGCTTGATCCGCTGCCAATTGCACCGCTGAAGATGAAGGTGGGGGATTGGAGGCGACGGCTGCTGCAGCTGCCGCCGCTGCTGCTGCCGCTGCGCTGTGGTTCCAGCTAAGCAGACGACTGGACGTGGAAAGTGGGACTGCAGGTGGCGGCGGTGGCGCCTGTCCAAGTGATTGTGGCGGCGGTGTGTAGCAAAGACGGGAAGGACTGTGCAGCTCTGAAATGGTGAAAAAGATGTGGGCCCAATAAAATATCACTTATGTAGTTCATTTAAATTAAATTGTAATTTGTCAAGTGATGTGGTTTGGGGTTCCGGCAGGGACCAGCACACACCCCTGATCTTATCCTTGCGTGCCGACATTGACGCCGTGTAATCTGCAAATATATTTACACATTCAATTAGGGTGCCATTAAGCCAAACGCTCTACACTCAACTCGACTCGACGCGACGTCAATCTGTGCGCAAAATTTGCCTCGGGGGACAATTGTTTTGCCATCACACCCTAATTTGATTGTAGTTTCTTTAGTGATTTCTTGATGCACTTAACCCTCCCCCGGCTCTGCCATACTACGGTGGCACATTTGTTACACTCGCCACTTGGCAGTGCGCTCGAGCGTTCGTCCTTTTGGATTGGAATTTGGGTCTGGGTCTGGGTCTGGCTTTCAGGCAGTCTGTTCGGGTCGGCTTGTACACCAACTGCGGTCTAATACCGGCGGATTAGCGTCATATGCTTGCATTTTCTGGCGTTGTTAATTTTATGAGCTCGTTTCAATTCACTTTAGCATGTCCTTCCGACAAAAGTGTTAACGGCGCGCTGCAGTTCAGGCCCAGATGTGTGCTCTGAGTTTTGAAATTTTGGCAGACTGACTTGGGTTTAATTCAATTTTGTGATTATCATAAATTGAATTTGCGGCAATTCGACAAGAAAGGTCGAGCGTTCGTGCGTTAGACCCTGTTCTGGAATTCATTTGTATGCCGCGCTTGGATACAACTTCTTTTCAATACACATCTTGCAACGTTCATTAAAAATTGTTATTTTTTTCGTCACATCCCAACTTGTCCAAGAGTTTACGCGTTCTTGCACATTTTGTTGAGGAATAATGTGTTGAAACAGAATGTAATTAGGCAACATTTTTGAGGTTTAATTTTATCAAGGAAACCCACAAAAACGCAGACGAAAAAATGTACATCAGGAGCAAATGACATAAGTATATGCGTTTTCACAAGCAATTTGTGTTCTTTCGCCCGTAAATGGTAATCACGATTTTTTATAATTTTCTGTTGACCCGTTTTCAACAGTTCTAAAACATTTTCACCAGAATATACCAGTGTTTTTGATCACTTTAATTTAATTTAGACTTTATATAATTATATATATTTGTTCTCATTTGTCTTGTTTCTTTTTTGGCGTTAGAGTTAAGTATTGCTTAAATAGCATCACATTATATTTATTTTCGACAATTTAATACTATGTTTTCATTCTAGTTTTCATTTACCCTTTTACAGAACATATTTGATTCACTGATCTGAGCAGCTTATGTCAATTTTTTAGCATTTGATATTTTGAATTTAAATCAAAGAGCGTAGTATAAAAAACTTCTTTAAAACATTTTCGTTTCTTGGTAATAGCGATAAATATTTCGAAATATGAACTGGAATTAGAAGCACTTATTTATGTACACAACACTATTAAATTTACCTTGAGACGCTGGACGTGCGTCGTTCAAACTTTCTTCTTTATTCATTGCCAGCTTTGGGAGATTTAACAATGTGGACCAACTTTTGAGAATTTTCACAATTTTTGAATCAAACTTGACCCGAGGATCTTATTTTATAAGAGCGTTTTTTGAACTTACATTAACAAATATCGTACTTGTTATTATTAATGCCTTGAACACTTTGATTTACTTTGATTTTTAAACTCCATGTTACTGTTATTATAATTTCAAATTTTTATCCGCAGGTAAAGTCGACAATAACGCAACGGCAACGCGCACGGCAAGAATGAAATGCAACGGAGTCCGCGAAACACAAAAACAACAGACACAAGGCTGGTCCCGGTCCCATCAGCGATGATGATGTTAACGTCTCGATATACGATTTCAGATTTATCATAAAACCATGACAGAAGCTAAACACAGTGATGTGTCCACTCCAGCTACCAGCCATCCAGCCAGCCAACCAACTAGCCTGCCCTCCAGCCAGCCAGCCAACCCCGAAATAGAAAAAACAAACCGTAGATATAATCCACAGTCGGTGAGTGGGCAGAGACGCGTGTATGAGTGTGTGTGTGTGTGTGTGTGTGTGTGTGTGTGTGTGTGTAGAACAAAAAGCACACCACCAGCAACAAAAACGGCAGCAATCATATACAAACACACACCATTGCCACCCACCAAGAGCAGCAAGAGCAGAGAGCATCGAGCAACGAGAGCAACAACAAAACAAGGATAACCGCACCCGCAACACACATCCGTAAAAGCCAACCGCCGACCCAACCTGAACCGACGCCCACTACTACCATCGCTGCTGCTGCTGCTGCTGCTGCTGCTACTGCTACTGATGCCGCTGCTCTTGCTGCTGCTGATGTTACGTCGAGGACTTTTAGTGGCAACTCTGGTGGCGCATTTGCTTGTTGGCTTGCTTTGATTCGTTCTTCTTGATGCTGCGGCAACGGAGCGTTGGTCTTTGAGTGTAGGTAAGCCAAGCCGCAATCGCAATCGCAATCTCCAATAAACACCCGGCTGCGCTCTCTGCGCTCTAACAGTATAGCGGTACACGAGCGCACACACATGCACACACTCACTCATACATGCACACACACACAAACACACACACACACTCACTGCCAGCGCCGCAGCCGCCATCATGACAAACAGTGAAGAAGAAGAAGACAAATCAGCAGCTGGAGTAATGGAGCTCGTTTCTGTGCCATGGCCGCCGCACTAATACCGCCGCCCCCCACACAACTTTTGGCCCTGGACTATGACGCAGCTGCGCGGGCTGCACGCTCACATAATCTCCTTGGGTTTTGACATTTTGTTTTTGTTTTGTAATATCTTTGTGATATTAGTGCTTTTGTATTTCCTTGCCTACCGACACTCAGAAAAAAATATTGCATTAAATAAACGAATTGACGAATTTAAGAAACATTTTCGATCCAGAAATATATTCCATTCTAGGATAACAACCCACACAATTTTTGACACTGGACTATGACGCAGCTGCGCGGGCTGTACGCTCACATAATTTTTTTTGGGGTTTTCACATTTTGTCTTGTTTTGTAATATCATTGTGATATTAGTGTTTTTGTATTTCTCTTCCTAACGAAAAATATATTGCAAAAAAAGAACCAGGTTAGGCCTTTGATTTCACAAACATTTTCTATTAAGAAATACCTATAAAATCACAGCTAGGAAATGTTTTGAAAATGTATGTATTTCCGAAATTAAGAAAATAAATTAAAAGTTTGCGGTGCTACATATATTCTATAGGATTAACAAACAAAATTTCTTAAAATGTGTAAATTACGCCCCGTAACTTAGGAATTATCATAGAATTATTTATTATTCACAAATGATACACATTCATTATACGAGTATAACATTTAAAAGGACTAATCTTTTGGTGTAATATGAACCATCAACCCTTTATTCCTCCATTATCATGGGCTGCAAATTATACATAAGCCGTACTCTGCATTATTAACCTGTTTTGCATTTAGACCACTGACGTTCGGTAACATAACAACATTATCATTATTCAAATTGCTTGTAATATCATAATAAACAAATAGTTTTAATAGTAAAATCATTGCGTATGGTCTACAACTTTTTCTTTTGTTTTAATAAATATATTTTAAATATCCATGGACAAGTTAGTCTTTATTATAAATTGGAGGGGGTTTTTGCAAACACTTTTTGTAGTGTACAAGTATCTCTTCTGTTTTGTGTGAGTGTATGTGTATGTACACAGCAGAGGAGACAGAATGGCAGTTCGGCTCCACCAGTTTGGCTTGAGGAACTGTAATTTAAATGAACGGACGGCAGTAGGGTGAGTGAAATGATTCACTAGTCCTTATTGTTGACGACTCTTAGGTTTCGGTTAAGCAAACAGCAACTTCGATTTACGGCTTAAACAATAATGGAAACACAAATATTTAGATACATTTATTTTGTTAATATTTAATCGAGGACGTTGATCATAATATAAGTAAATACTATTCTTGTTATAAAAAAAAACGTATCTTTTTCTGCCTATTCCGTGGTCTAAAATACTCATAATAAGTATGTTCTGAATTCATATATTCATTATCCAATTATAACTTAATTTTAAAAAAATTATAGGAAAAAAATTTAGAATTCCATTTTCAATTCTTTTACATATACTTAGTACGCATGAAACTAAAATTTTCAATTAAATTTTTGGTTGCTCCGGAAAAACCTAAGCTTGCGTGTGAAAACATTAGCAATTCGACAATTCAAACGCTCTTAAGATGTACATATTGTTATGCATTGCTTAAAATATGTATTTGTATAGTAAATTTGTATGTACATATGTATGTATATTCATATTCATATCATAGCAAAATGCAAAGATATTTAAACTGCTGGGTTAGTGTATACAAATATCCAAAAATCGATACGATATTCGGTTGTGAATGCTAGCTGCTAGCCCACAGTTAGGGGCCTTCGGTTTCCACATCTCTTTTGTTATTTGAGGCTTTTGCTGCGCTTAATTCGCCAACATTAACTTAGTAACAAATGAGATGTCGGAATACAACAATCACCTACCAGAAGCACATCCTTTCCTGCCCCCAATAGACAGCACCCAGCAGCAGCGACATCGGCTTTATTCCAACACAAGCATCCCCACAACTCCCTCAGCTATCGTAGTGTGTGTGTGTGTGTGTGTGTGGTGTGTATTTGTGTGTATTCGATGCAGAAAAGTTCATGCGATGGTCTGTCGCGGGGCAGGCGGCGTCAGCTAACAGAAGTTTATTCCGAGGACAAAAGTGAACAAACGCAAAAGTCAAAGCGCTTTGCCATGTGGCCACGCCTACACTGTAGGAGGAGCGAGCGAGAGCGTTATCCTATAATATCCGTGCATCAAAAATGCCCGCCAGCAACAACAACAACTACGAATGCCGCCACAGTTGGATAGCGAGCGTATAAGCGAGATGGCTGTGCGTGTGAGAGAGCGCTATGCAAGCAAACGGGACGAACATAGTTGAGAGGGTTGGTTCTTGACATTTGAACGGGCGACATTTCGCTCTGCTAGTATACATATGTATGCATATGTATATATGTAGATACATACTAACATATATATTCACTTGTCCTGGTATGTATGTGTGCTATGAATGTATGTGTGAATAATCTCTGTTTTTTTTTAAGTGCAGTGCACTTTATTTAATCAATCAAAACTTCGCAAACGGTACATTTTTCAACTTTAATTTACGTCGTTGCAGTAAATTTATACTTGGGCTTTATCATCATACATATGTATGTAAGAAGGTTCAATAAAAAAAAGATATGTGAAGAGCGGCAACGATTTATAAGGGGCTCGAAAATTGTCTACATGATATACATTTTTTTATTATTTAATTTAATTAACTGTATCGCAATCAGAAGAATCGTGATGCCATGTCCAGTTCAATCTTCGGACCTTAACTCAATAAAGATTTTTAAGGAAATATCAAACGATTAGTAATAGTAGCAGCAAACTCTTCAAGATAATAAAAGCTTTGGCAAGTGGATTTAGTGGCATGGGCTCAAATTTCTTTTAATTTAGGATCTTATAAGCCAATGCAACGCAAAATTAGGTCTAAAGAAATACTTATAAAGAACATGAGAAATTAAGTTTTTCTTAGGTTTTTTTATTTTATTTTGCTTTTTAGTTTTCACTCAACTGCAGTACTATTTTCATGAACACAACTGCACTTAACATGTCCAACTTATTATACATGTGAAACAACATTATCAAAGCCTTGTTAAGAAGATTTAGATGCAAACGCTTCATTAATTATACATAATTTTTTAATTGGTTTAACAGTACAAGAAATAATTAAAATAAAACCAAGTATTTTTTTAAGATATTAATAAACATTCTACAATAGTCGAAGTATTGCAGAATTTCTCAGCATTATATGAAATCAATTTGTTGTAGTAGGGCATGTAGATTATTGAAAAATTATATATTTCGTTTTCGTTGTTATTCAACTTCTTAGGACAACAATGGGTGACAAATAAATAAATGAAACTAGACAATTCTGTAAGATAAGAATATAGGAAAACCAACAAACCTTGTGAAAGATATTATATAGGCACATTTTGGTGGAGAGAGGGTCTCTCGTTACATGCCTATGCAATTTTCTTATTTTTATACCCTGTACCCGTAGGGTAAAAAGGGTATATTAGGTTTGTGCAAAGTATGTAACATACAGAAGGAAGCATCTCCGACCCCATAAAGTATATATATTCTTGATCAGCATGACGAGAGAAATCGATCTAGACATGTCCGTCCGTCTGTCCGTCCGTCCGTCTGGATGAACGCGAGGATCTCAGAAACTATAAAAGCTAGAATAACCAAAGTTGGCATCCAGATTCTCCTAGGTCCGAGTAAGGACGAGTTTATTTTTTTTTTTTTAATTTCCCCCCCCCCTTCCCCCGCGACAGAATTTCGTCAATAGCGTCCACATTTCAAATGCTACCTAAACCAAACTTTGCACACATAATTTATATATAATTGTCTACTGTTGTTTAAAATTTTATTCAATTCGGTCAATTCTAAGAAAAGTTATTAGCGAAACAAATTCTTGCCAGTACAACCCCCCCAAACTGCAGCAACAAGTTCGCTCTTCTTCTTCCTCTTTTTGCTGCTGCTATGGGCGCATATAACTCAGTGACGGAAGTTTACCTGGGTACAGGGTATTACACTGTCGGGCTTGCTCGACTGTAGCGTTCTCTCTTGTTATCATAGGAATTGACATCATAGAGCCAAGTGCGTACGCCGGGGGGGCAGGGGGGGGGGGCGTTGCCCCCCCTAGAAAAAATTGTTCCATATAAAGTCGACCACACGTTCATTATTATGACGCACTATTTCGCCTTAAGATGGATCTGCGTTGGATTTGTTGAAGTTTTTTCATCGATCATATGCATAAATTATTTTTTAAATGCATCGGGCATTATTTAATCAAAATTTTAATTTTTTGGCCCCCCCCCTTTGGTAAAAGCTGGCTACGCCCTTGCATAGAGCTCTTAGTTTTATTAAATAATCCTAACTTATGTAGCTTCTTTATTTCTTCCGTTAAAGAACGCGCCTTACTTTACAAATTGACTAAATGGATGAATTGTGACTTAATAAAAAACAATCGGGCTGCTATTTCAGAAGGAATTTCTTGATAGAGCTGTCGTTAGTAAGTTACTTACAAGTTTCATCTACTAAGCTTCGACGGTTAACTTAAGCACAAATATTTTCATGACCTAATCATTTTTATACTTATAAAAATAACGCTCGCATCAGTTAACATTATCATTGCCACGTGCCAGGCACAACACATAAAACTTTCCCGAAATAAGCCCTGAAAAGGACCGATGAAAACAAAAGAACATTTCTAATGCCTCGTTTAACAATTAATTTTTCAGTTAGTGTGCACGCGGCTACCATTGTATGTTGTCTGTTTGAGTTTTAGTTATGTATTTGGCATATTTACCTTTCAACTTTAATAAACAATTTCCTTGCAATTGAGTTGTATCAATCATTATCATTTCAATAGATTGACTTTAGTGAATTGTCTTTATAAATACTAAGGGTGGAAGTCTACGGATACCAACTATTTATTCTTGTAATACTTATGTACTACAGCTATAAAGTGAAAAGATACACATAAATTATAAATACTGAGTAAATATATTGATGGACGAACGTTGAACGTTTCTCAAAAAAAGTCGGTGGGAACAAAATGCGTGTATTACCTAAAACGCTGGATTCAAAATGAATTTGAGTTACCATTCTATAGCTTGACAGTATATTAAATTTTTTATATATGGTAACTTCCTTCGCTAGCAGTTCTAAATATATAACTGTCAATTGCAATGAACTATTTTGTGTTTACACACTTTTCCAGTGCAGTAGGATAAGGCTGTAGAGCCATTCGGCAAAGATTGTTAGAAAGTCAACTAACCACCATTGAAACGAAAATCGAGCTTAACAACATTAAATATACTGTTTTACGATAGACGTACGTCTTTATATGGACTTTTTTAACTTCAATATTAAGATTTCAAAGCGTACATAACAATAATCGGATAAAATCCCATAAAATAAAAAAAAATATATAATTTGTCATTTATATTTCCTAAACGCTTTTCTTTCAATATTTATCTGCTGCCAAGAAAAACAATGTTTCAAATTAACTAAATTAAAACTACATATTACTTACCATATGACAAGCAAAAATTAAGGAGTAAACAAAGAAATTGTAAAAGCTTTAAATATGAACTCAATAATAATACAAGATTTGTTATACACAGATAAATACTTTATACAAATCGTTTAAATGTCTGATGATCACACCAAAGGTCGGAGGAAAAAACATAAATTCACAAATTTCTTTACGGCTTCTCTTGTTTGAAATCGGTTTATTTCGGATCAGCTCCGGTCCAATGAAGAATAAATCAGAAACAAAATGATATACAATTTGGAATGGACAAAACAACAAGAACATTGCGATGGCATTATACGGCTGCTTATTTGCACAACACTCGCCCCATCCATCAAAACAAGAGGAACAAACACAACATAGGTATAATTAAGGAAGGCACAGATATTAGTTATATGTATTTTGAAGACTCGGTTTTAATCTATAGCAGTTGTTTGTTCTATTTATCGGTGTTGTATTTGCGCTTCAATTTAAATATTTATTTACAATTTATTTATTTAAGACTTCCTTGTTCAAGTCAAATAACAGATGCAAATCTAAACAAGCGTTCAACTAAATTGCTTACGTGGCTCATCATATAATTTACAAGAAATATTTACTTAACTCTAATGTTATTTTCTTTCTCGCTTTTCATTCCTGTGATTTACTTTTTATTTATTTTAATATATATAAATATATATATATTTTTTGATTTTGTGGTTTTTGCTTCGTTCTTTATTTTTTGTGTATTTTTACTAGTGAGAATATTGGTTATTTAATTTTATATAATTACTATATATATCGACTTCTGCATGTTGTTGTTTCTGTTGTTGTTGTTGGGTGATCCACTATGCGTTTGCGGTTCATATAAATAAAAATATAATAATTTTGTTTCGTTTCGAATAATACATGCCCATATGTAGAAATACGTTGGATTATAATTCTCATAATTTATGGTTAGACGTTAACCACGTAAGACCTTCGAAGAGGCCATCGCCGGTTGTGGCACATGACGGTTGGACATACCAATTGCGATCTCTTATTCTAGTTAAACCTAGTTTTTCCTGGATTTCATGTGGTTTCATTGCTACAATAAGAAAATTAAGATTTCTATAGTAATGCTCTAAAAGTGGTGATGTGTAATATATATTTACCATCAGGTAAATCCTGTTTATTAGCAAATATCAGTATAATGGCGTCCCGCATCTCTCTATCATTAATTATCCTATGCAGTTCCGTGCGTGCTTCGTCTATTCGATCCCGATCCGCACAATCGACTACGAATATAAGACCCTGTGTACCTGTTACAAAAATACAATTAATTCAAAATAAGATGAATAAGCATTTTTTTACACACCTGTGTAGTAATGCCGCCAAAGCGGTCGAATTTTATCCTGCCCACCAACGTCCCATACATTGAACTTGACGTTCTTGTACGTTACCGTTTCAACATTAAAGCCCACTGTTGGTATCGTTGTAACTGATTGCCCTAGTTTTAGTTTATAAAGGATCGCTGTGAATAAGAGACATTACTTTATAAAGAATAATTAATTATAATCGCAGCTTGATGTGGGACCCACTTGTTTTGCCAGCAGCGTCCAATCCGAGCATAAGAATTCGCATTTCTTTGTTGCCGAAAATCTTTGATAGTAGCTTTCCCATGATGATCGTCCATAAAATAATGGCCAATCTGAAATGCAAATTCATAATTATATGGCAGCTGAGCACAATAACAAAATAACAAGTGCACACATTTATTCAACAAACATCGAGTAGTGAGACAAGTGGGAGTTGTTATATCAATTTGTGATATAAGCAAGCTAAAGGCGCGCACATTAACTTACATATGAACATATGCATGTACATATGTATGTATATATGGATGTATGTATGTATGTAAGTATATTTATGAACATATCTCACTTGTATACATATATGAATACACTGACTGGCGTAGTGCGTCAGCGGAAGTAAAGAGCATTATTTTGCATAATAATTTAACTTACATTGTTGTGGCCGCAAGTACAACTACAATAGCAGAACGTTAAGTTCAAAGAGAATTATCGCTGAAGCGCTTCGAACACGCACACATGCAAACACACACATACATACAAATATAGAATTGGGCACGCACACAAACACACACATATACAATACGAAAGACCAAATGAAGCGATCATAAATTAAACAGAAGTTTGTTGGTTATTTTAATGGGAGGGCAAGGCTTTGATGGTCCCCACTTGTATACCTGATTAGGGAAAGAGGGCGGGACATTTATAGCCGGCCTGGAGCGAAAATCATAATGGGCGGCTACCACAAAAGCGTGTGTTTTGTGGAATTTCTTCGCTAACACGTCACACACACCACTACATACACATACACACCCAAATTCTCGACAGCGACGAATGATGATTACGCACCGCTACTCCGCCCGATGCGTTTAATTCGTGCGCAAATCTATTTTATCATTAAGCGCAATCCCGTCACAATGTTGCATGCAATGCATTGGCAAAAAGAAAACACTAAAACTATAATTAACAACAACAATTTTGCACTATGTATACAAAACGAAGCCTTTTTTGTATCGATAATATTACCATTTTTAGTATTTTATTTATCGAAATGTGCAAGCGGCGAAATTTTGGATTTTTTAATGTTTACTGCCCTATTAGTTTCGGCGTTTCACAACACATGTACTCAAGTTGTACTTCAACATATCGGAACTTAGCAACAGCAATGATTTAAGTTCGGATGAAGAATTCCTGTCAACTGCCTACCATTTTTATCAATGCATGATCCAAAATTTTAAAGAAAAGTCACTTAAAACCGCTTGAATATAATCAAGCTATAGTATTTAATATAACTAGAAAAAATGTTATATAGAAAAGAAGACACCAGGGAACCAACAAAAGAAAACAAGAATGAAATTCTATAGTCGAGCATGTTTTTTAAATTAAATGTAACATAAGATCCCACAAAGTATGTATGTATGAATGTTCATATATGTATGTATATGTATCGACTCGTCATCCTGATTAAGAATACATACATACATATGTATGTACATATACCTTGGCCGATCTGCCATGCCTCCTTCTGTGTGTTACATTCATTCCCATAAACTAGTACTTTCATTGGGTACAGGGTATAAAAGTACTAGTTTACGATGCAGAGCCGAAGCAACAGTTTGATATAAGAAAATTATATATTACAACCGTCAAAAAATGTATACCGATATATCGCTTCGATGTTTGAAAATACATCGCAAACCCTAAACAATCGAAAAATACCGATACTCATGTTAAATATATCTTCGATTTTGGATGTATCGCTGTTTTTTACATCCCTGAATAAAGGCAATGTTTTCATTATAATTACGAAACAAAACCGCCAAAACTAGGACAAATAATGAGATTATGTTAACCGCAACACACAAAACCACTATATATTAATGTATACCACTATATCAACATGGCCGGAATTTATCCAAGGGAGGCGGTGCGCGTAAAAGTGAAGGTAAATTCAAAGCATGTTTGAGACAACAAAGAAATTTGTCACTCCTCACACCGATGGACCCTTAAACTGTCGCAACTACAAATAAGATCCAGACAGTCATTTTACAGAAATGTTGAAATTTTAGAAATAGAAATCTACAACTACTTTCTGTTTAAATTATGTATGTTTCTAAAATAATTAATTATCTCCGATCTGAATCACTGGAAAATCTGTGATATATTGAACTTATGCCTGTTACATTTTTAGATAGTTTCAAGAGTAGGGAAAGATAGAATACATGCTTATTTAATCCTTTGTTACGTCGTTTCCAGAAATGCGAGCCCACCTTACCCCCCGAGTGGCGCAAATTTAGTGTGGATCCGCAGATAACAACACTGGAGGTGCTATACTCCTTGCTTGCAAAGGCGTTTGACATCAAAACTGACTTCTCCATCAAATATAAGGCCTATGATCCTGCTGGAAATGAAATCTATTTGGCCGTGCTCTCCGATTGGGATTTGGATGCCGCCTTCCTGCGCATACACAATATATCTATACAAACAGCGTCGGAACCATGCCTGATATTACAAATCGATGTCAAGCCCTTTACCTTAGTACGCGACTGCGAATCGGAATCGCCATCATCGACAAGTCGGGCAAATAGCATTGCTGGCACCACTACTGTGCCCAACGCACCTATTGGTGGACCGTCCGGATCAGCTGCGCGGGATTTGATGTCGCCGCTTCAGTCACTGGGCGTCTCACAAAAATATGTGCAGCATATGCAAACGAAGTTACCGGGTTTAATCATGAACCAAATGGAAAAAACGTTCTCAATTGTGCAGAAAGCCTTTAATCTGTCTGAAGAGACGATGGCAAACCTTCCACCACGTCCACCTATGTCTGACAACGAGTTTCGACTGTTTTTGGACGCCTTGGGCCAAATTCAGCGAAATGATGAACTGCGAAAGGTAATCTTTCTCGGCGGCATCGAACCGAGTCTACGACGTGTCGTTTGGAAACATCTGCTGAATGTGTATCCCAGTGGCATGAACGGCCACCAAAGAATGGAGTTCATGCGCCGTAAGTCGGAGCATTATTACAAGCTTCGCGACACTTGGAAGGCTGCAATAAAACGCGGAAGCGTAGTTGGTGAGCTTGCTTACGTTACGAGTATGGTGAAGAAAGACGTTTTGCGCACAGATCGCTTGCATCCATTTTATGCCGGCAACGACGATAATCAGAGCATTGCCTCTTTGTTCAACATTTTAACCACGTATGCACTGAATCATCCGACAGTCAGCTACTGTCAAGGGATGTCGGACATAGCATCGCCACTGTTAGTCACTATGAACGATGAAGCTCAAGCTTATATTTGCTTTTGCGCGATTATGGCACGTGTAGGAGGAAACTTTATGCTGGACGGCATCGCAATGACGCAAAAGTTCACACACCTTACCGAGGCATTAAGTTTTTATGATCCTGAATTTTGGGATTACTTAAAGTCGCAGCAGGCCGATGATTTGCTGTTTTGCTATCGCTGGCTTTTGCTTGAGTTAAAACGAGAGTTTCCCTTTGAGGATTCATTGCGAATGTTGGAGGTACAGTGGAGCTCTCTGCGCTATGACGATAGAAGCGGCGATAAAGAGCTTCCCCTGTTTGAAAAGGTAACCACTATGGTTTTCTGATCCTAATTGCCTTATGAAATTCTTTTTCTAATCCAGGAATTTGTTCCCTTCGTGGACGCATCAGCCCCAAACAGCGCTAGCACATTTTCCGGATCATATAGTGCCACGCCAACAAGTCCCTCATACCTGCTGACGAAACCTCGCGAGAATCCATACACAAAGGTGTGTGCCCTGCGTCGCCAGAGCTCATCGGCATCGCTTAGCTCATTGAGCTCCTCGCTTGGTGCCAGTAACCTCGCCCTTAATGCCTCAAAATTGGACAACTCAAAACGACTGAACCACAGTCTCGATGACAATATGTCACGTCATGCAGCACGCAGGCAACGTCGCGCCTCGGCAAAGGCGCATCAGAGTCTGGATGAATCAAAAATGCTGGCACTAATTGAAGGCGCCATGGAGAATACAAAGTCATCCCACGAATTGTCCGCCAGCGAAGACACGGACGATGACGTCTTTGACAAGAGAGAGCGAGTAAGTTCGACAGCTTCGCCTCCAGAGTTCCACGAGACAAATCCTTTCAAGGACGACGCAAACCAAAATGTTGAGGAAATAGCAACGAAGCCTCCAACACGCGCTTTTCTCTGTAGTTCATCGTCGTCGAACATGGAGGAGGAGTGCTCCACAGCTCAGGGATTTGCTAAACGGCAACAAACCAACATACTTACGAATTACAGCACTGTAAGCAATATGATAGCCAAACAATTGGCATCGAATGCCAGCAATGTTAGTGAGAGCGTTAAACGCGTAAGCAGCTCAAGTGGCGGTCATTTTAAGGACCTCAAGGAGAAAATAGCGGCGACCAGTCGCATGGGCATCTCGTTCGATGGCGATACCGAGAACAAAAATCCGCCTAAACTAGTCAAGAATTTTAACGAGTTTCTAAACTTTGCAACGATCAATAAAAATCGCATATCTGATCGCTTTGCCAATCAACTACAGATAAGCGAAAATCAGCACCAACAACAACAATCAGTAAAGCCAACATCCCCAAAACATCAACAGATTAGCAAGCCTATTGTTCAGCTTACCAAAACCGGATTTGGGACGTCGCTAGATGAGTCTGATTCCTCCTCCATTCCAGAGACCACCTGGAGCGCATCGACAGCAGCAACAGCCATACAACAGGCACAAAATTTAAGCAATTACAGCTTACAGCTAGATCTGAATTCCATATCGCCTATTTCGGAGCAAACACCACCGCAGGCACAGCTACAAGAAACACAAATTGATGATGTAATTGGAAGAGAAGAAAGCAGCACGCCTGACCAAGATCAAGAATATTATCCAATGACGACAGCCATAACACGCGAATTACGACTGGATGCCGAGAATTTGGATCGCCAGGTCTTTGGGGTGCCATTTACGGAGAAACAAATGCCAGTTCTCGATGACATCGAATATGAGAAACTGGGAAAGGACACCCTTGACATGGTGGACGACCTGAAAGAGAATGAAATTATAACCTGCCCCGATGTCAGTGAGCTCCATATGCGACGCAAGCAGCGTCTGGCAGCCAAAAAGAGCAACAGTGTCCAACAGCAAAGCGAGTCGCAATATCAAATGAATCCTTTTATCGATGAAACTATGCTGCTAGAGGATGGCCATCCAACGCTTGGCCTGCGAAACAGCAACAGCCTTCCCGAAGTTATAATGCCCATCTCAACGGAACCTAATTTGGAGGTGCCGACTCTCATAGAGATTGGCACCAATGCCGATGATGAGAGCGCCTTCACTCGATCGCCGCAAAAGTCGGAATTAAATGGTTTAAGCAACACGACTACGGCGCTGCCACCGCCCCGTGAATTCGGCGGTGGCAATGCGTTCCTTATGTTTCTTTGCCTTACATTGCTGCTTCAACATCGTAATACGATAATGAAGGCGGGTATGGACTACAACGAGATTGCAATGCACTTCGACAAGATGGTCCGTAAGCACAATGTGACGCGCGTCTTGAACCAGGCGAGGCGCATGTACATCGACTATTTGCGACAATTTCACCAGTAAATTATAAATAAGTTTTATATAAGAATTAATTCAACCTAAACTGAGAATGGTAACCAAAGAGCATACTTATTATTTCAGTTCAAGATATTTTCCAATTGGTTGAACTTTGCTCAACACAGTTGCTGCTGCGAATTTTACTTACCTGTATGTTGTTGTTTTTCGAAGTGTGTATGAACAAAATTGTCTCATCAAATCTTCAAGATCTTTCAGAATGAAATTGAGAGGCCTAAGGTAATGGAGAGATAATTATATTCGAATGCACTATCATTTTTACCATATTAACAAGAACCGAATGAGTTGGCTTTTATTTTATTTTGTACTATGTATTATATTAATTTCCTGTAAGTCTGAACTAGCCAACGTTTCGTTGCCGAATTTGATTTGCGTTTAAAATTCGTTTTTATTCGGTTAGATGACCAAATGATTTGCATACCATTCCCAACGGTTTTACAAGTATGTCAAAGGATTTTCTATTTTAATTGAAAAATAATAATACTACATAAATCGATCATTTTTAACATGTAAATTTTGTTGAATTTGTGTGCAAATTATTTGACCGCAACACTACTCATTTAAATCTATGCATTCCATTCATATTTTAAATATTAATTATTGTACTATGACACTATTGCTGCTGTGGCGAATCATTTTTATATTCCGAAGAAGAGTTAAATGATCAATTTAAACAAGAAAAATTCTTATTAATCTACTCACAGTTATATTACTCTATGCTACTCAATCTGTTAAGCTTAAGCTAAAAGCAAACAAAATACATATTTATGTCCACAAAGCTATGCAAAATTTCAACTTTTTAATTATAACAAACGGAGCGTGGTAAATTTGAAGCCGACAATATCTATACTATATGTTAGCAAAAATCAATTGAACTTTTTAAATCTTTAGACATTTTATTGAAACAATTTTTCATTCGTATCATATGCGTGGGGTAGAAAAATATAAAATAAACAGACAATTCATGATTACTTCAATTCATATTAACTCATTCAGAGGAGCAGAATTAAAAGTTATACTTTTTCTTTAGACGTTCGCGTATAATGAGACCCTTGATTAGTTTTTTCCAATTCCCATAAACACGCGCTTCGTATTTCTCCTGCTCCTTCCGTTGCCGTTCCTCTTGATCTTGATACCAAGCCGCTGTCACTTGATCTTGAAACTCTTCGCATACAACGAAACCATCATACATTGGATGGCAAGCACCTTGATGGAAATCGAATCCGACAACCGCATTAGCGCAGTCTATGTTCAATTTCTTGCATATGCGCATCAAGCCGGGCACTGTTCGATAAAACGATTTGAATTTTTAATAGAATATTTCGAATGTTATCTTATGGCATAAAGTATACTTACACCTAAGATGCACAGTTTTTTTCGGCAACATACAGGCCTTAAATAACTCAACATTTCCATATGCATTCCTGGGAACTAGGCCTCCCTCTGCAGTAGGAGGCTCATAGTCCTGTGTTTGCCAAAATCCGAAAATCTCGAGGGGCTGATCCTTAATAACTGTGCGCGTCAGCTGTCCATGCGGTTTTAGAACGTTATTCTAGAACAGATTGGTTTTACGAACAACTTACCTTATCCCATTTGGGGCGAGCCTTCACTATTTTGTAAGGCTGCTCGCCCAACTTAACAACTCGCGCCTGCTTTAGCCAAATATCACGAGAGTGCAAAAGATGCACACACTCTCGAGCATATATAGGCTCACCTCGAATGAAGCCCAGCGTGGGGGCGTCGGGTGGATACAAAGCCTGAAACTTGAGCAAGTGCCGCTCCAGTACATAGAGCGGATGATCTTTGAATTCGGATATCGACTTTGGCATTGGTTTCTCTTCATGAATACGGCGAAGTTGTTGATCTTCAACAATGTCGCGTTTTGTGCGACGTCCCAGATAGGGTGTTAAGGTTTCGTCGAGCCACGCTTTCTCTACACGCCCCTTGCGCACCGTTGTCGTCCAGCTGGGACAGTAGCGGGCAGTTACATCTTTCAGGCTCAGATCGTCTTGAAACGCAAATACATAAGCCAAGTTTGATGAAGCACTTTTCTGTATATGATGATACATAGTTTTATTTTGTAAGTATACACATTCAACAAACTTAAAACGTTTTAAGAACTCACCCGTATGGTATCGACACAGTGCAACTTTCCTTTAAACAAATCAATGCAGATCCATTGCTCTTCAACTTCGGACCAAATTTCTATCCACATATCTGCAGCAGTTGATTTACGTTTCTCCTTGCCTCCAGCTTCATCATCGGTTGAGAGTACGCGTCGATCTTTCCGCAAATTCTGTACCGCTTTAGGTAGCATTGGTGACTTTTTCACGGGCTTCGCCGGACTCGGCTCAAAGTCCTCATCTGAATCTTCATTACTCCGTGATTTCTGCAGTTTCTCCAATTTGGGTCGCTTTTTAGGCACAGGAACAGAATCATCGGCACCATCGAACTGTGGTATAGAGAGACCCGTGGCTTTCGCCGCCATAGCTTTCTGTTGACGCGTACGAAGCTGTCGCGTAACCGGCATTTTTTCACTAGCGGGTTCTTCGTTGGAATTAGTTTTATGAAGCGTTGGCAATCCATCCTGATTGTTTGTACGTTCAGCAGTAGTTTTCAGCTTAGAGCGTCCGACTGTTTTCTTCATTGCAATGTTTGTCTGCAAAAATGTAGGTGATATGTGTACTTTAGGTGATTTGCTTCGTGATCGAGTCTCAGGAGGTTTGAGTTGGGAAATAGAGCTGGGATTTGCATTCTCCGAATCGTTGTTTTTAATGTTGCGCTTGGTGGTTCTGGTCCCCTGAAGTACTACTTTGGGAATTATTGGCGAGCCAATTTGAACTTTGGGCAAATCACATTCATTGGGTACGATTTGCTTTTCCTTTTCACCCAGAGCTTTACGTGTGCGATTTACTTGCGTGCTTATTTCTTCAGCTGAAAGTTTAGGTTTTTTGATTGTTTCAGCATCCACATTGGTCACAGTGGTCTTTGAACGTTTGAGCCGCGAAAGCTTCGGCTTTCCTTTGGCTTCATTTTCACTACTACTGCTTATTTTAGATTTTACTTCCTCTTTATGCTGGGAACGAGAAGTACTCGGTTTATCGTGTACCACGTAATTTTTGCTCGCATTTTGTTCAGCGGCTTTAGAATTGCCTTTTGTTTCAATTTTTAATGTGATTCTGGTAGTTGACTTTTCTTTGTCGTTATCTTTAGTTTTCGAGGACGATTCCAAATTAGACTTAGTGCTAGTTTTTTCCCTTTTCTGTTCTAAGCTCTTTGTTTTTGAAGCGTTCTTTTGTTTAGATTTCTTACTAGCCTTTTGAATTGATTCGTCATCGTTGGCATCATCATTGCCCTCATCTGTTTCATTTGGTTGGGTGTTGTTTTTCTGGTTTGTTGATGCATTCTCCTCCTTAAGCTTGATCGGAATAAGGTCGGCGGTTGCCGGTCGCAACGGTAACGGCTGCATATTTACGATCAGGCGGCAATGCATTCCCATTCCACGCGCAAGAACAATGAATATGAAGATCATATCCTGCTTGCAGCGTGCTTCCTTGCGTTTGATCTGCGCTAGAAGCTCATCGATAATGCCAGTTTTTGATTTTGACGTCTTCTCGGGATACAAATTCGGAGTTGTTAGCTTAACGGCGGTCTTGAACCAAGTTACAAAGGATTGCAAGTATTTTAACTCTGTGCCACGTTGCGTTGGATACGCGTTCTTACTAGGTAGCAACTTTAGGGCAGCCTGCATCAGACTGGTATGGCCCAACAGCCGATTGTATTTATAGCTGCGAGCAATTAAACACATCAAACTGACTTTGTGTAACAAAAGCTGCTTATCTTTAATATCGCGATTCATTCGTCGTTTTAAGGCCAGCTCTAGGTCGTGTTGTGTTTTCTTCTCCTTGTTAGCATGCCTTGAAGGCAGGTCGACATGGATTTCCAAGTCCCCAGAAACATTCGGAGTGACATCACAGTCGCTCTCCTCATCAATGGCGCCTGTAAAATGAAGTACAGTAAATGGGATATTGATGCATAGTTCACTGAAGATTAATTTCAGTTTAATGATAGTGTTTCGGTTTTTAGGATTGGAAACATTCAAACAAACAAAACACCTAAGATAAAAATTGTAGGTTTAACAGTTTGCATTTATTTATTTCATTTGATGTGCATTTTAAATTTTTATTCATGAATTAAATACAATCAACATTCACTAAATTGCGCTAAAATAATGTTGTTTTTTTTTTTGTGGGACTTTGCATTTTGTTAAACATTATTTTTTTTTTATTTTTTAATGAATATGAATACAATTTTGCTAAAGTAAATTCGTTTAACATCAGTTCTAATTTGATTAGCTATTTTATTCATTTTTCTTAAGTAAATGTTAATTTTTTCGAAACATTCTGAAGAGCCATAAAACAAAAATGTATTTTGATTGGCCTTTTTTCACTATTGTATTTCATATGTATATCTAAAAACCTGTAAATATCTTGTTTTTGTGTTTGTTTTTTGAGCATAATTTAACCAATTTTTTATTTTGAGAAAAACTAAATTTAAAAGACACTAAAACCATTAAATAAATGCATGATCTGTAAATGTTTTGAAACATTTTGATTTAAGTTTTCGTCTACGCAAAAAATCTTTAATTCTACAATGTAATTTTTGTGCGATAACATTAAAAACCACATTCAGAAATACATTGAAACTGTGTTTTCATTTAACAACACACATCCAAATTTAAATGCTATTGCATAACTTCTTTTTTTCCTTCTTTTCTAAGAGATGTCATCTATAAGTTCTGTGATCGGTTTGTTTATACGCATTGAAAGAAAATGTAATTTATCTTATGTGTTGTATTTGATTTAAAAAGCTTTTACATCAGAAATTTCATTTGAGAAAAAAACTGATTTCGAGATCGTATAAAATCAAGTGTGCTTAGTATGTAGATAGTGTAATGCAAGCCTCAACAGTATAATTTAGAGTTTAGGTTTAAGCATTTAACTACAGCTGATAGGTGTTCTACGCTAGTTCAGTCTAATGCATAGACCCAAAGTTTTTACAATATAAATGTGTAGTTTATTTGCGTATATGTATCTGCTTCATATTTTAATGCAGCATTTCGTTCCACTCTACATATGTAAATATTTGTAAGATTTTGATTGCTCGATGAAAACATGAAGCATAAAACAAAACTACGCAGTCTCATACGGAGAAATTTGGAAGCTTTAATCAGATACCAGAAGTCCTAACTACCATCAGTACCATCAGCAAGTACACCACCACAACCGTGTTCATAAGCACATCTATCTAACAGATTTGGATGAGTCTCATTTTATAATGTTCCTCTACGAAAAATTTTTCTTATAGTGACCAAATTATTCCAGCTTGTAAAACAATTTTACCGAATTGTTAACGTGGTCACAATTAGAGGAATTTTTCGCTGAAGAAAAATATAAGAACAAGACTTACCCAACGCATTTACCTAGGAGCGTAGTCATCAAACTACTTGCGATTCCTACCTGCAACTTCCTCCCACTCGGAATCGTCGGTATCGTTCTCCGCCACCACAGTAGAGGCTGGACGCGTCTTGGTATGTCGCTTTACGCGCGTTGATTTAGTCTTGCTGAGCCGCGGCGGTCCATCATCAGGTAGCGGTTGCTTTTCCAAATACTCTTTTTCATTCACGCTCGGCCCGTTGTCGTAGTTTTGGTTTTCGCCCAATGCAAGCAGTGCATTGACATCCATAGCTGCAGTTTTAGCATCCTTTTTTCCGTGCCCCTGACTGGGTGGTGCAGCAGTGGCGGTACGCTTAGCTAACGCATCTTTAGTGCGCTCCAGACTGTTGGCATTTTCAAGAAGACTGCGAAAATCGAACGCATTTGTAGTACTTTCCTCTATGCTGGATTCGTTGTTGTCCTCAGAGCCTGAGTCGGAGAGATTTGCTATACCCGCATTGCAATCAAATTGGGGTGCAGGAGATCTATCTTTGGCTGGCGCGGTAAAGAAAGTCGAACCAAGATCAATATCAGCGGGATTAACCAGGTAGTCCTCGACACTGGATTCGCTACTGGAGTCAACGTTGCGTTCGCGCGCACCGCTTTCATTGGGCGTTCTGGCGTTTTTTGAGGCCGTAGCACGATTCGAGCTCGACGCCGAAGGTGAGTTCTGGGAGGGTGATGTGGGGAATGTTTTTGGTGGCGGTCGATATTTGTTGTATAGTTTTGAACGCAGCGATTGACCGCTTGGCTTACGTTTCTTCACAGAGGCTCCCTTTATGCCACTAGGTTGTTTTTGTTCTCTGTGGACAAATATAGTTAAAACGGAATGCAACTACAACAGACTGACTCTTTCTACTTGCCTCTTTTTCCCTGCCACTGTGTTTGCTAAGGCGCGAGCAGAGGCCCCACCTACAGCTGCCCCAGCGGCTGGTGCTTCCTCAAAGTCGCTATCATCATCGTCAGAGGATTCACCACCGCGCACATCCTTAGTGGGCTTCCACTCGTCTTCACTAGCGGAAAAGCCCTCCGACAAGGACTCATCTTCTTCATCCGACATCCTGCCTTATTATTGACAGGGTGGGCGTATTACATTTATGTATGGAGCGCACTAGTTACAGTTATTGATTTTACTGCGTTTTGGAACAAATTGGAAATGAATTATATACATATGTATATACATATTTATATGTGTGTAGGTGTTTGCATCCTGCGATTTTGCTTCGTCTAATTCAGGATATACAAACCTCGGCCTATTGTCTACCAATTTTAATTTTTTTCAATATGTCTTAGAATAACGTTAAACATCAGTTTGTTATTTATTTACAATTTCAACGATTTGCGAAATATTCATCGTGCTAGCACAAGCGTAGCGTTGCTAGAGATGTGCAGTATTTTAATTATATGTATGCAAAAATATGTATATATGTACATACATAGATATCTGCTACTGTGCCGTGAGTTGTTCAAGTGATGGGTACCACTTTTATGTGAAAATTCCTGTCAGAAAGAAATAAATTATTATCAATTACCAAATAACTTGCCTTTATAAAAGCGGAATAATAAAATTTTAAGGAAATAGAACACTTTTCTTTTTTATTTTGATTTATTTACATATATTGTGATGAACATGCATTTCTGTATATAAAGTGGCATCACTGCTCAAAATACTCATTTAGTATAATAAGATGCCCATTAATTGTAAATCGAGCTGTGGTAAAAAGGCTGTTTTAAAAGTAAGTTTAGAAAAAAAATCAACAAAAGATCTTTAATACCAACTCTCCCATTTTGTAGCGTCCCAAAACTGGCGATGCTCTCTGCAAAGAATGCTTCTTTGCAGCCTTTGAGGCTGAAATCCATCACACGATCATCTCGAGCAATCTCTTCCGGCGCGGTGAGAAGGTTGCCGTAGCAGCAAGTGGTGGCAAGGACTCAACGGTACTGGCCCATGTGTAAGAGGAAAAGACATCTCTCCCGAAAAAATGCTTAACTTTTTGTTTGCTCTGTTTAGATTAAAGCTTCTCAATGAAACCCACGATTATGGACTCGAATTGGTGCTACTGTCCATTGACGAAGGCATTACAGGCTACCGGGACGACAGTCTAGAGACAGTGAAACAGAATCGTGATGATTACCAAATGGCTCTGAAAATATTATCGTACGAAGAACTATACGGTTGGACCATGGACCGCATAGTGGCGCAGATTGGACGCTCAAACAACTGTACGTTCTGTGGCGTTTTCAGGCGACAAGCATTAGATCGTGGTGCAAAGCAGCTGGGCGTTGACAGCATTGCCACCGGCCATAATGCGGACGATATTGCCGAAACAGTGCTAATGAATATCCTTCGTGGTGACACGGCACGTTTGCGACGATGCACCGATATCAAGACTGGTGGCGGCGACGACACCATACCGCGCGTAAAGCCTCTAAAGTATAGCTACGAGAAGGAAATAGTCATGTATGCACACTACAAAAAATTGGTTTACTTCTCTACGGAGTGCGTGTTTGCCCCAAACGCATATCGCGGCCATGCTCGTGCATTTCTCAAAGACTTGGAGAAAGTACGCCCTTCTGTCATAATGGATATAATCCACTCTGGCGAACAATTGAGATTTAAGGACAGTGTAAAAAAACCAGTACGTGGCGTTTGCGCCCGATGTGGATTTGTGTCATCTCAACAACCCTGTAAGGCCTGTGTTTTACTCGAAGGATTGAACCGAGGGCTACCCAAGTTGGGAATCGGCAAGAAATCTAAAGGTGACCGCATGATTGCCAACCAGGATCGAGAAATCGCTTTAAGAGAGCGCGCAAATTTAGTAAAAAACGATTTTTGACTTTACAAATTCTGTATTTCTTTTTTACATTATAAATGCTGCTCCAATTTAGGGTTCAACATTTGTAGCAGTCCTTCATATCTGCAAAAACAAAAATAAAGCCACTTAAATACAACAAAAAATATATGTAATTGCTTCATTAGATACAATTAAAATAAAACTCAGCGCCAATATATAACCATGTTCCATAATCGGATAAGCAAGGCGGGCTTAATACAAAAGAATATTGTAGAAGTTTGCCAATGCTCATCTTTTATATGGTGTCTGTGAATGGTTTAAGTGATCATCATTGGATTAGAGGCAGTGGGATTTACTTCATGAAATAAAACTAACCTCAATAAGCTCTGTAGAACATTGAACAAATCCATTCGCGAAGGTACATCATTGAGAGCCGTTATTTCAGCCATAATTCTAGAATATAAGAGAACATTTCTTAATAAGCTAAAGCAATCTAAAAATTTACATATATATATTTAATTTTAGTTTTAACTTCAGTAGTAAATTACAATAGTTTGAATCACATTGATCATATGAGGTGTCAGAAAAAAGTAAAATTTCATCACTGCTACTAAAACTATATACAAAAAAAAAAAAAAAAAAAAAAAAAACTAATTGAACATACCATTTTTTATCATGTTCAACATGTTCTAAAAGGTAGTTTCCATGGCCTTCCATTTAGAATTATCTGAAAGTAAGAACGCATTGTCGTATTACATTTTAAAGTTCACTTTATATTTTACAATTATAGAGTCGAATTGTAGACTTCGCTTTACTTTTGCACCGTAAATTTGAGAAATATAAATTTAGGTTTTGCTTGTGCGAAGTGCCGTTGCTCTGCGAACAGAAAAAAAGCACTAGCTAAAGTTGTAGATCTTTACACCAGCGACTCAAGTTCGCAAATTGTGGTTATCCACTGTATATTCATAAACGGACTTACCAATTTCCAACGCCAGATCTGGCGCACATTATCTTTCACCTAGAAAATAAAAAAGAAACGCTTTAATTATGAATGTGCATATAGTATACATATGTACATGTGTACATACATACGTATGTATGTATGGACGTTCTGTAGAGAGAATACTCAAGACCACGTGGATGATGGATATAGTAAGTGCACTACGAACAACTTTAATGTTGCAGCTATTGAGTTCTGCAAATTTGCTGTAATGCCTAATATGCAGTTATATTTGCTGCAATCTTATTTCTGTATCTTTCTAATACATTTAACGACATAAATACATACCTACATTGAATTATGAATTCAAGCCTCTCACACAGTGCACTTGATTCTTTCATCGGCAAAAAGGAAATGGCTTTCTAAGTAAAGTTGGTCGCGCTTCTTGCTAGGGATGTAAGTCAAAGGGAAAATATCGATGCTGATGTCCATCGATGTCTGTTTACAAAAAATCGATGCATCGATGCTTTCTGCGATGTTTTACAAAATTAACTTTCCATAGAAAGAACGCTCATGTTAGGAAGAAAATCAACAGAGATGCTTTCAATAAAAAATGCTTATATATCAAAAGAGGCTGTCATAGTATTTTACTTAATGTTGTTATCCAATAAAGTAATATTAAAACTGACTTTTAATGAACTTGTATGGTTAGCTTAAAAAATTATTATATATAATTTTCAAAACAAATCAATCCCACACTTCGCATTTTAAGCATATAAAATGTGACATTAAATACGAATAAAAATGAATATCAAATTCATAACAATTGAAAATATAAACAAAGTGCGCATTTTTAAAAATGTTCCATGTTTTTCGATGCTCGATACATCAATGTTATTATATATCCCTACTTGCTATTTCGATATCGGTAAACGTCAGCACACTACTTTGTGCAACGTTACCGATGTGCCAAGCATCCCTGTCGAATATCTTCACATTGCTCAACATTGTTTTTAACAGTAAAATATATTTCTTCAGTTGACGCCAAGGCTTACTGGTGTTGGGACATAAAACAATTATTTTCGTCGAATATTAGAGGATTTTTAGATAAAATGACACAATTCAACTCTGCAACGATTTTAATGCCTCTAGGTAAGAACAATCATTTCGCTAACATATCTTTGCTGCAATAACGCTATTTTTTCGAACAGACGAATATTACGATAAATGCGTAGAAGATAAACCAAAAATTCCAAAGAAATATCCAGGTTCATCTCGTAATTGGGAAAATGACAATCGCCAAGCTCCCCGTTTGAACAGTTACAAGGATCTCGATTACGTAGAAGATGATGAGAACTTTCTGTTCCCGATTTCCCAATCAAATTGCAGTCAACTTAAATATGAATTCGAAGAGTTCAATCAGGCTTATGAAGACGGTATGTTTTCTACAACTAAAAATAATGCACAGGATGCAGGTATGGAGCAACAAATTGATTCAGCACAGCAGCGCATGCACGATCTTAATTTAACAAATCCCATGGGTGCTGTTACCGCTATTCAACATCAGATGCCATCGCACCATGTCAGTAACAATTACAGTGGTGGTCACATGAATCAGCGACGCTTGACCAACGGCAATACACAACGTGTTGGTAGAACCCGTGGCATATACAATGACAACCGATATGGCCAAACATACCAACAGCATCGCCCAAAATTGGCCCGCAATGCTCAACATTTTCAGTCACAGCAACAACGTCAAGTAAAACAGCAGCTGAAGAATGCTTTTGGTACATATGGCGGCAATGTTTCTCATGCCACGCACGTCCATTCTCAACAAGTTGTACAAAATATCAAAAATGAATTCCAAACCGGCAAAGCCACTAATACTAATTCTAACGGCTGGATTTGTGAGAATAAGCCCAAATCTTTGATCGAGGGTCATAAAATGTCCGAATCTTGCACGGAACACTTTAATTTTCCAAAGCCTATGATAAACAACTTTGAAAGAATTGTTAACAATCCATTGGCCCCTAAGTCTATGGTAAATAATTTCGATCGAATTATTAATAATCCATTGGCCCATAAGGCACACGACTTGCCTGGCCAGCATATGTCAAACTTTAATTTTCCAAAGCCTATGATAAACAACTTTGAAAGAATTGTTAACAACCCATTGGCCCCTAAGTCTATGGTAAATAACTTCGATAGAATTGTTAATAATCCATTGGCCCATAAGTCACACGAATTGCCTGGCCAGCGTATGTCAAACGTGCCTCAATTTCCCAATGCTTATATGGAAAATGAACATCACATAAATGATATTGGCGAACGGGCTGTTTCGGCCCCGGCTCCATTGAGACTTGCTGACCTGATGAACCTCAGCTTAAGCGATTGCCAAAATATTGAAGGAGAAGTCGTTGCCAGGAATGCGTTCTTCTTTTTAGATAGTGTTATTAAGATGCAGCAGGAATCATCTCAAAATGACTTTGGGGTCATTCAAGTAAGTATATGGCTTCTTGTACATTAATGTATTTTATATAATGTGATTTCTTTTATTCTAGCCGAATAAAGAAGGAGTGGGATTTGTACCGAAAATTAATATCCGGAATAAACGTTTTTAGTAGAAAGATATTTTCAAACCGAACACATTAGACATGAGTTCCCCATACGTTATAAGTTACACTAGTTAATTTTATTGTTGTTTAAACTTGGCAACTACCGCCATACCGTGAATGATGCATCGTTATAGAAGAAGAAAATTAAGTGAATGGCGAACGCAGTGGCGGCGGCTTTCTCAAGCGAATGTGTAGAAGTTTCCTACTATTTGGTCTGATAAGGAAGAGGCAGAGGCTTATCAGCAATGCACAACAAGAATAAGCAGCTCATAAGCAAGTGATTTTCATTGCCAGTACACGTAGTAAAACGAAAGCGGACGAAAATAGAACAAAAAGCGATAATTTGTAAAAAGCAACACGAATTTTGTGTACGAGATGCCGATGACAATGTGAAAAATGAAAAGAGCAATATAATCCAATTAGCAAGGCAATTTTTCGGTAGATCCGCGAATATTGAAGTGTGCGACATGGTTCTTAAATAACAACACCATAACCCAAACATACATATTCAAATCATATTAAGCCACAAATGATTTAAGCAATAATAAGCAATACATACAGACACGCAGTATTTACAATAATAAAGAGCTGAGTTTTCTTCACCCCGGCAACAACCATTACCATTCTCTCTTCTTTTATTAAATGGACTTAAGTTTATAAAAAACAAGTTTGTCATTTTTATACGTACATATGTACATAATATTTATGTATGTATAAGGGCAGATGCGAAACTGAACGCGGTGTGCAACTTTATATTCTATTTCGTGAGTCCTAATTTGTGGAAATACAAAAAGAAATAAATAAATGAAAAGTTACTAAATGTGTGCTTAATCGTCGCTCAGCATGTTAAAGTCAAAACAATTGATCCAACAATTTGCTAAAGGTAACTAAATGGAGTTAGGATGCAAGAAAATCTAATTTTCAAAACATTAGTACCTTACTAGATTTTATTAAATGCTTCCTAAATATGCATTCCTAAAACGCAATTTCGAAAGCCCGTCATTATAAATACTATCTCTTTTCACATTAATTGCATCTCCAACCGTTTGACGGTTATCGCAAAGCTATATGTACATAAGTACATGTACATGGATGTACATAGGCGCAACTTCTGATTATGTAAATACATATATGTATGTATACATGTACATATATCTGTAAGTCGAAAGTGTAGGCCAAATTGAAAAACGAGAGTAAACATTATCTTATTTCTATATATGTATGTATGTATATATATATGTATATACATACATATGTACATAAGTAGAATGTACATGCATATGTATATTGAGAAAATTCAGTTTTAAAGAGTTTGTAGTCAAATTTTGACTGTTAGAATGATTTTGAGTGTCGGCCACGCCAAAAAAATTGTACCAGAGGGGTTAAGTAATTTATTTTGACCAGTGAGCCGCGCAGCCAACTAATCGGCTATATATTTACTCAATATACGCTGCTCCCCATTTACAGAATATGCCAAGTTTACGCCGACGAATTTTAAGCTGCAGCGAGCATTGGTGGTTACCAAGTTATCCCGCTATGAGTTCGAGCAACTGCGCCACCCGGATCTGTCGCGGGAGCAGTTGGAGCAGAAGCTACGGGACCGTGGCACCGATGTTGAAATGGTCCTTTATTTGCACAATCTGCATAAAGACTTTGAGCGCCGTATCGTTCAGAGCTTTCAAGACGTTGGCTGTGAAGTGAAGTTGGCTAGCAGGTGCGTATCCTTATCATGGCACATATTTATTGTGCACGCATGCATGTATGTATGTGGTGGAGAGCCCAGGGAGATGCTTGTTTGTCGTTGTTTTTGTTATTATTGTGGGTGTTTCGTCAAATCGTGACCTGACCACTTAAATCAAGGATTTTAACCGAAACGAGCAAAAATAACCATTCAGAATAACAAATGCATTTTTCTTAAAATTTATTTGAAGATGAACATTTTTATCCATGGATTGGTTCCTGTTTCCGATTAATTAGTTTAATTTATTACCTAAATGTCGTTTTCGGTATAAATCTGTTTTAACAAACACAATTGTATTTCCGCCATCCACTCAATGTGTCTAATATGGCCTTGTCATTGTTAACTTTACTAAAAAAGCAGACTTGAATTTAGAAGTTCACTGAGCAAAGACGTCATGAATTGGGCGGATGTTATTGTGCCCGTTGGTGGTGATGGCACCTTTCTGCTTTCCGCTGGACGAGCGAGTCCACTCTTTGCCCTCAGCCAACAGAAAACCCCAATTGTAGGCTTCAATTCGGATCCTCAACACTCTGAGGGCAGGCTCATGCTCCCAAAACACTATTCGGAAAATCCGGCCGATGCTGTATCGCGCATAAAAAGCGTAAGAAACGTTATATCTACTATCAGATCAAAGGTGCAATCAATTATTTTTTTAATTCAAGGGCGATTTTAAGTGGATGCATCGCTCACGCATACGCACCACCTTGCTAGGTATAAATGGCAAAATTCCGGAGTCAACCGATCTATTCAGGCACACGGTAACCAAAATGGAGCAAGTGACGACATCACCGGAAATGCTAGACGAGCATATGGCTAGTAAATACAAGGCCAAAATGAAACGGGTATTGCCCTATCTGGCTCTCAATGAGGTGCGCTTTTTGTTTTGTGTTTCGAACAGCAGTGATCCCAATCTAATCTCAAAATATGTTGTTATATTGGTGCAGGTCTTTATTGGCGAGCAGCTGTCGTCGCGCGTGTCCCATCTACAACTTGTGCTCAATCATCAGGATGTAGTCAATAAAACAAAATGCTCTGGATTGTGCGTCAGCACCGGCACAGGCTCCACATCTTGGCATACAAGGTAAATTAAAAATGTAGAACCTATGTATTTAATTCATTCTGTAGGGAATCTTATCTACTCTATATATACAGATATATAAAACCGCTTGTCCTGACTGAATGACTGACTGGTAATATATTAATATTTTTATATATTTTATGTGCAGCATTAATCGCATAACTGGAAGGGATGTCGAAGATTTGCTGCGTTCGCTGCCCAACAGCAATGCCGCCGATGTGGCTCAACTCAGGGAGAATGTTGAAGAGATTGCACAACGATATAATCAGAGTCTGCTTTTTGCCGCCGACGATCCACGTTTGTGCTACTCAATTAGGGAGCAAATTTGTGTGGGAGTTTGGCCCTCACCCAAAAATTTTAAGGAACGCGACTTTGTGCAAAATGTTTTTGTAAAGTCGCACTGCATAGATGCCAGTAAGTAAACTCGAATTTGTAAAAAGGCTCAATTTGAATGCCTCTTATGCATTGCAGACCTTGTCATTGATGGCAGCATCTCTTATCCCTTCAATGATGGAGCCAAGGCTTTGTTAGAAGTCTGGCCTGAGGATGCGCTGCTAACAATTTCCCTTGACTGAGACTGTCTTATGCTGAAAGTGCCTATACTTAAGCTTTAATATTTAGTTTTTACCCCTGCTGCATTTTAAGCATGTCTGAATTTTTGGAAATTATGTATTTAATTAGGCGTTTTGTAACTGCTTAGTCTAGTGTAAGCTCAAAAGTTATTTGTTGAACTATAAAATACTTTGATAACAAATTAATTTGCTTCTGAGGTATCTTTACTTTTTGCGCGCTTATATTTTTTCTCAAAGCGTGCACTATTTACATCTTTAAAGCGTTCATCCTGCAGCAACACCTTGCCTTCCCGATTCAATTCAGATTCGGTTTGGCGTTGCTTTCGTTTGCGACGAATTTCGCGTAGTTTTTCCTTTTGCTTTTTCCGATATCTGCAATGAAATATAATGATTACTATTTGTCAGTGTTTTGTCCACCTAAGTCTTACAGCGCTTCCATTTCATCGGGATCCTTTCCCTCAAGTATCCATGTTTTACGTCTATAGTTTTGAGCGCGTTCATCAAAATCATTGTTATCCAATTTCATCTCGGACTCCCGGCGTGTCACGTTTACTTGCATGAAGATGCGCTCAACCATGCGCTCTATAAGAAAACAAGAAAGGAATGCTGGAGTCAAGGGGCCTAACACTACATTACCCTGTACCCACCCCCTAAAATAAAAACAAGAAACGCCAGACGAGCGGGCTCAACTCTTAAATACCATGTACAACCCCAGAAAAAATATACATATATGTATATACTAATATAACCTTTTACCCTTTGGGACAGGGTATAAAAATTACAAATAAAAAAATTAAATTAATAAATATCCATACATTTATACCGGGACCGTGTCTATGCGTGCTTATGCATGTCTATGAGCGCATATCTGTACAGTACAGAATTAAGTCAAAGCAGCAACAAAAGTTTCAGAGATAACATAAATTGGCATAAATTCGATATCATAATGACAGATAACTACTAACTGGATGTAATTGTCGAAGTTGGGTAAGAAATTCTAAGAATTACCGGAGTTCAAGCTCACTTTCTCGGACTTAGGATACTCTGGATACGAAGCTATACTTACTGAGATCATTGCGTTCATACGGACGGACATGGCTCGACTCGTCTTGTCATACTAATTAATAATATATATTCTGTGGGGTTTGCCATGACTCCTTCTGTGTGTTACATACATACAGTCACACTAAACTACCATACTCTTTTAGCCTTTGGTTACAGGGTATAATAAACCTTACATTGATAGAAACTAACAAACGAGTTGTTTATGGACTCACGATCAATAGGATGTTCTGTTAGTTTAGTATTGATTTTGGCTTCAATTTCCCCGAGCAACTCCAGATCTCTGGGAAATCGAAATATCGATATAGCCAGTCCTTTCCGTCCAGCCCTTGCCGTTCGGCCCACTCGATGAATGTATTCAGTTGGCGTGCGGGGCAGCATATGATTAATGACCAGCTGCACGCTCGGTATGTCTAGCCCACGGGCCGCCACATCTGTAGCAATAAGTGTGCGTATGTGATTTGACTTGAAGCGACTAAGAGCCGCGACCCGCTCCTTTTGACGCATAAAACCATGCAAGCATACGTTCTCAATATCCATGTTTCTCAATGTCATCGAAAGAAGCTGGCAGTATCTAAAATTCATAATGGATTTTTATCCCTCTCTCTCTCAAAATATTTATACACCTCACTTTTTTGTGTTTGTGAAAATCATAACGTTGCACTTTTCGTTTTCCTCGCGGTATTTCCGCAAAGCTTCAATTAACACCATATCTCGATCATAATCCGCACAAAGTAAATAGCGCTGGTCGAGTGTGTCAACTGTGGCAATTTCAGAGTCCTGAGACCATTCTACACACTAGTTGGAAAAGTTGTGGAAGTAACATTTTATAGAAAAATAAGTTCATGTACTTACATCCGCAGCTATGGTAAATATGCTGGACTCTTTTATAAACTCCTTCATAGTGGCCGAAAAGAATAGATTTTGGCGGGATTGAGGTAAACATCTCTCAATTATGGCGAGGCTTTCGTCAAAGTCACCGTTCAGCATGCGATCTGCTTCATCAACGACCAGATATTTTAAATTATCAAATGAAAATGTATCACAACCAGTTAAGTGATCCGCTAATCGCCCTGGCATAGCAACAACAATATGCGGTCTTTGCATAAGTTTCTGGCTCTCGATCATTTGGTCAGTGCCCCCCGATACAACACAAACGCGCACACCCATGGGCTGCCCGGCAACCAAAAACTGTTCGGAAATCTGCAAGTTATGGGAAAACAAAATTGAAATAAAATCGTTGTTTATCTTTTCGACAAAAAATTTCACCTGATAGGCCAACTCATGTGTAGGTGTCAAGACCAAGGCAAAATGACTAACAGGCTCCTCACTCAACTTTTGCAATATTGGCAAGGCAAAGGCAAAGGTTTTGCCCGAACCCGTTTTAGCAGCACCAATGCAGTCCTTCCCGGACAATATTGCTGGGATGCAATGCTGTTGTATAGGCGTAGCTCCTTTAAGACCTTTAAGTTCGATTGAGGCAAATGTTAGTGAAGCAACATCATGACTTGAAGCCATACATATGTATGATTTTATGCATTTGCTTACCTAATTTTGCCAACTGTTTAGCTAGCCAAGGTCGCAGGCCCAAGCTTTGGAAAGGACTAGATTCCTTTGCCTGCATATTTAACGTATTAATAGTTGTTGCTGTGTAATTACTTCCTTTAATAATATTAGGAATTTATTAATGATTTCAATATAGGGAAAACAAACGAAAAACACGCAGCATGCAAAACGTGCATAATTCATAACAGCTGATTAAATCGATAGACAAAAACTCATCAGCAGGTGTTAGTATTCGTTTCTGCCGAATGCTATCAATAATACCAAGTCGTCGTTAATGATATCGAATTCAAGCTACAAACATATAATATGGCTTTCACATTGAATACATATCTTATCTTGGGTATGTATTTCATATTTGTTGCCCTTGTGCGTGTAACATTCATTCGCACAAAACTAGTATACCCTCTGGGTACAGGGTATAACAAACAAGCGATGATCTCCACTCCCACAAAATAATAAAAAAAAAAGATAAAAAGCTAAAGTCGGTTTCTCCGATTTTGAAATACTCTGTACCCATGTATATGTAGGATAATTATAAACATTTAAAACAATAACTCGGCGGGCGTAACACTTAGTGCCCCCCACTCACCAAAAACTTTTTTTTAAGTTTATATGCATGAAAGGACAAGGGACAAGGGAATAGTACAAGGGAATAGTACTTTAGTGCAAATGTATATAATACACAGAAAGAGCAGTGGCGGACCTCACAAAGTATATTTATTCGTGATCAGATCAAAATACCTGATTCTTAACATCATTGAAACGTTTTGATATAACGGCTATTCACCAGAGAACAAACTATTTGCACTATTCAGAGTCACAATATCGATTATTCCCCGGCTCTATTTAGTTCAAAAAGAGTTTAAATATTTTAAAAACTATTCGATTGCTGTACATCTGTAGCTAAATAAATCATCTATCGAATAAGCTATTTAATAAGAGCTGAGGGGCAAGCTCGGTTACTTATTTACAATTTCCGTATGTATTCTTCTGTCTTTTTTACTCGTTGTGAAATTAAACAGTCCGTCATCTATAGTATAGTGACGGACAAGAAACAAAGACCAAAAAAAAGGAATTAAAAATAGAAGAGAAAATAACGTCATAATGGATGCAGCGCCTACCTTATCGAATCTTAATGTAATGTGCGGCATTTGCACCGAGTTCTATAAAGCGAATGATGTCATTTTTACAACATCAAGTTGTGGACATGTTTTTCATAAGGAATGCTTGATGCGATGGCTGTTCACATCTCGGACGTGTCCGCAATGCCGCGCTATGTGCCATCGCCAACGGACCCATCGCATTTATTTAAACTTTGGAGAACGAACGGCTCTTGATGATGAAGAAATTGAACCGCCCGCCATTCAGTGGGTTCCGCTGGACTTGGATGAGTCAAATCCCCCAAAATCTCTACTGGACAAAGCCATTCAATGTGGCACTGACGATGAGGGAAACGACACATATGTAGCCCGCGTCTACTATGCAGATGATCTCCTTCCCGCAAATTACGTACCTTCAAAACAAGTTGCTTACGCTCCTTATGGCTGTCATGCCCATACCCTAACCGATCAAGTGGATATCCTAATTGACTGCGAACACAAATGGGTACCTGCAGAAAATGGGCAGGTACCCCCGCAAGCCATACAAACAGGTTACTCGGAGATTGGAGAAACTCTGTATACTGCTCGTGCTACTTACCAAGAATTCACTCTTCTCGGTAAAGTTCATCCCTCTCATAGAGTTATTTATATGCCTTTCCGCGGACAGGAAGTAAATTCATCTCAGTATGAAGTGTTGGTACTATCGCCCAAAGATCAGGCCGATCGCTAAATACATACATATGTCGTTGAAATAGCTGTAATACAAGTATATATACATATATAAACCCATTGATTAATTAATTAAAATAAATCTTGCACCCTTATTAATTTTTCTGTTCGCTTGAAGGAATGAATAAAATGATATCAGGCAATCAGGTAATTTGTATTTTATTAAAATTGGTAAACAAAGTTATTTTTTATGCTTTGTATGTTCATATTACTGAATCTGACTTCCAATTTCCCCGTGGGCTTTAATTTTTTCTGGCTTATGTCTTTGTTGTTCAACTAATGTTCACATTAACAATGCAGTATAAAGATGCATTGCATTGCATAAATGTATATGCAAATATATTTAAAAATGTAGTATGTATATAATTCGTAAAAATTTGCAGAATTGCTGTAACATGACATTATAATATATTTAGCTAAAATAAAATTTATATAAGCATTGTGCATGTAACATTTAAACAGCATGCTTACAATACAAATAGGATTTTTGTTATGACTTTGTACTTAGATTCTAAATCATTTTTAATGTATGGTTGTGTTTTTTTTATTATGTGTGTGTATATATATGTATATATGTGTGTATGTAAAAGTTGAATTCATGAGTAGTTTTCTACTGCAGTACATATTTACAATTTATTTTATAGTTGCATACAGATACAAATCTGATACAGCATTTTACATATAGTTTACTGAGCCACATTTGTGATTGTTTTTGTGATCGGGCATTAATTCGGAATTTGGAGTTTAATGAGTGGGTCTATGCGTGGCTAAAGATTTACATTTGAGCTCATTAGATATAAACAAAACAGTCTAAAAAGTTTCAGAGCTGATAGACTTTAGAACATATAAACGGCAATAATAATTAATAATATTTAAAAGTAAACAGCAAGAAAAATAGTTTTTTATGGTAGAGCAAAATGGTTAAGGGGCAGCATAAGCTTGACATAAAATCTGTTTGTAAATATATAATCTTATTTAGTATACAAAATGTTCTTATTGTAATCATTCCATTTCTTTTGGGAGAGCATTTTGTTTATTGTTTTTGCGACGACGTGTCCTTTTGCCGCGGGGACGCCGCTGACCTGGAGCCTTTTCTCATTTCTGCGCGGACAAATAGTTCATGTATTTTGTGGTTTGTTGGGCATTCCGAACTAACTCGGTCTCATCCTTGGTGCCTCCCTGGGCCTGCCAGTTCTCAGCATTCGGTTGGTGTATATCCGGCTGGGAACGTCGCGTGAAATTGCGATGACGCTGCTGATGATGCATGGCGGGTTGACGGCGATCAAAAGTGCTGGACGCCTCGCTGGCCAAACTGCTTTGGCTACTATAGCGAGAATTAAAATTACGTGGTCCGATAGCTCCACCACCTCGTGCCGGGCTCTGACTATAACGATATGATGCATTCGACTTTCGACCTCCCTCTTCCATTTGTGATTTTGGTGGGCGTGGCAGTGTGCGCGCGCGTGATGAACTGCGACTATTTGACTCGGGCCCATTGGAGTTGTAGGCACAGTTCTCATCCTGATAAGAATTGTTTATGGACGTATTGGAGCGACGCCACGTCTCGCTGTGAATCTTCTGATTGTCTTTATTTTGGTGCCCATGAGGTGAGTGATGTTGCTGTTGCTGCTGCTTTTGGAACCGTGGTGGCTTATCGTACGTATTACGATTGTGAAAGCGCCCTCCGCGCTTGTAATTGCCACGCTCATAATTGCTAATATATGAGCGTTCGCTGCGATCATCCCGTTGGTCCCAATTGGAGTTCACAATGCTGTTGTAATTGTTGCTGCCAAGATTCCTTTCATAACGTTCCTGGGAATGCTTACGACGATCGTGTATGCTATATAGACGTAAATTACCTCCATCGCTACGCACGCTGTGATGGTCGTCATCGAAACTAGCGCTATAACGACGGTGTTGGTTGCGCGAACGTCCGTTTTGATTATCACCATCGATGGGGCGATTAAAACGAGTCTTGCGCCAGCTAGGTAAAGGCTTAGTTTCATCACGATCTTCACTGTTTCCCACAGATGAGTATTGATCGAGTCCTTCGGAGCGGCTAATAATTTGAACAGTAAAAATGTTATCTTTAAGAGAATGGTTTTTTACAATCGCAATACTTACTCTTCATTGGCCGCCTGAGGGTGTTTCAAAGGACGCGGTGATGTGCGCGGCTGATATGAGCGTCGGCTTTGGCGATTCACGCCTCCTTCGTTACTTGAATTTCTGCTGCTTTCTCGTGCTGGTTCGTGCTTGACTTGACTGTAGGGATCGCCACTACCAATATCCGCCTCGCCAAAACCAATATCACAGAGCGAATCTTCACAGACTTGCTCGCTCCATTTCTTCGTCGTAGGCTGCAACTCAAAAGAATCGTTGGGGGACTCATTTGTTTGGCTGGTATTATCAGTGTTACTTCTCCCATGTCCTTCTATATACGCGCTTTGAGACTCTTGTTGTTGCTGGTACTGAGTCTGCGGTTGCACAGCTACACTATTGTTATTAATACCATCGTCTTCCGCACTCTCAGCAACCAGGTAGTCTGTGTACATTGCCTCCAACTCGAAGCCAATGTGTTTAAAATGGCTGTAGAACAAATCCAACACCATAAGCAGCATAGCTTTTACTTTAGGCGTTAGCACCGGCTGCATTATCAGGTGGCGTCTAATATGGTACAGCAGTTGGTCAATTTCTACCTTATGGCGCGAGCGCATTATCTCTCCATTAAGCGTAATCTGTGATAAAATCAAACGCGCCAATCGAGTATTTATTACCACTGAGGTGTCATTGATCTCCCTTGTAAGTAGATTGAGCAGCGATTCACCCAAAATTGTAATAGGAGCATTGTCGGCTAAACGAACGCGATGATAGTATTCGCCTAAAAGTGTTATGGAGTTGTACAGACGATTCTTGTCATGCTCTCGGTATGCGTCTGCGTTGATGAAATTTGTCTCCAGGATCTTTAGCATAGCACTTCGGACCTTTGTCTCCTTCATAGCCAACGCATCGAAGTTCCGAGATGAAAAAAGTAGAGCAAATTTCAGTGCAGTATCTCCATCGCCTAATGCTTTGTCGTTCATATACTCCATGGATTCACTGCAATATAAAATAAGAAAATTATTAATATACTATTTTTTTGAGGCATATAATATACATATACGGAAACAAAACTAATATTGCTCACAATGAGATATGTTCATTCCTACGTATTTTTGAAAAAATGGTCTATACAGATTTAAGAAAGTTTTAAATTGTGGTAACAAAAACATGCTTAGCTTTGTATGCACCTATGTATACATGCATGTATTAGTAAATGTATGTATATGTATGACATACTCAATACAGGCATATATATTATGTATATATCTTTTTATATATTAATCATCAATGGACTTATACACACCACAGCATCGATTCGTCGCGAACAATGTTGCAGAAATCCGTTTCTATGGCCTTTATCTTCCTGTTCAACACAATACCATCATCCTCCAGGTCAAGGCCCTTCATCATGGCAATGATGTGGTCGTAGACACAACCACCTGTTGGTATCATATAGTTGGCAGGAACTGTTTCTGCTCCCGCGTTCAGCACATTACAGGACATAACATCGCGCAAATTCTGCACCTCGCTGCCAGCACTGCCAATTCCACTGCTGTTCCTACTAGCGTTGTTTAAATTATTGTTAGTGCTTGTGTAGTTGGTGCCGTTGCTGCTGCTGCTACTGTTGTGATTGCTAATTATATTAGCCATTTCTTGATCGGAATTGTTGCTGTTTGTGTGCGCTGTGTTTGTCAAGCCCCGTTGTTGTTTCTATTTGTTTGCGTTCTCCACCAATGCCTGCTTGTCCGTTTTCTGCTACTGCCTCTGGCCGCTTCTCCCTGGTCCAAGAACTCAATTTGCGCAAAATGTTGACTTCACAAAGGAAATGCGCACGCAATTTGCGTATTCATTCAATTTCCGTAATTATAAATAATACACGTAAACGTTCCTTTTTTTAAATAAGTGATGAATAAAGTTAAAATGCACAGATCTATGAGTACTTAATTAAAATATTTTTTTTTATAAAATAACACCGTGTGTTGGAGTGCGAACAGTTCGCGGGTGAACTAGTTCGTTCACGAGCAGGTCGCGGCCGTCAATAAGTGATGACACTCCCAACTACAACATTTTTATGACAGTTTTAAATTTTTTCAAATGTTTTTGAGCAGGTTGAATATTTGTATCACTGTCTTATTTAAATACTATGTATATTGGCTCGTAGCTGTAATCGTAATTCTTGCCGGTAAGAACGATGAGACGGCTATTTTCACCTTCAACAGACCACAACCAAGGTTTCTCCTGTAAGCAATTTTGTACTTTTACATTTAAAACAAGATTAATAATTTTTTTGAACTTACGGTCAAAGAAGATATGTTTTCAAATAAATTTATTCTTAGGGTTGTTTTACGATTCTCGGTGATTCGATTTGCATTGAACTCGTAGTTGTCAAACAGAAATGTGCACTGTTCAATGCTTAAAAACTCTACGGTAGTTATTTTATCCATGAAATTTTGAAATGTTAAACATGTTTCAATGCAACAACTCTTAAAATATATTTGTGTAACATTCACAAAGCCATTTATCGAAATATCGTGTATATTTTGTAGTAACGAATTATCTGTTACTATTTTCAAAGAATTCACGTGCAGATTATGGTGTATAACAGCATTTAATGTGTTAGAAGAGTTACATGTTTCCAGAATTTTTAGGCTGTGACGGCCACTACTTTTCAATTTTGAACAAAGATTCCAAAGCGTTGAGTTTTGTCGAGCTGCACCCACAATCAGTTGCTTCAGGCTTACTAAATCACTAAAGTGCTTATCAAACCAAGATAATTCATCAAGATCAAGCTTTATTAGTTCTAGCCCGGACATGGACTCGATCGGTAGTGTTGCCATTTCAACAGATTTTCCATCGAATATACCCAGTTTTAATTCTCTAAGCTGATGCTTTTGCATAATTTTCACCAAATTTTCCACTTTGAACTTCGTGCAATAGGATAACGTCAGGCTCTTCAAATGTGAAAATTCAGTAAGATGAGCACCGGAAAAACTTCCATGCGGACTAAATGTTCTTATATTAGGAAATGCTGTTATTATTCTGGCGATATGTGAATCACACAAAAACTGACAGGAAGTTTGTGCAAACCGAAAATCTTGAACCTTTGGATATTCGTATGTGGTAAGGACTTCAAAATTTTCTGGTGTCAGCATTTTTAGACGCATCACTTCAACTGTTTTCATAATACTGCGGAGAAAATAATGCAGGTGTTCTTCCGTAAACTGTATTTCAAAGAACGATATGTTAATGGTTTTGTATTTAAGGCACCACACAGTTGGCATCAGATTATAAAAGCGCCAATGAACGGACAACATCGTTTGCTGATCCGTCAAATCCAAGTAGCTTAGAATACTTAATATTGCGTCATCATTTAGCTTCTCCATTTTGAACTCCAGATTTTAAAGGAAGAAAAAAAATGTATGCCTGTAAATTTTATTTTGGTAAAGACAATTTCCCGGAAAGGGGTTTAAATTACTGCTTGAGAATAAGAGCATCAAATACAAAATTTTACCTTGCTACGTGTATCCACTTCCAAAATTAAAACATATAAATGTTGATTTATGTAATTAAATAAATTCAAATAATCGGTTGTTAACAACCAGCAATGATTGTGCACCTCTAATAAAAAACACGTACATATGTATGTATTGTATCGATTACAGCTTTGATTCACTTGATATATCGATTAACGTGAGTCGCGTGTACTTCATATACATTGTACAATAATATTTGCATAAACAACGAATTGTCAAAGAGTAAAAATGCAAAAGTATGAGAAGCTTGAGAAGATTGGCGAAGGCACGTATGGAACCGTATTTAAAGGACGTAACCGCGAGACACTCGAAATAGTTGCCCTCAAAAGGGTGCGCCTAGACGAGGACGACGAGGGAGTACCGAGCTCTGCGCTGCGAGAAATATGTTTACTAAAAGTTCGATACCAAAGTTCGATACCGGTGTTCAAGTTTTGAAATTATAGTCGATTTATTGCAGGAATTGAAACACAAAAACATAGTGAGACTTTGCGATGTATTGCACTCGGATAAAAAACTAACGCTGGTCTTTGAGCATTGTGATCAGGATTTGAAAAAGTACTTTGACAGCTTAAATGGAGAAATCGACATGGTAGTGTGTCGTAGCTTCATGCTACAACTGTTGCGCGGATTAGCGTTTTGCCATAGGTGTGGGGTTCCTTAATTAAACAGTTAATTATACTTAATAGTATTTCATTTCAGTCACAACGTGCTGCACCGTGATCTCAAGCCCCAGAATTTGCTTATAAACAAGAATGGCGAATTAAAGCTGGCCGACTTTGGTCTTGCCCGTGCGTTTGGAATACCGGTCAAGTGCTACTCAGCAGAGGTGGTGACACTTTGGTATCGCCCTCCCGATGTTCTTTTTGGAGCCAAACTGTATACTACTAGTATAGATATGTGGTCAGCTGGTTGCATATTTGCTGAATTGGCAGATGCTGGTCGCCCGCTCTTTCCTGGATCAGATGTGTTGGACCAATTGATGAAGATATTCCGTGTGCTTGGTACACCAACAGAAGATTCATGGCCCGGTGTTTCCCATCTCTCTGACTACGTCGCGCTTCCAAGTGAGTGCCAAATACAGTATATAATTTATGACATTCTTTTTTTCAATGTATTTATGATTTTTGCAGCATTTCCAGCCATAACCTCATGGAGCCAAATCGTACCAAGACTTAATTCAAAAGGACGTGATCTGTTGCAAAAACTGCTAATCTGCCGCCCTAACCAGCGCATAAGTGCGGAAGCTGCAATGCAGCATCCTTATTTTACCGACAGCTCCTCTGGTCATTAGATTAGGCTTCGAATAATCGACTGCTTGAAGGATCCTAATATTGAATATATTATTTCTGTATTTAATTCCGACAACCAAATGTATTTAGTTATTAAATTGTTTCGATTAGTTATATGTACGTAGGCATACAACCTTTAACGAGGAAAGCAATCAGTTTTAAATTTATAAGAATTTAAGTAAATATATCTAAGAACCAATATTTTACTTTATTTAATATTTATACGTATCTAGAATAAATTTTGTCAAGGCATATAATCATGAAATTTTATTTACCCGCCCAAGGGTTAAAGCGATATATGTATTCATATGACATCTCAGCCGAGTCTGCGTGCGTACGTTTAATGTAGTTGATTCTTGGGCTTTCTCCGGTCCGGTCGTGTGTTCTGTTATTAAAATAGAAATTTAGTTTTATGTATCACTTTAATAAGAATTAACCAAAAGAAAGGCGAAATTTAGTTATATTAAATAAAACGCACAAATTGCTTGAAGAATCAAAACATCGTGAAATTTTCAACATATTTATCAAACTATTAGAAAAAGGAACAAATAATTATCACCGAAATATAATTGTTTTCCGAAATGACCTGGGGATTTGTGACATGCGGGCCTAATGAAGCTCTTGTCGTATCAGGTATTTAAATGAATCAACTGAGTTGCTTAATTATCAAACATATCACAAGTAAATAAACTGTATAGAACCTCCCCTCCCAAAATGACGTCACTTATCGATTTTTCAATATGCATGTATGTACTGCACTGAGAATGAAGAGTTCGAAGCCGTGTACGCACTCAAGTAACGCCGATGCCCTCAGCCGGCTTCTTATTTGTAAACACAAACGAATATTTTGTAAAGTAATACGTATTTTTGTTATGTGCAGGATGTTGCTATATGAAGCCTTTGCTGGTTCCGGGAGGCCGTGCTTTCGTCTGGCCCTCCATTCAACGTGTACAGCGGTAATTCAGTTTCTGATAAAATTTGATTTCGCAAAAATATAATAGTTGTACCAAACACAGCATTTCACTGAACACTATGACGCTTCAAGTGGAAAGCCCATGCGTGTACACCAGTCAAGGTGTCCCCATCTCTGTAACAGGCATCGCTCAGGTTAAAGTTCAGGGGCAAAACGAGGATATGCTGTTGACAGCTTGCGAACAGTTCCTGGGAAAAACAGAATCGGAAATAAACCACATTGCACTCGTGACTCTGGAAGGCCATCAGCGAGCTATAATGGGATCAATGACTGTGGAGGAAATCTATAAGGATCGCAAGAAGTTTAGCAAACAAGTTTTTGAAGTGGCATCCAGCGATTTGGCCAATATGGGCATAACCGTCGTTTCGTACACCATTAAAGATTTACGCGATGAAGAGGTGTGTAATTCAGAGAAATGTATAGTGCTTGCTGCTTTTTCATTGCCTTGATCTTGAAATAGAACTTCACATTATATTCATACATGCATATATTTGTATATAAATATATTTATTAGTTGGTTGGTTTAACACACTATATGTATACATAAATGTATTTTTGCATGTTGCATTATCATAAATGGATTTAAAAACTGTGCTAACGAACCCAGGGCGATTCCAAGGTATGTGCCAGTCGATGGCATCATTTTGACTTTTAGTAAAATTATTGCACTTTAAAAGTGTTGTGTGTGTGTGTTTATAATGTGTTACTAAAGAATTTACTTTGCAGGGCTATCTTAAATCCTTGGGCATGGCACGAACGGCGGAAGTTAAGCGCGATGCTCGTATTGGCGAGGCAGAAGCACGTGCTGAGGCACACATAAAGGAGGCCATTGCCGAGGAGCAACGCATGGCTGCTCGGTTTTTGAACGATACGGATATTGCAAAGGCTCAGCGCGATTTCGAACTGAAGAAAGCAGCTTACGATGTGGAGGTACAAACCAAGAAAGCTGAGGCTGAAATGGCCTATGAGCTACAGGCAGCCAAGACGAAGCAACGCATTAAAGAGGAACAAATGCAGGTGAAAGTAATTGAGCGTACTCAGGAGATTGCAGTGCAGGAACAGGAAATAATGCGTCGCGAAAAGGAGCTTGAGGCAACAATTCGTCGTCCCGCCGAGGCCGAAAAGTATCGTTTGGAGAAATTGGCCGAGGCCAATAAATTGCGTGTGGTCATGGAGGCCGAAGCTGAGGCAGAATCGGTAATTATTTGTTTATATATTAATTATGCTATTAGAAATCGTATTTTTCATTATATTTTAGATTAAAATACGTGGTGAGGCGGAAGCCTTTGCAATCTCTGCCAAGGCCAAAGCTGAGGCTGAGCAAATGGCTCAAAAAGCCGAAGCTTGGCGTGAATACCGGGAAGCAGCTATGGTTGAAATGCTGCTAGACACTTTACCAAAGGTACGATGTAGAGTAATATCAGAAATATTCAATGGTGTTTTAATCTTTTTTTCTCCACAGGTGGCCGCCGAAGTGGCTGCTCCGCTCTCACAGGCCAAAAAGATTACAATGGTGTCTAGTGGCCAAGGTGAAATAGGCGCAGCCAAGCTGACTGGCGAGGTGTTACAAATTGTCAATAAAGTACCGGAGCTGGTTAAGAACATTACTGGTGTCGATATTTCCAGGGTACGTTCCAATTCAGAGTTTATCTAAGTCCTCGCCGTAAAACACGTGAAGGCAACAACAAATTACTTATAACAAATGGCAATCAAAAGACTTTGTATAGCAATATATGTAACTGCACTTGATGTGCTAGACCTCCTTTGAAAACACGTTCAATTCTACTAAATGAAATTCAGTTTTACTTTGGCTTATGATTTTTAATTTTCAATCATATGGTTTTAGTTTAATTTGATTTCTATCTTTTCATTTCAGTCCGTGCATGCTGGCTAATCAAAATCCAAATCTCACATAAATCTGTCTGTACTCTCCATAAATGCCGCAAAAGCAACAAAAACATAAACAATTAAAACACAACAATTTAAAACGATCGAATATACATAAATTATCCTTTTTTTTATTGTATTGTATATGTAATGTTGTTTTTTTAACAACTCTATGCGAATCAACCAATTTTTGCAAATGTTTTGCACACAAAAAGAACAAAGATATTTTGTACTCAATGTAAGAATAATAAACCAAATATACATTCATACATACAAATGTGTATGCACAACTGAGACATAAAATTGCATTTTGTACATGTACATACATACGTATGTACACGTGCTATACAAAAAGTTGAATAAATATTTTTCTTAATTGAACTAATTGAATAGTTAATATTTAATAAATTTGAATTGAGGGTGGGACCAAAAATATTGTTTCTGAATATCACAGTATTTATACAAACATGAAAATACCGCACGTTACATACAAATATGTGGAGCTTGTGAATTGGTATTAGCTACAAATAATGTCAACTCGTCCAAAACTACACACAACTCAGCACTTTTCGTGGAACTAGCTCAAAATGCTGCCAACTTGGTCGTATCACAACGAACTGGAGCCGGTCAGCTATAAAGAAGAACGAAAATCATCTTTTTAGACGAGTTAGCATATCTAAGAAGACATTGCTAGTTTTGCACAGTGAATCGTTTGAGGATTTCGTAAATTTACTGTGGTCGATTAACGCGCAATCTAATAAAAAACACATCGCAAATTGTACATTTAAGTTATAAAGTTTCGCCACAAATAGTTCGCAATGGCTGACTCCAAGGGGTAAGTCCATAGCGCGCAAATTGAAGGCAACTGAAAGCCGACAAAAGTAGCCTAGCTACGATAACTTCAATTTCGCTCAGTCATTGGGGTGACTGAAAAAACCAAAGGCCACATATGAGTAACGAAAACTCCATGAAAAGGAGCTCTTTGTAAAAGAAATAACATTATGTAGATATATTTATCATGAATTGCATATTGCGGATTCTTTTTTTTGTATCATGTGTGCAATGTTGCGAAACTAGGCCAAACCAAGGAAAACGCCATTTCCCCATTTATTGTTGTTGCTGCGCTGCTACTCCCATCACAGCGCGCCACTTTATTCTTTGTTATTATGTTGGAGCATAAAGTAGGCCTTAAATAATATTTCGATACTGCTAGATCTTAACTTTGCTTATGAAAACTGTTATATTAAGCAAATTTTCAAAATATTTAAAAATATATATTTAACAATATATATAAACTTATTAAAAAATTGTTGCACGCATTTAAAACGCATTGATTTGATCGAAAATGTCGGGCCGGAACGATGGTGAATCCTGGCCGCCTTCGGGAAGTGGTAATAACCACGACATAACCAACTTTGTGCGTAATTATAGAAATGAGCAGGATGATAAATTAAAGAAAGATAATCCGGGTGTACCCAAACAGCAGTCGTCGTTTGAGAAACGGTTCGCATGGCGTCCATTCAGATATTTTTAATCTTATGCAGTTTAATAGAATCGGAATTGTGAGTTAATGAGTTATTTCTTTCAACAGTGAAGACCTCGCAACGGCGATTTTGAAGCGCAAGGATCGTCCCAATCGTCTCATTGTTGAGGAAGCTCAAAATGATGACAATTCCGTCGTGTCGCTTTCGCAGGTAAGTTGGACACGTCAGCTACTATTGTCATTTTTTTTTTATTATTCATATGATTGTGGAAGTCTTAAATAAACGTGCATTCTATATGTTCCTTTCGCATCAGGCGAAAATGGACGAGCTACAGCTCTTTCGAGGCGACACCGTTATTCTTAAAGGAAAGCGTCGCAAGGAAACTGTGTGCATTGTGCTCTCGGATGACACTTGTCCCGATGAAAAGATTCGCATGAACCGTGTGGTGCGCAATAATCTGTGTGTTCATTTGTCCGATGTTGTGTCCGTGCAATCCTGTCCGGACGTCAAGTATGGCAAGCGAGTGCGGATTTTGCCCATCGATGATACCACTGAAGGTGTTACGGGCAACTTGTTTGAAATCTATCTGAAGCCCTATTTCTTGGAGGCCTATCGTCCTATTCACATGGGTGATAATTTCATTGTACGCGCCGCAATGCGGCCTATTGAGTTCAAAGTCGTGCTGACTGATCCCGAGCCTTATTGTATTGTGGCTCCAGAGACTGTCATCTTTTGTGACGGCGATCCAATTAAGCGTGAGGTAAGTCCTTCTTTTTAGTAAAATTCGTGTGGACCGTAGCTTCAGTACCTAATTCCTTTTAACAGGAAGAAGAGGAATCATTGAATGCCGTCGGTTATGATGACATTGGGGGTTGCCGGAAGCAATTGGCTCAAATTAAGGAAATGGTTGAGCTACCCTTGCGTCATCCATCGCTCTTCAAAGCAATTGGTGTGAAGCCACCACGTGGCATTTTAATGTACGGTCCACCTGGTACTGGAAAGACCCTAATTGCACGGGCTGTTGCCAATGAGACTGGCGCCTTTTTCTTCCTAATCAACGGTCCCGAAATTATGTCGAAATTGGCTGGTGAATCCGAGTCAAATCTTCGAAAAGCATTCGAAGAAGCCGAAAAGAATTCACCTGCAATCATTTTCATTGATGAGATCGACGCCATTGCGCCCAAGCGCGATAAAACCCATGGCGAAGTTGAGCGTCGCATTGTGTCGCAGCTGCTGACATTAATGGACGGCATGAAGAAGAGTTCGCATCTGATTGTGATGGCAGCCACCAATCGGCCCAATTCCATTGATCCAGCGCTCCGTCGCTTTGGACGTTTTGATCGTGAAATCGATATCGGTATTCCAGATGCTACTGGACGCCTGGAGGTGCTGCGCATTCACACAAAGAACATGAAATTGCACGAGGATGTCGATCTGGAACAGATTGCGGCGGAAACTCACGGCCATGTTGGTGCCGACCTGGCATCACTTTGTTCAGAAGCGGCTCTCCAGCAAATTCGCGAGAAGATGGATCTCATCGATTTGGAGGATGATAAGATTGATGCCGAAGTGCTCGCCTCGCTGGCTGTCACCATGGAGAATTTCCGCTATGCCATGACAAAGTCAAGCCCGTCGGCCCTACGTGAAACCGTTGTTGAGGTGCCTAACACCACCTGGACTGACATTGGAGGCTTGGAGAATGTTAAGAAAGAGCTTCAAGAACTGGTTCAATATCCAGTGGAACATCCTGACAAGTTCCTTAAGTTTGGCATGCAGCCCAGTCGTGGTGTACTTTTCTATGGACCACCCGGCTGCGGTAAGACGCTTCTGGCCAAGGCCATTGCCAACGAATGCCAGGCCAATTTCATTTCCGTCAAGGGTCCTGAGCTGTTAACCATGTGGTTTGGCGAGTCCGAGGCCAACGTCCGTGACATTTTCGACAAAGCACGCTCGGCAGCCCCTTGTGTGCTATTTTTCGATGAACTGGATTCGATTGCCAAGGCACGTGGTGGTAATGTGGGTGATGCTGGTGGCGCTGCCGATCGCGTGATCAACCAAATCCTTACTGAAATGGACGGCATGGGTGCCAAAAAGAATGTTTTCATTATTGGAGCAACCAATCGTCCGGACATCATTGATCCAGCTATTTTGCGTCCAGGACGCTTAGATCAGCTAATATATATTCCATTGCCAGATGATAAATCACGTGAGGCTATATTGAAGGCCAATTTGCGCAAGTCGCCACTGGCCAAGGAAGTTGATCTTACCTACATTGCCAAGGTGACACAGGGTTTCTCTGGCGCAGATTTAACCGAGATCTGTCAACGTGCCTGTAAGTTGGCTATTCGTCAGGCAATCGAGGCAGAGATACGTCGGGAGAAGGAACGTACTGAGAATCAGAACTCTGCTATGGACGTAAGTTTAGAACATTTCACACTCCTTGCGTTTCAAATGCTTTTAAACATTTTTTCGCACAGATGGACGAAGATGATCCAGTTCCCGAAATAACACGTGCCCATTTCGAGGAGGCTATGAAGTTTGCACGTCGTTCTGTGTCCGATAACGACATTCGAAAATATGAGATGTTTGCTCAAACTTTGCAACAGTCACGCGGTTTCGGACAAAACTTCAGGTAAGTTCCCATTGCTTTCGACTATAAGGCAAACCTATTTCAATAACATCAATTGTATTCTGTTGCCATAGATTCCCCGGTAACACCGGTAACACCTCAGGGTCCGGCACCAACATGCCAGTGAACTCGCCAGGGGATAATGGCGATGATGATCTATACAGCTAGATTTTTAGTTATAAACAAACAAGTTTTATAAATGAATTTTTTCTTTAAATCCAAATATTTTAAAACAAGAACATTCGATGATTAAAATACACGACTCATCATGATGCAGCAGTGTGGAGGACAGGAAGAAACAAACAAGAATATAACAGGAAAACTTGCAATGAATAATTCGGACACATTTCAACTTATAATTTTGTCATACATTGGTCAACAGATACTGCAAGACCAAGTATAACCATATTTACATTAAAAACAAAACATTTTTAGGGCGCAGAGTGGATGAAATTAAATCAAACACTGGCAATGCTCTTATCATTCGTGGATTCTCGGTAGCTCTGATCTGGTCGATAACCGAGTTCTATTTACATATATATAATTGATGATTCACATACACACACGTACATTTAAAGATAAATATATTAAACACCATAAAATTATAAGTGTATTTGGAGCTACGTTTTTAAGTGAATAAAAATTATAAAGTCATCAACATGTTTTGTCATTTCTGTACATTTTTTAAAGAATAACAGACACAACTGGTTTTTGCTTTTATTAAACTTTTATTCATTCGTCATGTTTATTTCTCTGGTTTGCATTAATGGTTACGATATAACGACGATGCTTATATCAAGATAATTTGATTGAGTTTTCATATTCATTTTTTACTCGCATGTTTTACGCATTGTCTTACAAAATAGGGGATCTATGTTATTCACTTTTCTCTGCGTCGCGGAAATGTCTAATCATTGTTTAATTCAAAAATGTCTATATACTTACATACGAGATGTAAAGTATACAAATTACTCATCGAATTAATAAGCGTCTGACAAACATACATACGTATTTGCTTAAATCAATCGGCAAACGAAAAAATGCATGGCAAAAGTAAAACAAATTCCATAATTAGCTCAAGGAATTTACAATTTTGCGTTTGGTTTACAATTTTAATTTTTAATAAATTCAATTAAAACGTTCGCTATGGTAATTTACCACAATTGTTATATATAAGTATGTATATATTTTTTGTTATGAACGATTTCTAGCGCGATGCTTTGCTTTAAATATTATTTAATATTTAGTGATTTGTTTTATTTGTTACACATACATAAGTAAATACGATTGCATAATTACAACACAACAATTAAAAGTACGAATACGTTTACTTTAGTTTTGAAAATTTTTATTTCATATGCATTGTATCGGATTTTGAGCTTTGCTTTAGTTTTTAGTTTCGGCAATACGTACATACATACATATACAATTATGTATGTATATTATTTTACATGATTGTAAATGGCGTTGCTGCAATATGTGTGTGTGAGTACGCGAGTGTAAATATAGTATATGTGTGTGTGTGTGGGTGTGTTAGCATGTACACATACATAAATATGTTGTGGATTTTGTTGTTTTCAAATGCGTGTTGCGGTTTGGTTTTTGGAAGAAAATGGCCAGCACTTTCAGCTTCTTAAATAATTAGGTTCGGTTTTAAGTTCTATCATATACATATGTAGGTAATTTTTTTTTTATTTTGATATACATATTTTATTTTTGTTTTTTTTTTAAGAATTTGTTGCTTTTAAAGTCTTAACCATAGACTAGACACCAATTATGATTAAAACACATTATCTGATATTTCTTCTTCTTTTTGTTTTTGTTGCTTTTACTGCCAAGTTTAACAAGATTTCGCTTTTTATAAATTATGATATTTGTAGCATCTTAGCTCGCGCTAAGACAAAAGGTGAACACCTGTCGACTGTTGGTATGCCAGTTATATATGTATTTAATATGCATATATGCATACACATCTATATGCTGTGCTTATTATTTGATATTGATTATCCGTTTTAGGTTTGCTTTTGTTTATAATCGAGTTTACATCGAGCTCTTCAGAAACTGGGATTTGTTAGGTTTACCATTATTTAAGCTCATTTAGTAGGAAGGTATATACTACATACATATATATATATAAATATAAGTATAAAACAAATGGCATTTTTAATGGCAAATAAAAGGAAACTATTTAAAACGAGCCTTTTGAAGCTGGCAAGATATAAACGCCACTAGATCTTCGTTATTGCTTTCATTTGCTGCACCCATGTAATGTATTATAGCTACATATGTATATTACTATAGCTTATAGAGCCATAGAAATAAAATCAGAGATGAAGCATTTAAATAATAAATGTTGGGCGTTAAACAAAATACATACATATGTATATGTAATTGTAAAATTTCTATATGCTCTCTTCTGTCAGCTAAACATCATTTTCAAATGCCATTCACTAATATTTCAATGTTTTTCTAAGTTGATCCCTTGCAACATATTGATTGTGCCTTTAGCCTTTGTGTTCCTGAAGCATTTTCGGTTGTCCCTTCAAAATCATACAAAAGAAAGCAATACAATTAATAATAAGGATATTGAGATCGTTTTTGAGCCAAACTGATGATCAAAATATTGCCAAGTCGTTGAAAGGATCGACACTTCTATTCTATTCATCCGATTAGAAAACATTTGTTTCATTTTGTTATTGGTTTACAATATTAGCAGAAACATTTTAGCTTACTTGCTTGCCGAATTTCTTTTTATTATTATTCATTTATTCTTTTGTAAAAGCTGCACGCAGCCCTTAACATATAGACTAGTACAATGATTTGTTTTTACTTTATTTTATAAATAAATTAATTGTTTTAGGTTTACTTTTAGAAGTATTGTAGATATAAACTCTTTGTTGTTGATGTGTGTTCATTTGCGCTTATTGATATAAATATGCAAGTTGACATTCATTTGTTGTTGTTGCATTTTCCTTTCCTTTTTTTGCGAACATACTCCTGAGCTGTTCTCGAAACAAGGATCTTCTTTTATAATTAACTTAATAAAATAATAGCAGCAGAAATGTACCGTTTACTCGTTTGTTTTGAAATAGCAGTATGGTACCGACATTTTGCTTTCGTATGTTTGTTGGGTTTTTCCATTTTACAAAATATGTATATGTATTGTGCTAAATTATGCGTTAATATATAGTTTAAATAATATAATAACAAAATATGAATAATAATAAAGAAAACAAAACTATAACTATGCACTTTACATTTGAGCTAATGACACAATGAATGATTGTACCACATTAAGTATTTATCATAATTCCTTTTGATGATTTCCTTCCGTTCTCCCACTCTACTATATATCTGTGTTATCCATCATATACTCAGTTTGTTGTTGTTCCTTCAGTATGGGGCATCAATTAAATACAAAATAACATTACAATTGCTAATACATACACACACAATTTATCAATCAAGTTTAGTTTAGTTTAGTTTTTTTGTTGCTGTGTTTGAAACATTACTAGCATAATAATAATAATTTTTAAATCATTTCTATAGTGTTCTCAATATTATTTCCTTATAGCATAAATCGAATTGGCTTTCCTTTACCTTATAACATATATAATTATGTATGTATGTCAATGTGCTTCTGTGTGTGTGTGTGTGTGTGTATTTGGGTGTTAATTTTTTTTGTTTGGTTCGTGCTTTTGCATTGGCTTCTTGATTTAGCTTTGTCGTTCTTTACATTTATTATATAAGTAGTTGAAACAGTTGTTGCTGTTGCTCTTGTTGTTGTTGTTGTATTGTTTCGTTCACGGCATTAAATTTGATTCATCTAAGCTTCAAAACATCTTTAAAATTATAAACTCAAACCGCCTATAAGTGCTATCAGTTGATATACTCGTATGCATTAATATTACTTTTTATTTCTGATGGTACGATATATTTATGTAGTTGGTTGCTTTTGCTTCACTTTTTGTGGCTGTATTTGTTGTTGCTGTTGCTTTTGTTTTTATGGTAATTCAGACTTTTTATCGTGTATCGGTGATATTATTTTTGCTGCCAAATATTTTAACTAGCTGCGACTCGTAATCATCAATGTTGCGCTTCATAATGTCCATACAAGGTCCTAGCAGACGCTCGAACGCTTTCACATCCAGAACTATCGGTGCCATATTGTAGATATTCCAAAAAGAGAGTATCAATAAATATTGAATTAAATTTCTTCATTTGATATCAAAATTAAACATCGAACATAAAACATGCATGATGAATGATGGGTATGGCGATCAAAATAATGTCCTATTTTTCCGCATAATACAAGTATGATTTATCCATTCAAGAAGACCATGTGCTTTTTTTCTTATTTGAAATATTGGTGTTGGTTTTTGTACAGATTGTATATATTTTTTGGAAAGTGGTGGATTTGAGTGACTGTTGTTTTCTATTTTGTATTGCAATTTAACTAAACATATTAAAAGAAAAAATATTAAAATAAAACATAATAGTCATTATTTCTTTCGAAGCTTTAAAATTGAATTCGTATTTCATGAAATAAAAGTTTTTGGGAACAATTTGTGTAAATAATAGGAATAATATAATATAATAGCGATTGTACACCAAATGGGTAAAATAAAACCAGGTGTTGTATTTTTAAACAATTTTATATTTAATTGTTTAATAAAGAATGTATAGTCTAGAAAGTTAATCTCCAGTTATATCTACGTTTCAAATTATGCAAATCAATATATAAAAAGACAGCTAATATTTTCAATAAGAGCCTGTTTATGGAACTTATTTATTAAATAAAATAGTTCATGTTCCAAATCTATAATAAGTATGTATATAGTGCATTCAACAGAATACAACATTTTAAGAAATATTAATCTCCTTTCGAAGGCGATCGATATTTCAGTTTTTGGAAGTTGGTAAGCGATAACATTTTGTAACACGGTTTCAATAGTGGTTGGTAGCGTAACACTAGGAAGGGAGCAATTTTTCCGAATAAGATTTTCTGTAGTAAGCACATTTACCAATTTCTTCAATATCGCTTTGGTTCGGGAGCGTTCTTGAATATTTTTTCCAATATAGTATTAGAAGATATGATCTGAATTGAAATACTATTCCCAAACTTTTTAAAGGGGCTTACTCTCTATCCCTTACGTGATGAAGAGAATATGAAATTTGGGTTTCTTCTCTTTACCACAGAGTAGTTAGCCGTACTGTATTATTTCTTTTTTTGTCTGATATTTTCCATAGTCGCTATTTTAACAGATTTCTTGCATAATCGCTTCACTTTCTTGAATTCCTGACGTTTCCGAACACTGAAAGTTTTGGTAACCTTTGACAAGGATGATAATAAGAAAGGTATACCTCTGCCGCAACATGCAATGGTTAGTTTTACGAATTAGTTTACAGTTATAAACCATACAAACGAATTACACAATATCGATGTATAGTATGCAGATACATTAAGTTAACACTGCATGCCTATGCCAAAATGAGAGACTCTTGTGAGACACACAATTATCTATGTATGTTTGTAGGTTTGTGTGTAAGCCACAAGCCAAGCTCTCTAAGCCATAGCGCCGCCTATCCTAGAAGTATTTGAAGATTGCGTCGCTTACCAATAATTCAAAATTTGACGAATCATGTCTGTCGGCTAAAGACATTTTTGGTGCCACACAACGTTGCGTATGCGTGATTTTTGGTGTGTGTGTGTGTGTGTGTGTGTGTGAATGTGCAGGACTGACGGATCTGTGCATGTGTGGGTGGGGCGGTTGAGTCGTTGTGGTTTTGGGTGTATGGGTGTGTATAGTAAATGAAAAGATGCGTGCAATTGCATTGATCTCAACTGTCTGATATTATATATATTTTTTATAATAATCTATGGCCTGACAAGTTTGAAATGTTTACAGAAAATTTGAAAGCGTTTACAACAAAACTGAAATGAATATATAAGTAACAGATAATTTCCTAAATTTCTGCATCGCTTGGCGACTGCTTCCGTCTGGATTTTGAACTTGATTTCATTCGATGTAGCTGGAATTCTATCTCCGGTCTATAGCGGAGTATCGCGACGAGCCACATCCGTAAACATTTGCTCGTACAGCAGAATGTTGCGCTTGAGGACGTCGGTCAGGAAACCGAGAATGCGTTCGAAGGCATCAGTATCGAGAACTGCGTGCAATTGTTATTATGATTATGACCAACTTAAACCCGCTTTTCACTACCTGTTATGACAATATTGTGTGTCAAATAATACTTAGCTAAGTGTTAATGCATGTCTGACAAGCAATTTTGGTATTAAATGAGATTTCCATTCGATGGCAAAAAAAAAGCGATTACTGAATAGATACTGCGACTTTAAAATTAGGAATTGTATGTCTTCAAACGATAAATCAGAAAATCTGCCAGAATAGCCTTTCTTTACATTGCATCTTGCATGTCCTTCGACTCCACAGAGAACGGCTTTAAAGTTTAAACGATCTGTTCTGTTTGAGCTCTTTCTCCAGAAACATTCCGACCAAAACGCCAATTCGATTAAGTGGTCTTCTCTGATGGAAAATATTGCAAATGATGTTATGCACTTTTGTGCATCTGGTTTTGTAAATGGGCAGTTTTGACAGACACACAATATTGTCACTCTCGATGGTGAAAAAAGGGCTTCGGACTAACCTACTAGCTCTACAAATGTGTAACTTCTAAACTATGCGTAACTATAGGGCAAGCAGGCTGTCAAAATAGGAGCGCAAGCCGAGCTCCAAATAGCGATAATCACTAATGCCTCGCTCCAGTAAGTGACTACACTTGCCCAGCAGGCGTTCAAAGCAAACTACGTCCAGGACTACACACACGCACACACGCACACACATACACACACGCACACGCACACAGGCAGACACACGTACACACAGTGACAAGGGAAATGAACATAAAACAAAAAAGAAAGAGAAACAAAAACGAGAAACAAAACAAAAGCATTAAATTGTTGTGATGTTTGAGCAAAAGCAATAATATGGCAGCGTCTACAAATATGGAAGCAATCAATCGTTTAAGCGGACACTTGAAACGTTTTACGTGTCCAATGTCCAACTCTACACACGCTCCCAATCGGAACTTCGACTTACATGCCAGCTTGACAGGACCACCCACGGCGTAGACGGAAGCAGCACGTGGCCGATGTGTCACCAGAGCCAGCTCGCCAAAGTACTGGCCCTTGCCCAGTAGGGAAATCTCTATTTCCGAGTTATCCTGATCCATGCGCACCGACACTGTGCCCTCCTCAATGAAGTACATGCCGTCGGCCTCGTCACCTGTAGCCATCGCAGGAAAACAACAAGAAGGACACGCTTAGTGAGATGAGAGCTTTAGAAATAATATTTGAAAAATTATTACCCTGTTTGATGATGCGCTGGCCGTTCTCATAGGTCTTCGAAATCAGAGCATCGGCCAGATTCATGCGTTCGTAGTTCTGCCGAGAAATTTAAATAGAATATTACATTTTTAGAAATTGTTTGGTTAAATATAAGTATTAAGTTAATCACTAATTTTTCTTAACTAAATCTGTAAAAAGTCCGAGTACAATTCGATATTGGAAATTGAATAGATATATCAAATGGATATCGAAAAGAACGAAATTAGCTTACAAATTGCTGAATAATCTTTTTTCTTTGCTGAATATTACATTTTAAGAAATTGTTTGGTTAAATATTAAGTTAATCACTCATTTTTTTTTAACTAAATCTGTAAAAAGTCGGAGTACAATTCGATATTGGGAATTGAATAGATATAACCAATGGATATCGAAAATAACGAAATTAGCTTACAAATTGCTGAATAATCTTTTTTCTTTGCTGAATATTACATTTTTGGAAATTGTTTGGTTAAATATTAATTTAATCACTAATTTTTCTCAACTAAATCTGTAAAAAGTCGGAGTACAATTCGATATTGGAAATTGAATAGATATATCAAATGGATATCGAGAAGAACGAAATTAAATCAAAATAGCTGACAAATTGCGGAATAATCTTTGTTGTTTGCTGATTTGTGCCCTTAAAAACTTGGAAATATGTAGTACATATACTTATATGTATAACATTTGTGGTCTGATATACTATGTATTTGGAAATGTAGTTACACGAAGAATCAAAACACACTAGAAAAAATAAAACTGTATTGCATTATCTGCGTTGTTAACGATGTCGACGTAGATATCAATCCATATTTGATGACTTTCGAAACTTCGTGGTTCCACTTTTCCGTAATCTTTTATTAAAACCCCCCTAATAGCTCCTTTTTCAACTTGAGGCTACTTAAGCATTTCTGAAGGAATATTTCGTAAAGGACTACAAATTCGTTTCTTTTAAATATTTAATACACACCTGCAGTGCCTTCAGCATGGGCACGTTATTCAACAGCTCCTCGTACATTTTCCGCTTCCTGAATGCCGACTTCAGCAATATGCGTCGGAATGTCTGGCGATCCATGGCCCAGAGTAGTCCACTGGTTTCAGCCTGTACGGTAGCCGCTCTGATAATATGGAATGAAAAATCAATAGGTTTTATTAAATTTGAATACAATTTAATTAGTTTATTCCCAAATTTTCCACACTCGGGTCTTGCTAGTCATTTTTGTATACTGACAAATTAGCATTTAATTCTGTCGCCTACAGTTTCCAGGTGCGAACCGAAGGTGTTGGGGCAGACAAAATTTGATAAATTAATTCATGGTGGATCGTTGTTCACATACCTGGGCATATTGTAGAGCAGCGCTAATTCGCCAAAAAGGCCAGTGTTGTTGTAAGTGCTAATATATTTGTCATTTATATAGACTTTAAATATCCCACTGTTCGTTTGCCAAATTGTTTATCATGCATTGTTGTAGTTGTTATTTATAGAAGAAACATGAAAAAAGTGAAAATTCAATTGGTTTAATGAAATGTATATTTAGATTAAAAAATTAGCGTATATTTTAGCGGTCTGCATGGATGTAAGCAAAATATTTTCTAGTCATAGCTGCTAATCTTTAAAAGTAAATACAACAGCTATATATTTTCAAAGGAAAATATTTATTTGTAGTCTTATTTCTGAGCTTAATTGTATACTGGATTAGGTATTCTATATATTAAGATTCTATCCACATTTCCGAAATATGCTACGATTTTCTACATTCTATAATGCTACCGAGAACCATTGGTTTCTAAACAAACCTTAGGAATATATTGTCCAAGTGCTTTTTGAGTCGATAAAGCATAGAAAAACTATGGAAAATAGTCATAGCAAGGAATATATCTAAGAGAAATTTGTAATGCCAAGGTCTGTAAATGGCAGATACTATTACTAATAGTACTATTAGACATTTATCTTCTGCAAATTATTTATAATAATGAAAGGATAAAAAAGGAACTTATGTATAAAAAGAATTTTAAAGCCTCCAATCACAAATGGTTTTTAAATCGACCATCAACTAATAATTGTAAGAGAGCAATGATATAATAATTATTTTCTACTCCTATTATTATCTAATCTATCTAACTCTTCTCCTTCTAGTTGTCTGCTTCTTTGCTGCATTCATGCAGGGCTCTAATATGTAATATCCGCAGACTTTTTAATTAAGTCATGTAAAAAAATGGTCATAGCTAAATATAAATTAATGTGATGTGTATTACATTTAAAGTAATTGGACGCAATTTAATAAGCACTTCTGTATTGAATGTATCGAAGGCGAATGTATGTATACGCGCATGTATGTATGTATGTATTGGTTTGATGGACTTTAATCGGATCAGAAAATATTTGCCTACTTGCAGGCGCTCTCATCACTGTTTACTTGGCATGAGACGCATGAGACTTACGATTCAATGACGTAGAAGTTATCGCCATCGTCGCCTTGGCGTATAATGAAATCGCCCGGCTCCACCCTGCGCTCAAACATGGCATCCAGCACTTGGTTCATCTGAAGGAGAGGAAAAACAAGGACTTAACATGAGTCGTCAGGAAAAATGCACACAATTGCCACGTGAAGCAAACACAACCACAAAACAGGCAGCCCCACCACAAAACCCAATTGCCTGCCTATGAGAATGCGTTTGTGTGTATGTATTTACACACATGTGGGTGGTATATATGTGCGTATGTGTGTGTGTGTATTTACCTGTTCCTTTTCCAGTGAACGAAACAGCAGCACATTCTTCACCGACTCAACCAATCGTGCACGCTGCTCATCTGTTTTTGGGAATATGGCAGTGGCGCCCTCGTCATCATCGTCCGCCTCGGGATCATAGGTCTCGGCAAAGACTGATTTGCGACGTGAATGCTGCATTATTGGTGGTTCTGCAAGCATAATGAGAGAGGAGAATATGTTAAGCAAGTTGTCAAAATCATGAGAATCATTTGTTTGAACACAACTGACCACCCAACCACCCAACTGTTGTTTGTGCAAATATTTCTGCCGACTGCATTGTCTGGCGCTTGACTTTCATGTTTGCGCCCATTAATTGCACCAAATTGTTGCACAAACAGTCAGCAATACCAGGCAGGTGACGCTTGATTAAACAACCCCGCCCATCGCCTGTTATATATGTGGGAACATATATACACACACACACACACTCGCATAGCATGTGTTGAGGTAGTTGTGTGTAAGTCTGCGGTCAACATGAGGTTATGAGTCGATAAAATGTTTGCTCTAGATGGCTGACTATGCTGTGACAACACAGTTTAATCTGATTCCTTAATTGCTTCAGGCAATATGGAAAATTTCATAACTTAAGCCGATTAAATAATTTCAGATTAAATATAATCAACATAATTATTATTAATTCCATATGATTGAATTGAGAGTCATAGTGTATGCGTAAAATTAGCTTTTGTTCGTTGTCTGGTAGATCCAGTCCCCATCTTATCCTTGCAAACTTGCTGTTCAAAGGAAATGTCGCCTCTTAAACTCTTACTCTAATTATGGCAGTCAGTGTCTCTTGTTGGTAAACCCCAGGCCTGACCGGCCAAGCAAACAAATCGGAGGCTTTGATGTTTCAGTCATGGGTTAATATTTGTCTAGCCGACCCTGAAATTAATTGATTTTATTTTGTGTAAGCCACCAACCAAAGGGGTGGATTTATTGTTCGACGGAATTTAAAGTAGCATTAAATGGTAAATGGTACAATGCCTAATTCGTCTATGCAAGGGCGTACGCAGCTTTTTATACCCTGTACCCCCAGTTGGGTAAAAAGGGTATGATACGCTTGTGCAAAGTCTGTAACCGGCAGAAGGAGGCATCTCCGACCCGATAAAGTATTTATATTCTTAATCAGACGAGACGAATCGATCTAGACATGTCCGTTCGTCTGGATGAACGCCTGGATTTCGGAAACGGCTATGTAGACGCTCCTAGTCCCTGGTCAACACGAGTTTATTTTATTTTTTTCCATGGCATATTACTTAGTGTCGGACGTTTGTCTGGGTACAGTGTATTTCTCTTGTTGCAAATGGCGAAGGGAAAATTGCGAACATATATGTTTGGGTTAAATATCTTAATAGTATATATATTCCCATAGAGTATATATATTCTTAATCAGCATAGCGAGTCTGTCTGGATGTTGGAAATAGCTGAGCCCACATTAATCAAAGTTCCTACGGAACACAAGTTTATTTACTTTTCTTTCCCCACTGCAGAAAATTATCAATACTATCCACAATTCCATTATTAGTCAAACAATTTTACATAAGTACTTGCTCTTCTTCTTATTATTTTTGCTTCTGATACGGGCTTGCTTGACTGATGCAATATTTCTTGTCTAAGAAAGAATAATACATGTAACATCACATCCCACTTTTAATTAAATAAATTGATTTTTCCTTGATAACATCATTGCAATTGATTAAATATTTGAACTGACAACTGAACATATTTGCAAATATATTTCTGCATATTAAAGTATTAATTCCATATTCCTGTAATTTGTTCTTTAGGTGTATGATTAAAGGCTTTAACTAAGTATAGTTTTTTTTTATTGTTGTATTGTGGTTGTTTATCCAATTATAGATGTTGTTCTGTTGTCAAAAGCAAGGAAAATACGAGTATATAATCAAACGAACGCAGTCATGAGGAAATGAGCGCAAACACATGAAGTCCTGGTACAGTCCTCAAGCACAGAAATGCCTATGAGTAGGCGTATATGATACACTATGCGAGTATATACATACATATGTATGCAGAAGGGTGTACATACAAAGTGCGTTGATTACACAAAGTGCTGAACGTGGCCATAATGCTACAGCTCGTATGCCTTTGCATTTGTGTTTATTGAACTGAAATGTAAAATAATATGTGCCGCATAGGCACTTAGTTATAACTTGTAATACGTCGGAAACAAACGAGTAGACAACAAGAACAGCAGCAACAACTAAAACAGTTGTACATATATGTTATGGGATTGTAGTAAAGAGGAGATGGGGTTGAGGAAAGGGGAAGGGGAAGGTGGGTCGTTCGTTTGTCTGGTCTGATATGCAAACAAACTGTGTGCAATTCATCAGAATTGCCCCGCACTTGAAAAACAAACAGACTGCAAACCGCCGAACCAATTGGGGTAATTATTCATTTGGTTCTTCATCCAACTGCCCCAGGCACTCCCCTATCCTCACACAATCCCTACAGTCAACGACGTCCGTAAATCTTTCACATGTTGTGTTCGCTTTGGGCACGCATTTAACATAAATCTAAATAAAAATGCACACGCACACACATAAGTGTCCTCTATACAGTGTGACCTGACAATTGGACTAATAAATCAAAGGCGTGAAGATATACGGATTATTGTTATTCGCTTTATAGCTTGGCATTCAATGTAAAAAATTAAATAAAATTTATAAATTTATAAAAGTAGCCATTGGAATTCAATTATAATTGAGCAATTTTTCTGTGGAATATGAAATATGATCCATGAAGATCCCCTACTATTTCTAACTTTAATAAAAATATATATAAATACCATATATCCAAGCGTGAAAGGGTATACTATTTAAATAAGGCATCACAGACTAAACAAAGTAGCTATATTCTTGATTCGTGAAAGGAAGCGAGTCGACAAAGTCACGTCTGTTTATCCGTCCGTTTACATGGATGCAGGAGTTCCAGAGCTTATAAGAGCTAGAGAAAGCAAACATAGCAACCAGGTACTCTTCGGGTTGAAAAAAAATAAGTTTGGGTTTTTATAATTTCACCAACTCTCCCCCCTCTTTCCTCTTCCATAACACTTTTCATTGCTCTTGTAATTCTTAGAATTATAAACAATCATCGTTTACATAAGGTTTACTTGTATACTTAAATTTGTTGCTAGAAAAGTAAGGTAAGTCTCATAAATCTATAAAAGGAACAAAAACTGAGAGTTAAGTAAAAACTCAGTAATTAAGTTGATCAGATAAGATAAGAAAGTTTTTTTTACAGTGGAAACCTATATTTTAGAATATAATTATTTCGTATATCTTCCAAGTGTCTCAGGACTGCTCATAATTGATATTTACTGTCAATTTTCCGAATTTTTACAACCGGCCTTTAAGTTTAATGGTCATTCAATGTGGGTTTTTATTTTTCGTGTAAATAAATACATAAATTTTGTTGTTTTCTTACCGGTTAATAAATTGCTAGACACTTGCGTAGACATGGCTTAATATGTATCTGTGTGTACGAGTATGTAAGTAGATGTGTTGCCGTTCTCGTTTTTGTGTTGCTGTTTTAGTTGTGTTATTTGTGCAAACTGCAATTGCCACTTTGTGGCAAGCCAAAAATAAAAGCTGTTTGTTCATTTAAGCGAGAAACAACGAAAAGCTCATATAATATTTTTATGTATTGTTCAAGGTGAAAAATCGCAAACTATAACAGCAGCAGCCCCATTTTCAGAGTAACACGCTGCGTATGCGTGATAAATATTTATGATTTCATTTTTTGTGCTGCTGCCTTTATTGTTGTTCTACTCGTTTTTGGTGTTGTTTTTGTTTTGCTGTTTGTGAGACATGGATTTCGAAATTGAATTTTCATGCCTTGCCAAATCACAGCACTTCACACCAAATTATGTTGAGCACAAAAAGCAGAGCAAGCAGCCAAAGCCGTGTCAAGTGGCAGCCATGAGTGCTGTGAGTGCAATTTAATGATGCTTGCTGTGGCAAATGCAATTACACACACACACACATACAGACTAACTGACTGACAGAGAGACACTGAGACAAGTTTCTTATTGACAGACAGTCAAGTTTTTCGCAGAGCAGAGTGGTGGAGAGCAGAACTTGACAGTTCCAGCTAAGCAAGCAAACCAACTTGAAGTATCTCTCTATACAAATACAATAATAGCAACAACAGCAGCTGCACGTCGCCACTAAGTATTTATTTAAACTTGAAGCTCGGCTAACATTGTGGGCTTAAAGCGACACTACTACCAGCTCAAGGAGTGATGGACGTTATAATGGTGTGTATTTATCAGCTACTGCACACGGTATGGGCATTTGAATTTCTGCAAGCCAAGCTGTGAATAGGAAATGCAAATAACAGCCGTCGTTAATAAGAATACAATTCTCTATACGAGTAGAAAGTGGTTGCTTATTTATATGCAATTGAATTGAGTTCTGCAGTAGTAGAAAAGTCCTTGGCATATTTAAATAGCCTCTTATTTGGAGTAGAAAAGAAAAATGTATTTTCATAGTTAGAAGAAGAGGAGGAAAACGAATGTTTCTTATGATTGAGTAAGCTGGCTGGTAAATCATAAATTGTGGAATTGTAAGCAGAGTTCCAGAAAAAGTGATTTCAACAGCAAACATTTGGGTAAAAAAAATGTATGAAGCAGTATATTTTAATTATCATATAAGCTTCCAACTTTAAAGAATATATAAAGAATATGGGCCTAACTGAGTGTTGGTTAACTTGGTTTATCAGCCAAACGTTTTGAGCTATGGAACTGCATTTTGAAATAATTAAAAGCTCGTATAAGAAACATTTTTTTCACATTCGACTTATATTTTCTTTTTTACTGTCTAAGCGAACCCGCTCGCTTCATGTTTAAAGATTGCGATCAGATTAACGCGTGGATAGCACTTATCACTTGGCACTTCACTTTGGCTCGCGTTTCGTAATTTAATTCATTTTCATAGCTTTTCAAAGTGACGATTTTAGAATGTAAATTTAACTATTCATTTCACATGCATGTCATACATAATTCTTCATTGTTAAACAGAAGCTCATCCCACAAAACAAACGAATGCGCAGAAAACTATTTTAATTAAATGACTCAGTTACACATAAACATACGTTTGTGCATGTGTTGGTTGGTTTGTGTTTGTTTTAT